TACTTACTGGCGGATAAAGCGATTGTAAGAGGAAAAGTTGAATCCGAGGAAGATGTTGGGAATAGGAGTTACACGAAGGCGATACGAAATTCGCCAGCGCTCTTATCAGCGTTATTACATTCGATGAATTCACGGGAGAGAATCGTAATATTTCCTTTTCTGTTCATCCATGGTAGGAATGATGAGAAAAGTATCGCTCTCTAAAAACATATTTATAATATACGCATAACTATGTGTATGTATGTATGTACGTATGTATGTATGGAAGAAAGAGGATGAAATGAAAATAATACAAGTTCCTTCTCTATCGACGTTTATTCTTTCGAGGTAAACCTCGAGATAAAATTCGTGTCTTCACTGACATCGATAGGATATTCTCGGCAAGTGTTGTCGCCTGTCGGAATACAATAACATCTGAAGTAGAGAGAGAAGGATGTCCAGCAGGTGTCTTAATTAATCGACACCTGCTGGACACAATTGGACAGAGCACGAAAAGAAAAGCCAGTCCCAGGCAAGGGAAAAAAAACAACCGGAGGAAATACCGCGTCACAACATTACTCTGTAACCGGTTCGTAACCTCCGTCGTCCTATGCACATATCGCTTTTCTCAATCAATTACCCTTACTGTTCGATAGATTCGAATCGTACGCGAAATGACGCGGTCAATGGTGCACATTGCATAGAGACACAACTACGCTATATAATATATGCATTCATCTCGACTAAGGATCTTTGATCTCGTCGTTTCCAGCATATGCGTGCGCGCACTTCGGTCAAGGCCAGTAACATCATTGAATACGATTATCGATAAAAGTAACGATATGTGCATATCTATATATCTGCATATCGCCGGCTTTGGAATACGTTTGGAATACGTGTGGACAGTTTGTTTCCTACCTACCTAGCTACCTACTTACCTAGTCTTGAGCGTTCTGATAATCGTTTCGAGCTTTCTTCATTCTTTGACTGCTTGACAATTTGGAATATCTTGGCGCGAATATACACTCAGGCCCTGAATATTCTGAACTCTTATCTTTCATCACTAAAAGCGGCTTACAGTCAATCAGGAGGCTTACTTTTGAAGTCACTTTTTCACACGATAAAAGAGAGCTCAGAATATGAGCCGTGGAGAGTTGCAGTTCGGATCAGTCGGGTTTATACGCGTGTGTGTGTAAAATGAATACTCCGTGTGAGTAATCTCAGCTACTTAAATAGCGCAAGACTCGCCGGTACACTATCTCCAATATGTGAGCAGAAACGTAATATGTATACGGAAACAAACGTCTCCAGGATGTTATTCTGGATTATATAACATAATATTAATTATACGCGAAATATTACTCGCGCGCGCGCGCGGACGTCCATTTTTTTTACAAAAGACGTCCATAAGACGTCCATAAGTACGTTTGTCACAACTTCGGACATAGGACGTCCGATGGACGTACACTGGACGTCCTACAGGTCCGATGTCCAATAAGGACATCCTTGTTACGTCCAATTTATATCCACGGACGTAAATCGGACATACGGACATAAATTGGACGTGAAACATACATCCATTGGATGTCCGGTGCTGTCTGGGTATACACATTCATTTGTGCTATGATCAATCGTCTTGTAACACATCTTGTAACTTTTTGCCACCTCTTCCTTCCTATAATAGAATACGTAAGATTTCTGCCAGTTTTAATCGATCGTATCGACAATTTGAATTTTTATTTAACGCGTTTTATTTTCGTTAATGTGCATGCCATACATGTGCTCGGATGCAATCAAAGAAGCGCAATCAAGCACAAGAGTTTTCAGTCTTGAAATTCAGTCATACATGTAAATCATCTTGTCTACTGTTGAAAAGACACTTTCTTTCTCCGAGATTTTTCAATCGCTCTATGCCGCGCGTGTCCGTCGAAATTTCATACGAAACCAGTCGTACAGATTTCTGTCGGCATCGTTTCGTGAAGAAATTCATCGTGGTTGCTGTGAATCACTATCCCCTCTACATAATATGCGATTGCTGGTCGCGGGACATTGACCAGTATTCAACTTTCTCGACGCTGTATTCGAAAAAAATGTAACGTGAACGAACTTTCGTAAGGCCCACATCGAAGAGAGGCGGACAGCGAGACATCAGCGACTGCGGAAAACTAGCGACGATCTCACCGAGTATAATCGGAAATACACGATGATTGCGTTACGTTATGCTTGTCGGCATTGTTAAAATCGCGGCGCGACCTTGTTCGCACATTTTATCGCGTTTGCTAGTCGCTTTGGCCGTATTACCTTACTGTAAAGTCTTTCGTTCGCCTCCATGGCGGTTGGGTGTGGTTTCTGTATACGCATATTTTTTGATCGTGGGGACTGCGTACGCGTTGTCCTTATTTTTCTTTTACCTTCATAATCGTTGACTGGCGTAGGAGATAGAGTATAACAGCTCTGCCTAGAGCCATTTATTGAACCAGAACCTTACTGTTATTTGCATAGGAGATTCCCTGTTATCGTTATTTTTGTGAATTTCAAATTACTCGTAATTATGACCGATATGTAAAGATTTCACGAGCAAATTCAGTCGTTGTACTCCGAAGCAGAGGGAAGGAAGTGGTGTGAGAGAGATGACATGAAATATACTATCGATCAAGTCTAGAAATAACATTATTAGATCAACATTTTTGGCTATACCGCTATTGTAACATTACGATACAATCCAAAAGGGGCGATATCTACTTAATTACCATTTTACTTGATGCGATAATTAAAGTACGTGAAAAATTAGTAGTACCGTTTATTATTTGTTGATTCAATTGTCAAAACGTCCGTAAGTCCGTAAGTTATTGCGGATTAAGCATGTGTTAATCTAGCACATTATTAACACGCGAATAATCGGGCTGAAAATATCTATTGTATCGTTCCGGAATACATAATTTTGTTATTGTCTCTTTATCGTATAAATTATCGGAAGAGAGTTTTATCTCTCATGTGTGCGTCTGGTAATTCATTCGTGTAAATGATAAACAAGAAACTTGAAGCGTAAGTATGATATCCAAATCAATCCTTTTCGACATATTATTTATTATGAATATATATTTGTACAGATTTGAATTAAAAATACATAATACATATGCTCCGATTTTCTCTTCCATCTCTTTTCATATTAATATCTTTCCTAACAAACGCTAATTTTTTATTCTATCGTTTTATAAATATACAAGGCATGTATATCAACATTATACGTAACATTGTATCAAATGATTTACATTAGCAATTAGCGGTCTGGCAAGATATTTACAGCATTCCAGGTCTTACACTGGTACTACTGCGTGTTCAACGCACTTGTATTATTATACATTTGAAGGAATGTTTAGCCAGTGTATGCGCTGTATATTTGTATAGAAAAATTCTACAGATAAAACTAACCGATGTAAAATCTGCTATATCTCAGATAAAGTGTCAAGTTCTACAAAATATAGGTGCTACTCTAAAAAAAAATGTTCATATTGAAGATAAAACTCAATGCCGATGCGTAATCTTATCTTAGTGTTCCATATATCGTTATTACCAGCCTATCTTAGAGAGGAACTCTGTACCATCCTGAAACACTTGTCCTGGCGGTTTCATAGAATCAACCTTGAAAACTAAGCCTTGTTGTTCGTACAAAGCTACTATTGGTATTGTATTTTGTAAATAAGTCTGATGACGAAGAACCAATGACTGTTCGTTATCATCGCTGCGACCACTTCCTCCAGCGCCACGATTTAAGCAACGCTGAGTACAAACTTCTTGACTACACTCACAGAATATGACCCCTTTCAAGATAACCTTGTCAGCCATCACCTGTCGATATACAAAGTATTAAATATTTACAATTACAAAATAAAATTGTCTCAAAACATTTCAGTGTCAACATTTAGTTGTTAGAAATGTAGAAAATTGGTGTAACTGCTACTGATAATCGTTATTCGTTGCTTGATAATTGATTTAATCTTAATGTAATTATCGATATTATGCAGAATACTCTGAGAATGACGATTGATGTAATATAGATGACATTACAAAAGTAATCTACTAAATCAAGATTTTGACACACGCGCGCGCGTGTACCCAAAATAATAAAGCATACGTCAGCCTTAATCAATTTAGTCTTACCATGTACAATATATTCTTTTCTTTTAACTCTTATTAAGTTCACCTTATGAGAGAACATGTAACTCTCTTTCTCGGAATATTTCTCTGTTATTCCTTGTACATAATCATACAACAATCGTAATAACATTTTCAATTTTACAAAAAGCAGTCTCCAATAATGATTTCTCGCGTTTGAATATCTGAAAGCGTACGCAACAGATATACCTTATTCCAGCCGTCGAGATTATCTTGGTTCCTTGGGAAGCCGTCAATGAGGAAACGTTTATATGGGTTGTCAGAGATGTGCATAGCACGATCCAGAAGACTACAGGTGATCTCCACCGGCACGATCGTGCCATTTTTTATATGAGTTTCAATCAGTTCACCGTATTGCGAACCTGGCTTGGCGCGTTCCTCTCGCAGCAAGTCACCGGCCGACAGATGGACATAACCATATCGCTCGACGATGTAGCGACACAGGGTACCCTTGCCGGCACCCGGGCCGCCAAGGATGAACACCACCTCCGGCTTTTTCGTCACAGCGGACATCGCGATACGTCGCGCACCGACCGCGAAGACCTGTAACATACACACGAGATTTCTGCGACGCGATACGTGTGCATGCGCACATACCCGGCGTCGACACGATATATCAGCGGCCGAGCGCGCACATACTATTCGCTGCCACACTGAAAAATTTATAATATATACATGACACAAACTATGTATTTCAGCATCAGTACCGGCAGTGAATATCGGAACGCAAGCTAAATAGTCAGAGGATTTGTTCTTTATAGCTGCACTGCTGAACTAGTGCAATAAGTTAAAATTATATTTTTTCTCACTCTAACTTATTGCACTGGTTCAGCAGTGCAACTATAAAGAACAGACCAAGAGGCTGCGAAAATCTATAGTATACGTGACACAAACTATATATTTTTAATACTGGCAGTGAATATCGAAACTCACAGCCAGAGAAGAGCAACTGAAGGCTCACTTGAAGGCTGATTGGCTGACTGTAGTCAGCCCAATCAAAACTAGGAGTGTAGAGCCCGCAGCTACTATTTCTGAGTGCCATCATAAGACAAATATATATTTGTCTCACTCTAACTTATTGCATCAGTGCAGCAGTGCAGCGAAAAAGAACAGGCCTGTATACTTTTCGTAAGATGTGATAGTAAAGTTTTGACCAATTGCGTTGATCGTTTCAAATGATTACAATTACGCCACAGTATATACAGTAGCTGCATTCGGAAACGTCACTCGAATACTCTCTCTCTCTCTTTCTTTATCTCATTTTTATGCCTCTCTCACACCAACGCAGCAGATGCACCTGAGTGACATTTCCAAACGTAGCCAGTAACGACACTCTCCAAATTTCGTGTCTCCAAAAATGAACTGCACATGCGCAGCTGTATTACCTAACCAATAACGTTACAGACATCTTTTTCTATCTCACTTTCTCGCAAAAAAAATATACTATATATCTCACTCTAACTTATTACACTTAGTTCAGCAGTGCAGCTAAAAAGTGTAGATCATCTTTCTATCACAACCGTTAATTTCAATTTCTACTCTCTCTTTCTCTCTCTCTCTCTCTCTCTTTTTTCCTCTATATACATATTTATTTAAATTTTTATTAAATCATATAGAGTACGATTCATTAAATGTTGTAAATGCTTTGAATACCGTTCAACATAGCCTTTCTTTTAGCGTTCAAAGCGTTTGTAGTCTCAAGTAAACCCTATTTGCTATTGGTTAGGTTAGGTTAGGTTAGGTAACAAGGTAGCGTATGTGCAAATCATCTTTTTTGTGGAGACGCTAACATCAAAGATGCCGACAGAGAATGTCGCTACTGTGTATACTGTGGTTAGGGCTCCCTGTTTGCTTTATTGCACATGGTACACTCTGTATCGCGGCGAGGCGAAGATCGACTCGGTAAGTCAAGATTTGAGGATCTGATCGTCGATCGTTTCGAGGCTCAATTGCTTTGGCGCGGTTACACGGTGCTGTTCAGAACAGCAGTTGCGGTTGCAGGAGCTCCTTGCGTCTGCCGCTAGATGGCGCGGTAGCACAGAGCCTGTGCTGAGGCGCCACACATACTCATGTTTGGACTTTGGAGCAGTGATGACAAGTCGTGGGAATTTTTCTCATACGGGAGTCGTTTCGCGCATCCGTAAACATGACGTCAGAGCTCTCGACGCAAACGTTTCCAGTGATGGATGTAAACGCAGATAGTAGTAGTAGCGCAAATAGTGCGCGTGAAAGGTCCCGCGAGTTTGTCCATTACAGTTGTTTCGCGTTTTTTCGCGAGTTACTTAGGTTATATATTCATAATGTAAAATGTTATAATATATAAGTGTAGCGATAAATGCAGTGATAAGTGTAGCGATAAGTTAAGAAAGAGCTGTGATAAGTGCAATAGGAATAATAAATATAATATATTGGCTGCAGATGTAAAAAAATCACAAATTAATAAATTTGATTATTATCTTTTATTATTCATATATAAACTATATTATATTTATTGAACAGAAGCTTTTTTCCTTCTCTATCCTTCATTTCCTTCACATTTCTTTCATAGTGAAGACCTAACGATACCTTCAAATATATATGTCCGTGAAGCTACCACAGCGTTTGTTCAGTGCGCGTGCGCGACTTTTTCCCACGACTTGTCATCACTGCGCGAGGGACTTTTCGCGCGCAATATTTGCGCTACTACTACTATATGCGCTTAAGGTCATTCTACAATACGTGTCGTAAGTTGTAAGCCGTAAGAATTGGCGAATCACAGTCGATTATTACGAAAATAATCGGCTATAATTGGTCAGTTCTTACGGCTTACAACTTACGACACGTATTGTAGAATGACCTTTACATCCATCACTGGAAACGTTGCGTCAAGCTCTGACGTCATGCTCACGTATGCGCACAACGGCTGATCCCATGTGAGAAAAGTTCCCACGACTTGCCATCACTGCTCCTACGTCATCTCACGCATGCGCTATAGCGTCGCATATATTTCATCTACGTGTAAATTGGAGCATTTATTGTATGTACAGAGCCATCTATTGAAGAAGAAGAAGATATATTTCATCTGACATCATTGCAGTGCTTTGGAGTAGCCCAGGTTGAACAATGGCCATAGACGTATAATAAATAAACCGCGCGTTCAGCAGAGGGGGCGTTTTATATTCGAAAGAGACAATATGCTTTCGTTGAGCAATCTATCACTTTCTAACGATGCGTGGTGGGGGTAAAGCAGTCTTCCGTGACAGGGAAAACAGAAGTAGGAGAATATAGAGAAAGGGGAATTGTGAAAGGCAAAGAGAAGAAAATACGTTTGATATAAATACACGCATATGGAAAAATGACGATGTTGTATGGAAAAATGACGAATATGGACATATGACGATGGATATAATTACATACCGGTGGAAAATAATCTGTTTGTCACTTTTATATGTATTACTGCGGCATACACAACAATATAGACTCATTGTGTCACGATTATACTTTTTGTGTTATAATTATACTATTATGAGTAAATACGTTTTATAATCTTTAATGTCAATCGTCTTGTTTACATACGCTTTGTTTCACGAAAAGAAGGAGAACCGGAGACATAACATTCCACTCTAAACAGGCGGAGGGGCCAAATACTCCACCACGCATCGTTAGAAAGAGATAGACTGCTCTATCAACAGAGAACATGCTACCTCTTTCTAATATTGAACATGTGCAGACAAAGGAAACATTGCAAATGCGCGGTCTATATTTTTGGTCTGTTCTTTGTAGCTGCACTGTTGAACTGGTGCAATAAGTTAAAGTGAGACAAATATAGGTTTTCTCACTCTAACTTATTGCACCAGTTCAGCAGTGCAGCTACAAAGAACAGACCAATTATATGACTATGAGAATGGCTAAGTGCTATCCATACTATCGCTGCGTTCCGATATTCACTGTCAGTATTGAAAATACATAGTTTGTATCACCTATATTATAGATTTTCAGTGCTGGCAGTGAATATCGGAACGCAGCCTATATATGACTTATGTAAATATATATATAATAACGATTATGTTATATATATATATATAATATATATATAATAATGATTATGTTATATACAAATACGTAATATGCACAAAACAGGGAATGAGCATCTTTCTTTTCTCGTTACTATAAATTTAAATTTAACTAGTGTGCATTTTCGTCTGTCAAATATACAAATTTGGTTATTAACGACTGTGCGGTAGTTGCTGTGCGAAAACGACGAGAAGTAAATATAGCATTTCTCATAAAAAAAAAATTACTTTTTTTATATCATTATGATTAATTGGCGTCTTTAATCAATTTGAATGAAAATAGATGGGCTTAGTACTACATAGTTATATATTCTAACCGTGTTTGATCAACAGTTTTGTGGAATATGTTTATATCTCGTATTTTATCGTTGCATATTTTCTTTCATAACTTAAGTGCAAAAATTTCTCTCGAGATACTTCATAAAAAGATAACAAAATATATCAATCTTCAAAAAAGATTAGCAAAATATATTAAAGCAGTGCAAGTATAATTGACTACTGTAACATGACAATTTATGGATTCTTTACAATTGTATTACAGATGAAAAATCAAATGATGCTAGTCGTTAGAAAGTACCATCAGCTTACTAAAGTCATTGGTTTGCCATCACGTAAGGCATATCCTGATGTTATGTTATTAAACTTGGTATTCAGTCAAGTACAAAATAGGTCCTGTGCAGAAGTTTGTAGTTTATGCATAGTACAAAATAAATTCAAGCCTAAAGTGGATCTCAGTGTGCAAAGAACTGCAAACTCTTTGTTAAGGACAAGTGATGTACTAATACATGTTAGTACATGTGTGAAGTTAGCAGATTTACAACAGAAGAGGTATCTAGGCTTAGCTGCGAAACTAGTCAATAATGTCTCACCCAAAGTACAACCATATATGAAACTTATGAGGATGGACAAACCAATAGGTATGGAATCCAATTATTCACTAAACTAATTGATTAAAATTTAAAGAAAATTATGAATATTTATAAGTGTTATCGCTGCTGTTATATCTAAATATATTTATCCAATATTAAGGATCTGTCTTTATTACTAGCATCACTCTATCAAAGAAAAAAAGTTTCCAAATATTTTATCTCCTTCGTGTACTTACTTCTGCAGTACATATACTAAAATTGGAACGATACAAAGAAGATTAGTATGGTCATCATCTTTTTAGGAAGTTGGTTACTATTTTGGCCTTCTGGATGGAGTATTGCCATGGCAGCATCTGCTGGTGCTTTACCAGACCTCTATACATTAGCACTTTTTGGCACAGGAGCATTCATAATGCGTGGTGCAGGATGCACTATAAATGATATGTGGGATCAGGACATTGATAAAATGGTAAAACTAAAATAATATAATGCCCTATATTATTGCACATACTACAAAGAATTTTTGTCACTAGGTAGCTAGAACAAAGGATAGACCTTTGGTGTCCGGTCAAATAACTCTGGAGCAATCGTTTATATTTCTAGCAGGACAATTAAGTTTAGGATTACTTGTATTATTACAATTAAATTGGTATAGCATATTTCTCGGTGCCAGCTCATTAGGTACTGTTTGAGTAATATACCATGAAAATTCATGTATTTATGTGTGATAGAATGCATATATTTAATACATTTATCTTATCTTTTATAGGTTTAGTAATAATTTATCCTCTCATGAAAAGAATAACATATTGGCCGCAACTTATTTTGGGAATGGCATTTAATTGGGGTGCATTGCTAGGATGGTCCGCTGTGCGCGGGTCGTGCGACTGGTCCATTTGTTTGCCAATGTATATAGGTGGTATTTGTTGGACTATTGTCTATGACACTATATATGCTCATCAAGTAAGTACGATAAAGATTCAACAGTGTTTCGGCTTGTTTTATGCTACTTTTCAATTTACTTCATACATTAGGATAGAACGGATGACATTCTACTAGGTATTAAATCAACAGCCATCAAATTCGGGAATGACACGAAATTTTATCTATCTGGATTCGCAGTAGCGATGCTCGCGAGTTTTGTCACCTCAGGCATATTAGCTGCTCAAACTTGGCCTTATTATACTGCAGTTGGAGTATTGGCAGCACATATTAGCAATCAAGTAAATAAAGAAAAGAAATTTGTGAATTATTCAATTTAAAATTGTTGCATCTTAAAAATAATCCTAATATATAATTGCTTTTTTCTAGATATACACTTTAAATGTGAATAACCCTGCAGATTGTGCCAAAAAATTTACATCCAATCACAGGGTAGGCATGATACTTTTCGCTGGCATTGTGTTAGGAAATTTGATGAAGAATTTCACAAAGGAAGAAGTTGAAAAGGAAATGACAGACCAAAGTATAAATACATTAAACTAACCATGATAAATACACCAAAAAAGAAACAAATAAAAATCTAATAATGCAAGTGGTTAGGTTAGAGACATAATATTTTTAAATTATATCGTACATATTATACTTTATTGGTTTTATGTAATATCAGGAATTAAATTGGAATTGATATCGTATTCAATATAAAATAATAAATAAATGCTTTAAGACTAAAGCAGGAATATTAAAGAAAAGAAAGAAATTATAAATGTACGAGAATGTATAAATCTTTATTACACAGAAAAAGTTGTTTTGTGTTATCAATACAATTTTGTATTATTAACACTGAGTCTTGCAACATAATAAAGAAAAAAAAAGGTTACATCAAAATTCACTTCGATTATCATCTATCCTTATGATTACATGTTTTTCCATGAATCATATAATTCCATTGTTCAAATTTTATCCGCCAATTTTACATATCTAATGCTAAGTGTTTCAATCCAGGTCTCAAGTGTTTTTACACTGTTTTAATCGTGTCATTACCCTCTCTTTCCTTTTCTCTTTCTCCGACAAGTCTAATATATTCCTCGTGAGTCAGTAGAGACTGTTTCAAACTCTCTAGATGTTTTATATTTGGCAAAATTATAGCCAAGTACCCACCTTTATGTGGCAATTCCCTGAGAAGTTGCGGCTTTACTGACAGCATTTCATTAACTTCCACCAGTTTTCCTATCATACAACATTTAATCAAATATTTTTGCCCATCTGAGCAAAATATGGTACAGATATTTGAGTTGACTTGCAATGGTTGTGCACCGTGTTTACTCTTTCCTGAGACCTTATTCAAAGCTCTGTCTAATTTATCGTTTATCTTAAAGTCTACCTTTGTTATGTCTCTATCACCTTGTAAGATGACATGACTAGGTGCTAGGGAGAACATACAGATACGATTGCTATGTATACGTATGCATATATCGTCCCCAGGTGATTGTACATTGATTTTATAGTATGCAACAAAATAGCGCTCAGTAACAGTGGGAAAATGCCCATTGTATTGCACTTCATCTAACATGTCAGAAATATCTCCATCAGGAGGAAACACAAATGTCTCATCATCATTATCGAAGGTTGCTGGTATCTCATTATCGCTATCCTCTAATCCCTCATTGGCTCCTTGTTCTTGAATCTTTTCAGAATCTATCTTCATGTCAGAGTTCCTTATATTTACTTGTATACTGCCAATCTCTTCTTTTTCATATTCGTTCTTGCAATCATCCTCAAGTTTGAGGTATTTGTTTAAAGTTATATCATTCTTTACTACTGGATTCATATTAAATTTCAAGCTTGATATTATCTGCTGTGTGGAACTTAAGTTACTACTATCTCTATACAGAGATAATCCATACAATTAATCACCACTTTCCTCCTGTGACCTTTTCTGACTCTCTGATATTCTGCGTCTGGATTGTAAGTTTCTGCTTCTATTAATTTCTCTCTATAACGATAGAATTAATTATCAATGTAATTGTAGTAAAAACCAGGGACAACTTACTTGCTCTCTTATGCACTCATTCATTTCCTTTTGAATTTGTTCACAATATCCAAAGAACTTGCCGTACGGATGCTGCAAGTGTAGAGTTGTTGAAACTTGAGCAAATTAGTGTTAGATGAGCAACACTATTATACAAATCGTGATACCTCTTTTTCGCAGTCCTGAAATTTATGAAATATCCAATTACATGCGGCATTATGCACAGCCAACGATTTGTAATTCATCTCCTTCATCTACGTATTAACGTGCAATTATATGTATTTGTTGTTATGCAACCGTGCGATGAATTGAATTTAAAGTACATCACTTTGGCCGCACTTTAATTGCACACAGGACGCTGCAACACTTGCCGCGCAGCGGAAGTTGGTTAAGAAATATCGCAGTAGCCAATGGCTGCATTCAGTAGACTCAACAGTTGGACAACTACTATTAGTACTATTAATTACTAGATTTTCCACTGAATCTCGCTCCTGATTGGTCAATACTTCTGGGTCTATGAAGAATCTAAATGAATGCTCCAATCACAGACAATAATCACTAAGCGCTCTCTGATCACTTTGTTCTACTGAACGCGGCCAATGAATGTCCCATATGCCGCATTTTTCGCACATAGGGCCAGAGTACAGACTTCTGCATAACGCATAAAGGTCATTCTACAATACGTGTCGTAAGTGTAAGCCGTAAGGACTGACCAATTATAGCCGATTATTTTTGTAATAATCAACTGTGATTCGCCAATTCTTACGGCTTACAATTTACGACACGTATTGTAGAATGACCTTTATACACACGCATAAGAGAATCAACCAATCAGAGTTCTTCATTTCTGTCCTGAGGAGGGAAATGAAGAAAATTAATTGGTTGTTCCCAACCTAAAATTTTCCTCCTTAAATATAATCCCCAAAACCAAATCGCCAGAACTTACCAAATCTTTCCTGAACCTACCAAAATTGTACCAAATTCACTGATAAATCCTATAGTAGCGTCCTTTGTGAGCATTTCTGCTACCTCTCTCTCTCTCTCTCTCTCTCTCTTTCATATACAGGACGAATGAATGAAATTGACGCTCACGGAGCAAGTGAGACTGCGGTTGCATTCCGATATTCACTGCCAGTACTGAAAATCTATAGTATACGTGACACAAACCGTGTATTTTCAGTACTGGCAGTGAATATCGGAACGCAGCCATTGTTGGCGCGAGGCATAGAGCATGCGTATGTATCCACGGAGCATGCGCATGTGGCCACGGAGAATGCGCATGTCGCTACAGAGCATGGTCGTGTCGCAATATACCGGCTGCGTTCCGATATTCACTGTCAGTACTGAAGATCTATAATATACGTGACGCATACTATATATTTTCAGTACTGGCAGTGAATACCGGAACGCGGCTACCGTTGGTATGACGTACGACACGTTCCCTAACCTGAATAATCATCAAATTTAACAATTAACATCTCGTTCCACGAGGTAAAGCGACATTTTTTCTTCCAGATTCTTTCATCTCATCTTCAAAAACGCGTCGATTGAGTATAAGTTTATCAATATTGGAGGGGAGGCCCCCAAACTGTACGATTATCGTTAGTGTGTAAATAATATGATATTCGGTTCTTTTCATTCTTTGTAGATAAAGTACAAAGCTGTGATGAAAAATGGTCAAAACGATGAAAAGAAACCTGTCTGAGTTTGCACAGCGAAAGCGTGTACAAAAGGATAAAAAGCATTTGAATCCATTTGAAGTGCATATCAACAGAGAGAAACAAAAAATACTTGGCCGAAAAAACAAAAATGACCGTGGGCTTCCAGGTATCTCTAAAACAAAGGCTATCAAAAGGCGCAAACAAAGTCTTCTTCAAGAATACAAGATGGATAACAAGGATAATGTCTTCTTGGACAAACGTATAGGTGAAAAAAACTCTGCCATGAGTACAGAAGACAAAGCGATGGCAAGATTTGCTATGGAACTTAAGAAGGAACATAAGAAGAAAAACATCTATAATTTGAACGATGATGGAGTACTAACCCACAGAGGTCAGACACTCGAGGAGATTGAAAAATTTGATGATCCTGGAAGTGATGACGAGTTTAGCGATGAAGATACCAGCGGCAGGTTGGATAAAAACTTTGTAGAAGGAGCACATTTTGGAGGAGGAGTATTGTCGAAACCAGATTCTGCCTTATCTAGAAAAGATTTGATCGACCAGCTTATTGCGGAATCGAAGAAACGTAAAGCTGAGAAACAGAAAATACGTGAACAAACGATAGATCTGACGGAGAAATTGGATTCTGAATGGAGAGATCTTTTGCCTCTTGTATCTACTTCCAAGAAACCTGATGAGGATGCGGATAAAACAGCAAGAGCTGATACTTATGATATAACTGTACAGGAATTAAAATTCGAGGCTAGAGGTAATCCATCGGAGAAACTAAAGTCGGAAGAAGAGATTATTCAAGAAGAGAAAGAGAAATTAGAAAAGCTTGAAGCAAATAGATTAGCGAGAATGAAGGGATTTGTGTCTAATGCAAATAATGAATGTAAACACAGATCTGCTGATGACCTTGATGATGACTTTTTAGTAGAGACTATTGTTGAAAATGCTGATGATGATGATGACCATAATTCAATGGCCAATGGTAGCAACAACGCCGACAGTGAAGAAGGCACTGATGCTGACAATGATAAGAATGATAATGATGCTATTGGTAAGGATGATAACAATGTTAATTACTATAAGCATGGAGAAATTTCGCTACAGAGCACTGCCAATGAGGAAACAAAAAGGAATACAAAAACTAAGGAGAATGGTAATAGAGAACAAGATAAGACATGTTCAGAGTTATCAAATGTTGAGGGTAAACCTGACATAGAATTAAATAACGAAAATGTAACAAACAAAGATTTGAACAGTAAAGATTCTACAGATTCTACAGATAATTTCTCAGATATGAAAGAATTCGAATCATCTAGTGAAGGTGAGATCGAGGTTATTGGAAAACATGTTACATTCCTGAATGACTTCACAACAAATACTAAAGAGACAAAGCAGTCGAATCTAATTAGTTCAGAATCCATATTGAAACAGTATGAAGTAACTATGTGCACACCGACATCTTTATCCGACGAAAATAAACAGCAGATTAGAAACGATCTTCTTAAACGAAAGGAAATTATGGAGAAAGCACGAAGAGAACTCCCATACACATATAACGCTCCAGTTGATTTTGAGGAATTGGAAAAGTTGTTAGAGGGTCATTGCCCGGAGTATCAATCCATTATCGTAGATCGTATCATAAAGTGCAATCACTGGACAGTAGATAATAAAAACAAAGAAAAATTATCTAATTTATTTGTATATTTATTACAGTATATTCATAATTGTGCTTCCATGGATGATCCTGATAATTTAAGTAAATGTTTTCAAGTCTTTGATCGGTAAGAGTAATTTATATTTGCAAAATATATTGCAAATATATCTGTATCCAATTACATTTGTAATATTCTTTCCAGATTGTGTCCTTATATTTACGACTTAGCACATATGAATCCAGAAAATGCCAAAATTTGTGTACAAGAAATAATTAAGGAAAAACATAATGAATTTGAAGCAAATAGACGAAAATATCCTGATATGAGTACGGTATGTATTAAATTTGTCTTTGAGAAAAGTGTAATGAATACTGGAATTTTAAAACAAGTATAAATATTAAGATGTGTGTGTGTGTGTGTGTGTGTAATATGTTTGTTTTAGATTATATTCTTTAAACTGGTATCTCTTCTATTTCCAACGTCCGACTTCAGACATCCTGTTGTTACCCCTTGTTTGGTATTTATGTCTCAAATATTGCTCCAGTGTCGTATTAAAAATCGAAGCGATATTGCAAGAGGCCTTTTCATATGTACCCTTATCTTAGAGGTGAATTGAACTTTTACAATTGATTTTGTAACATTAAATCAGATAAACGCATGTATTACATTTAACTATCTTTGAATGTGTAGTATACAACATTAAGCAAGCGATTTGCACCATCTGCGATAAATTTTTTACGTGGAATCGTATACACAGCGACACCTGAAACGTCGAAAACAAAAATTATACCGCCTTTTAAAAGGGCGTGTAATTTATTGCAAGTTAATGAAGAACTGACTGACATTGAGATTGAACCAACTGGAGCACATATGACTGCACATGATTTAATGCATGAAGAATTGAACAACGAATTCAGACTAAGAGCTCTACTCACCACTGTGAATCTGATCAGAGATTTTAAAAACCAACTGCAAGAATTAGAAGCGGTGTATTTAATATTTGAACCTATTTTTAAATTATTGAAAGTAAATAAATTCATGGAATATCCACGGAATATAAGAAAGCACATAAAAGAACTTTGTAAAGAAATTAAAATTTTGCAAAATAAAAAATTGAAGCACATGGTGGTTGAGAAGAAAAGGCCGAAACCTCTAAGGCTGTATGAGCCAAAGATAATAGCAGTGTATGTAAAACCTACTTAAGTTTCTTATTTTAAAAAATATATAATCTATATTTATGCTTTGTAGAACAAATACTACAATACAATACAAGAGATTACTTATTAAGTTATCGCCCACAATCAACAATATAATATTATTTTGAGTAATATCTTTTTACAGATACGATGGTAAACAACGTAAACCTATGTCCAAGGAGAAGGCAGAAAGGGAGAAGCTATTGCACAATTATAAAAAAGAAATGAAGGGTGCTATACGTGAGATTAGAAGAGACAATGCCTTCTTAGCTAAGATCCAAATTTCGCAACAAATCAAGAACGACGTCGAACGCAAGCGCAAAGTGAAAGCGATTTTCGGCGAGGCGGCGATACAACAAAATGAACTAAAGAAGATAAAGAGGAAACATTGAATGAACAAAGAAATTTGATAATAAAAGTAATTATAAAAATTTTGGGTGTAAAGACTGAAATTTGGGTGTTTACCATGAAAGTTGAATGTTAACCGTCAACATTCGGTGTTAGTTGAGTGCAGTTAGTTGAGCATCAATGTCGAAATTCTAATCAATTCTAATTTATTTACTAACATTTCATAATAACATTCCTCCTCTTCGAACCGCGTTCCGTTGAATGGGTACAAGATGCACGAAACTTATTCACTAACAATAGCCGAGGCTAATGTTAGTAAATAAGTTTCTTGTATTCTAAATGATGAACAGTTTCAATTTGCAAACGCTGGTAGGGTTCCAATTTTACTACTATGTACTACTATCAGTTCGATTGGTAAATTCATCGTGATCAATTTCTCTCGGTAATTGTAAGAGCTTCGTTATTTTTGTGAAAGGATGGCATTTTTAATGTAACAGAGAATTGACATGATTCTAATGAAAAAATTGACATGATTTCATCATCTATAACATTTCCAAATATTTTTTGATTTTCCATGCTCAAAGTCACGCGAAGATCATTGTGTAATAGCAGAGAGAAACCTGAGAGCGGCCATAACCGCGTTTTGCTTGAGGCGCTTTTTAGCGACTGTTTGATACCGCCCTCTGCATCCATTTTTAGCCGGGAACTATTTGCTGCATCGATTTTCTGACGCGCCGGTAAAGTCACCACTTGGTGCGAGTCCGTGCTACGTCCACTTTCAGTCGCACGCCAACCTTTCTCCGTTGATATCTCCGCTTCCACTGAGACTAGAGAGTCGTCAATGTAGTCGAAAATGTAGGGTTTTGAGAGGACTTTATTTTGGTGCCAGAACCAGGCCTGTATCTCTAACCGTTTAGGAGATATCGAAGATTAAAGTTTTCCAACCCTTCTCCGTTGATATCTCCGCTTCTACTGGGAGTAGAGAGCCGTCCATGTAGTCGAAAATGTAGGGTTTTGAAAGGACTTTATTTTAGTGCCAGAACCAGGCCTGTATCTCTAACCGTTTAGGAGATATCGAAGATTAAAGTTTTCCAACCTTTCTCCGTTGATATCTCCGCTTCTATTGGGAGTAGAGAGTCGTCCATGTAGTCGAAAATGTAGGATTTTGAGAGGACTTTATTTTGGTGCCAGAACCAGGGTCTGTATCTCTAACCGTTTCGGAGATATCGAAGATTAAAGTTTTCCAACCTTTCTCCGTTGATATCTCCGCTTCTACTGGGAGTAGAGAGTCGTCCATGTAGTCGAAAATGTAGGGTTTTGAGAGGACTTTATTTTGGTGCCAGACCCAGGCCTGTATCTCTAACCGTTTAGGAGATATCGTAGATTAAAGTTTTCCAACCTTTCTCCGTTGATATCTCCGCTTTTACTGAGAGTAGAGAGTCGTCCATGTAGTTGAAAATGTAGGGTTTTGGGAGGACTTCATTTTGGTGCCAGACCCAGGCCTGTATCTCTAACCGTTTAGGAGATATCGAAGATTAAAGTTTTCCAACCTTTCTCCGTTGATATCTCCGCTACTACTGGGAGTAGAGAGTCGTCCATGTAGTCGAAAATATAGGGTTTTGAAAGGACTTTATTTTGGTGCCAGAACCAGGTCTGTATCTCTAACCGTTTAAGAGATATCGAAGATTAAAGTTTTCCAACCTTTCTCCGTTGATATCTCCGCTTCTACTGGGAGTAGAGAGTCGTCCATGTAGTCGAAAATGTAGGGTTTTGTGAGGACTTTATTTTGGTGCCAGAAACAGGCCTGTATCTTTAGCCGTTTAGGAGATATCGAAGGCTAAAATTTTCCAACTTGTACCTTTGATATCTCCGCTTCTACTGGGAATTGAGAGTGGAAATTTATGGTAAGGTTAGAGTTGGTATAGGACTACATTGTGGCAAGAACGCGTTACTGTATCTTGAACCGTTTAGGAGATATAGTAAGTTAAAGTGTTTAACTTGTGGTTTTATTATCTCCGTTTCTACTGTGAATTGAAAGTTGAGCTTTATGGTCAAAGTAGGGTTGATATAGAACTATATTGCAAAAGAGCGTTCCTGTGTCGTGAGACCTGTAGGAGATATCGATGGTTAAATATGCTATCTATGATGTTCGCTTATAACTTCCATTTATCTCAAGAGCTTCTCGAGAATATTCCATTCGAAATGTTAGTCCGCGATAAAAAGTTTCTTGCGATCTGAGGCCGCTGTTGTTTAAGGTTAAATTGCAGCAACAGTATTGTTATCGGTCAACCTTGAGACCGGCTGCTAACATCCATTTATGACGTCTGCCGCGCCTTTGCGATTACCGATAAATTCAGTTTTCTTGATTGCTCGCGCGATTTCAAGTGGCCATAATATATGGCGAGAGTACATGGCAATATATGGGAATAATATATGGTAATAATATACGGCAACAATATATGGCAACAATATATGGCAACAATATATGGCAACAATATATGGCAATAATATAAGACAATAATTCATGGAATATATTTTTCGTTACAAGAGTCAATGCAAATTTGCGGCATGCACAATGTAATAATAAATGTAATAATAAAGTAATAATAAAAGTTCTTTCTGCGAGCTTTGAGTCAGACACTCACCAATGATGATATTGATGATGTCCTGTTGCATCCAACTAGATCCACCAATGTCCGCCCATGTCCGCTGCCGCTCTCCATGTCGCGCTACATCCATCTTGCAGCTCGTCCCACGGTGATCGCTACACTTTCATCACACTTCCGCGACGCGGTCGATACGCGGTATTAGAACGGCGATATTTACATCAATTAACGAACGTTTTACTCGCCATCGGTGGACTTTGCGCGCTGCGAAACGGAATCTATAAACTCGATCGGCGAGGAGTAAAAACCGTGTGAAAATTATTGACTCGTCCAACGGATTTTTACAGTGCTTTTCGCGATTGCGTCTGCAAAGTCGCGAAAATGTGGGATTATCGATATCTACGAGTGAAATATTCGCGACGCGAATGCACGCGGGGAAAGATTAGACAATCAGAAACCGGTCTCCCTTAGGGAGCGCAAAGAGAGAGGAGCGGGGCAAAGTTTTCACGCATTATAGCTCTGTCACGACGAAGCTTACGTTCGCGATACTTTGGCGAAATGAGAATTTAAGTTTTCTTTGTTAGCAACGCGAGTAAAAACGCGTATATTGACAACCGCGACGCGATATTCAAAGGCACGCGAGCGAGGATACCTCAAGCTCGGCGTGCGCTGGCACAATTTCTACGCGCATTATACGCTACTCGAGACAATAGGGATTGTGATGAATGGACAATATTGCCAAATAATTCTACAGCCTGTTTTGCAAATAAAAGAAAAGTAGCTAACGATATCGGCATTTAAGTATGAATATATTTTATACGGACAATTGAATATTGTCAAATAATTAAATCGTTAAGTAATTCTGCGGCCCGCTTGAAAAATAAAAATAAAGCAGCTGATGTCGGTGTCGCGTTTGTACATATGAATATTCTCTTATTCAGATGACTGAACATCAAAAGAGAATCATTCAGTATTTTAAATCTTGTATGTAATAATGCAGGCTATCGATCAAGTAATCCCCTAATTGTTTCGAGCAATGTATTTTATTCAACGTCACAAATACACACATGCATGTATCTATTTGTAATTCGCATTGACTCGAACGATATTTTTTAGTCCCACATCCGTCATGCAGAATTTTGTTTCTCTTTTCATTTTGACTCACCGAAACGACTTGCAGTCAGAGCCGGCCACGTTCCACTTCAACTCTATAACAAAAAATTCACATTTGCTCATCAGATTTGACCAACGAGTGCGGGCGAGTAAAAGAGTAGTTTACCCTCTGCGATCGTAATTCAAGTCGAGCCGGAAATTATATCCCAGCTCTAGATCGCCAAGAGTCAAACAGAGTACTATAGTAAACTTGTAAACTTACCTTCAAGCCGACTCTGCTTGGCCCGAACCGGATCCTCCGGTGCGGCGCGGATCCGCGTCTACCGGATTGCTGTTGCTTTCCGCAACAACTGAAACAAAAAAATAATTTTCCCGGTTGATAACCTGCGGTAGAGAGAGAATATCTTTGATCGGGACCAATCGAAAATACAGATATATTTTGATACGGAATTTTTATCTTTATATTTTTGTTCCAACATTGAAAATTTAAATGGGACTTGAAGCTTTCAAGAGAGCTGATGAGGAACAAGTTATAAAGGCAAAGATCGTAAAGAGTTGAACACAGATGTGTAGGAAACTTGTAAACTTTACCTTCCGGCCGACCCTGCTCTGCCCGAACCGGATCCTCCGGTGCGGCATCCGCGTCCGCCGGACTTGCTTCCCGCAACATCTGGAACAAAAATTTAGCGTTCTTGGTTGGTAAGCTGCGGTAGAGAAAAAATGGTTGGTCGGGATGAGTGGAGAATATTCGCTACGATTTTTTTTCTTTATTGACATTGAATGTCTAGATAGGAGCTCTTGAAAGAGCTGACGAAAGAAAATGACAGTAAGAAGCGGAGACAACAGTTGTGTGCTCTCGAAAATATTCTTTTACGGATGGACATTTAAATTCAGATCCCGTAACAATAGTAAACAAACTTGAAAGAAGCGCTGACCGAAAACAAAAAAGGTCGCAGTCTAAGAAGCGATATGACGTTGAATATTCTACACAAGACCAATATTCTCACACAGGAATTGGGAATGATTCAGAATGTTTGATTGAGAACATGATGAATTCGAGATCCACGTCCATGGACCGTTATCCGTCTCTGTCTGGATCAATATCTTTTGTATACAACAACGCAATAAATAGACAGACAGACAGAGATTGACGAGAGTAATTGCAAATTCATAAAGTGATCATTACTAGTCGGATGATGACGGATTGTGAATACCGAGCGCGAAATTCCGACTTCTTATTCCCGGAAAATTCGTCAAACGTACGCTCTCGTTATCGGAGACCTCCCGCGTAATAAATGATTCCACATACCTGGAAACGTGACGTATCGCTGCCGGCGTTCTGCTTCTCGACTGCTGAAGTCCTCTGGATTTCACTCGCTCACGCTTCTAATGCTGATACTCGCGATTCGACCGTGCAGTTAATGAATGAGATGCCGACGCGATGCCGATTGAGTATCTCGAAGACCGACGAGATATATTTCTTTTAATTACACGAGACGGAAGTGACGAGAGCGTCGCGCACGGCTACTGCTGATGGAATGAGGTCGAATACATGAGGTGCGCGAGTATTATATTGAAAACATTAATAATAATAATAATGATAATTATATTTCTATTTATCTTTTTTTCTATACTATCTAACTATCTATCTATCTATTTCTCTATATCTTTCTATCCATCTATCTATTTATCTATCTATCCATCTATCTGTCTATCTATTTATCCATCTATATCTATCTCTATATCTATCTATCTATCTATTTATCCATCTATCTTTTTTCTTCCTATGTATCATTGCAACCTATCCTGTTCTATCCATATTTCTTGCAAATGCAAATTAATATTACATTAATTTTTATATTAAAATATATTTTTTATACTATAACATGCTGAATTAATAATTAATAAAATTCAACAGGTTATACTATAAAAACAAACGTACTTATGTAAAAAAATTATTATATTATTAAAAAGTTTGCATTTATTTTTTGACGGAGATCACCATTTTCTCGCGGTTTCCGTTGAGCAACAATATGCACGTTATCTATTCGTAAAATTAAATAATAAAGTCGTAATTGAAATATGATAATAAAACTAACTTCTTCTTTTACTAGACTAAATTTATTTTTGCTACGAAAAGAAAAATGTAACAATGGAATATCTTTTACAAAACAAATAACATTTCATTTAGTTTTTAATTTAAATTTATTAGCATAAATAAATTATTCTGTCATATACTTTAATAACAAATCATTTTTAAAAGATGTATATATTGGCTAAGAGTGGATTTCTATTAACTTTTCGTCTCTCATTATAATTCTCTCTTCTTTATTTGTGCATTAATACTAAATATTCTTTATATACATATACACTATATATGTGTCATTTATTTATATATATATATATATATTGTCATGGAATTAATATATTTAACCAAGCCGTAAGAACACGAGAAGAGAGGAAGAGCGAGCAAGTGCGCGAGAGAGAGAAAGAACGAGCGAGAGAGAGAGAGAGAAAGAGCGAGGTATAGGAGTAGCGAGAAAAATCTCGCGGCTCACGCAGTCAATAAGTTAGACGAGCGGGAAAGAAACAGATATGTCGACGCTCGTCTAGTCTCCCATGTGCTACCTCGCGTGCGTGAAAAATAATTCCTCGCTTCGCACGTTCCCTTGACACGAGACGCTACCGCGTCTTTTGATGTCTCTGGAGCGTGAAAGATGAAAGAAAAGCGGAGAGATGTTCGCTTAGCGATAAGATCGCCGCTACCTCGCCTCGTGTTTACTGCCGCGCGCCGCTCAGTAGTGAGACAAAGACGGAACGATTGTCTGTCGTCTGTCTTTTTCTAATCTACTATCCATTGCATGGAAGTAGTACGGACACGAACCTAGGCGCATTTTACTTTTATCACCGTGAAAGTGCGCCTAGCGGACGTAGTTTAGGCATATTTTGGTCAGATGGCGTATCTAAAATGCACCTAGCCGTATCCCCCGAAATACGGCCGGTGGCCGCTCTCATTCTTCTCTCTGGTAATAGGTGTCGTTGGAAAGGTCTTCACCTCTACTATCACGTCATGACAAAAAAGAAATATCTAGTCCATTTTAAAAAAAATGTTGACCTTGAAATCTCAAAAAGTATGACTTTGAAAAAGATTTTTTGCGCGGGACACTATTCGCCCCCTGACAACAAACAATTCTTGTCTATAACATTTCTTTCTATCATTAAAAATAAGCGAAATATTCAAGGTGGGCAAATTAGCTGGGACACCCTGTATATCGTATATACCTATTGGTCTGTTCTTTTTAGCTGCACTGCAGAACTAGTGCAATAAGTTAGAATGAGACAACTATATTTTTTCTCACTTTAACTTATTGCACCAGTTCAGTAATGCAGCTAAAAAGAACAGACCATATATAGAAATAGCGGAAATTGCTCTCAATATGGCGGGGCCAATCAGTACTAAGGCTATACATCTGCCACACTCTCCCTTGATCCTCTCTATCAAAATTTCTTTGGTACTCTAAAGGCTCGTCTACAATAGCTGTAAGAGTAAAGGCTCGTCTACATTAGCTGTAAGAGTAAGGCTGTAAGGCTGTAACGTAAGCTGTCAGCGAATGAAAATATTTCATTTCGTGTCTTGCAACCTTACAGCCTTATTCTCACAGCTAATGTAGACGAGCCTTAAAGCCAACGGCACACGGTGCTTGTTTTCGTGCTGGATTGCTTGCTCAATAAAAATACTGCGTTCTGATTGGTACATTTCCGAAAATGGAAATGAATTCAATTCTCCATTGGAAAGCTGTTCTCCTATTGGATGTCGGATGTCCGTTATCTTCCATTAGTATCTCATCGATGCGTAATGGAGGATTCACACTACGTCCGATGTCCGACGTACGACGTCCGATATCCAATGGAGAGTTCAATTCGCCATTAGAAAGCTGTTCTCCTATTGGATATCGGACGTCGGACGTAGTGTGAATCCTCCGTTAGAATGCATTAGTGCGAACAAGGAATTTTCTTGAAAGTGTGGCATTAGGCTTGTTCGTTTTGTCTGCACTGCTCAACTGGTGCAACAGGTTGAAGTGAGAAAACCTATGTTTGTCTCACTTTTGGTCTGTTCTTTTTAGCTGCACTGCGGAACTAGTGCAATAAGTTAGAATGAGACAACTATATTTTTTCTCACTTTAACTTATTGCACCAGTTCAGTAGTGCAGCTAAAAAGAACAAACCATTTAACTTAATGCGCTAGTTCAGCAGTGCGTATAAAACGAACAGGCCTATTCTTGATATTGATCGTCTGTGTTTTCCCTTTGACGTAAATTCTAAAAAACTAAAAATTATCATTGACGAATTCAATATTCATAATTAGGTGGTTCAATATATCTGATAATTCCGCAGAAAGATCGTTAAAAACTTTAGAACTTGCCATTTCAGTCTACCATTTTGACTTCCTCGTTTTCTCTTCACGTGACGACGCAACTGCTCAAAACATGAAGAAACTAAACAAAAAAGCCAGGATTATAATAAGAAATTTATCATTCGAGGTACTCCTTATATACATTGTTAAGAATATTGAGTATTAAAAGTCTGTATGTTGCAGATACCTGATAATTCGACTAAATAACAATATTTTCTTAGGCTACGTACGATGACTTGAAAAAACATTTTTCTCAATATGGTAAAATAAAGGAAGTAAAGATTTTGGCAAAACAAGATGGTAAACGAATTGGATGTGCATTCGTGCAATTTGATCATGTACAAAGTGCAGCAAAAGCTATACATTATGCAAATATGCAACTGTTCTTGAACAGAGCTATTGTAGTTGATTGGGCTGTACCTAAGAACAAGTTTTTGAAGAATATCGCGGAAAATAATATGAAACCTCAAGCAAAAATTGAATCTGTTGATAAAGATGATGCTGATGATCAGAGTACCAAGCCAGACAGGTAATTAAATGTATCAGTTATGAACAGATTTAACTTGTATATTTCCAAAATTTTCCTCAGTTTATATATATATATATATATATCTATCTATGTTTGCAATATATATTTTTTTATTTTTGCTTTATAGCAAAAATGTCACGATAAACAGCATAAAAATGGAAGATGAATCTGATGATGAAAAAATGATTCTGTATGAGAATAAACTTGAATCAGAGAATACTGAGAGTCAGGATGAAAGTGCTGTTGAAAGCAGCGATGATGAAAACGATGCTAGTAGTGCAATTAATGATTCTGTTAAACAGAAGAAAAAAAGCAATAGAATAGAAGATCATTCTACTTCAAAACATCCGCGACGGGTATTTGATGATGTTAATGAAGGTAAAACAGTGTTCCTAAAAAATGTACCATTCTCTGTTAAGAATAATGAACTTAAGGAATACATGGAACAATTTGGACCAATTTACTACGCTCTTGTATGCACTGATCGTTTAACTGAATATTCAAAAGGCACTGCATTTGTGAAATTTAAGGTAAATTTTATTTTTATAAATCAGCTAATTAACTTATCTATATTAACTATCAGTATCTTAATTAAAATAATTCATCTTCAACCGCAAATTCTACATTTCTCCTTTATTTATATTGGTTGTCAATATTATAAGTTTACTATTCAGTTTCATTATATTTCAGGATATTGCAAGTGCAGAAAAATGTTTATCAAACGACACTGAATTATGCATGCACGATCAAATAATCGAGGCACACAGAGCATTATGCAAAAATGAAGTTGAAAATAAACAGACCTTGAAAGGACAAAAAGTTAAGGACTCCAGAAACTTGTACCTCGTTAAAGAGGGAGGTAATTATCATTATGAAAGATTTTATCATTACATTAAATTGTTATACAAAAAAATTTTAATTGTGTATATTCTTAGTTGTAGTTGCCGGAAGCCCAGCTGCAACAGATGTATCAGTTTCTGATATGGCAAAGCGCATGAAATTGGAACAATGGAAATCGCAAATATTACGCAACTTGAATATGTTTGTGTCGAGAGTACGGCTTGTAGTTCACAATCTACCACCCAATCTCGACGATGCACAACTAAGACAGTTGTTTAAGGATTTCAGTGGCCCTAAGGCTGTAATTAAGGAGGTGATTGCATTTTGTAGAATAACATATTACATCTAATGGTATCAAAAGCCATTTAGAAAATAATTTTATTTGAAATATTTTTCAAGGCGCGTGTTATGCGTGATTTAAAAACAGTTGACGCAGCCGGAAGAGGAAAATCTAAAGAGTATGGTTTTGTTGCATTTACCACTCATGAAGATGCGCTCAAAGCTTTGAGAAGTGCAAACAACAATCCAAATATATTTTCTAAAAACAGGGTAATTATGTGCGTGCGTGCACGCACGCACGCATGTTTTCACTGTGTCATTGACACTATTCTCATCCTTTATCTATTATGAAATCTTTATTAACAAATTTCTTTCATAAATTCAAATTATATATAGAGACCAATCGTCGGATTCTCGATAGAAAATCGAATTATGGTGAATGCGAAGAAAAGAAGAATTGAGAAAAGTCGTGAGCATAATCCGTTATGTTCTAAATACAAAGGAAAGCGGGAAGCTGTAGACACCAAAGAGAAAGAGTTACCCAAGAAACGAGTCAGGAAAATGAAAAAATAGATGACAATTTTAATAAAAAAAAAAAAAAAAAAAAAAGGAAACATCTCAGTTTACATCAGAGCTCGGCAAAATGTGCACGCGACGGCCGATTTTCGACTATCTCCGCCCACCGCTATTCCCTTTACCTCGCCGCTTCGCGCGCTGCCTACAAGCCGTTCGAGAGTCTCAGGAGCGTGTTTCCTATAGATTTCCACGTCACCCATGAAGTGCTATTGTTGACGCGTTTTTTCTTTAAGGTGGTATCCCTAGTAAACCTAATCCACTGATGACTGTAACAACCCGCAACTAATTGAACAGAAGCTAAATAAAATATGTTAAATGAAGAATATTCAATTCGATTTTCAGCGTCTTTTATTGGTAAGAGTGGAAACGTCAATTTGGATATTGCATGTAGCGAGCCGCGTAAGGTGTGATAAAGAATCGTCGCCTAAAGAACACTTCTCATTTTTGAGAAAAAAAAGTTTCAAGAACTATTTCATTCCAATGAAGGCATGAGATTATATTGTGTTATACTGATTTTTGTTTATCCATTAAGAGATTACATCAAAGTTATCTTAAATTTTTATAAGTGTGACAATCTAATTTTTTGATACAAGTCAATCGTGTATCTTATGAAGGTAAAAGTTGCGTGAAAAAAGTTTCAGGGAGAAGGTTACTATCGTATAAGTTCTTATGTCTAAGATGAGATTGTGGCAACTTCGTTTTACATATGTATTTATGCGACGACTTGAAGCTACCAATTATTAAGTTACTTTTTCTCTTACGAATGGGGTTATCGACTGGATATCACATCACGTGACGATATGTAATCCATAAGATGGCTCTGTGTCAATAATCTGTGCAAATGGAGAGCAGCCTTTTGGTCTGTTCTTTTTAGCTATACTGCTGAACTAGTGCAATAAGTTAGAGTGAGATAACTATATTTTTTCTCATTCTAACTTATCGCACCAGTTTAGCAGTGTAGCTAGAAGGGACAGATCCTTTGGCAGAAGATGCCGAACGAAGATGCATTGCGCCTCGTTAGACCTTTCTTACATTCTATCGGAGTATGAAAAAATTAACGGTGTTTTATACAAACCGATCAACTCGACACAACGAATAAAGGTACATATGCTATAAGAGAAGATAGATAACTGACAAATTGGTGTATTTCTCGCATATATTCGAAGCGATGAGAAAGGTTAAGTCAAGTCGTTGACGTTAGAAAACTTGTATACATGTTTATAACGCGCTTCACAATCCATGTAAAAAATATCGTATGGCTTGCCTCTAGATAGGCAGCTGTTTCGAGCCGATGATAAAAATAACTATTGTGTATCTATATCCCGCCCGCTTTGTACCGTCCATTTATATTAATAGTAAACTATTTGTATTATACTTTTTAACAGCTTATGATGCTATTGGGAACGTTTTGAACGATATAGATATTTGAAACTTGTTAAAATTTGAGTATCTTTTGTTAGCTTTCTTATTACATATTACTATATTTCAATTATATATTACTTTATTGTAAGGTTTGTTTGTGCGTATAAGGTTTGTGTATGTGTGTATGTATGTACGCCTATATATATATATATATATATATATATATATATATATATATATATACATACATGTTATGATTTATATACAAATTACAGTACACATGTTTCAACATTTCCCTGAATTATATTATACTTGGCTCAACCAGTGGCAGTTTATACCTATTCTCCAAGGAAACATGTGTGTTTCTGCAAATAATACCTCTGTCGGTATGTAACAATCATTTCTTAGCCGTCATTAGCAGCAATAATTGTATCTTCCTATTAGTCAAAAATGTAACTACAGTCAAATATCAATCAGTCAAGCGTCAAGAAGTGCAATGAAATTTTCCATGTACAAAGAAAGATTCTGTTTATACATAGTGATTCTTGTTTTCAAATTTCAGGAAGGGGCGGTTTCACATGTGACGATATCACCTGATGAGAAAACTATAGTCTTGACAACAACTCGCGACACTGTATGTCTAGTCTCTTTAAAGCCTACTCCACGACTAATAGCTGTGCTTACGGAGCATATGTATAAACAAATTACCTGTCTCTGCTGGAATAAAAACAGCACCGAAGTGTACATTGGAGATGCAGTCGGTAGGATCTCTGTCATGGTGTTATCCATATTTACAGTAAGTTTATGACGATACAATCGATCGATCAAAAATCTCCACTCCAATCGATCAATCAATCAACCAATATCTGAGAAATTTGACAAATGGCTCAGTAACATTCGTATATTTTATATTTCGTTACAATGTATCTACAACATATTTCTCATACATACATACACACACACACACACACACACACACACACACACACACACACACACGTTATACATATAAAAATAATATACATTTTCTTTTGCTGTGCTCAGGTGAATGGTATGTTTCAAACTCGAGTCTACACTCTAATGAATCTAGACTCCAGTGTCGTGCAGCTGAGCTTCTGCTCGTCTCTACTGCTCGTCTCCACGTTGACGCGCTGTTACATTTGCGACACGGTACGAGAGCAGTACAAACAAATAGGTAACAAAGCACGCAACGGCGAATTCGGCGCATGCTTCTACGAAGCGCATACGAACGAAAGCGGCATCACTCCGGACGACGAGACGACGGAGGCGGGAAACATCGGCAAGTCGCGCGGCGCGTTTAATCTGATCTCTGACAACGACAGCAATATCTCGTGCGAGAATTGTCTGAAGATCTTTTGCGCACGGCCCGGCTCGCGGTTGTGGGAGGTATCTGCCGACGGGGTGGTCGTGAAGACGCATCAGTTGAAAGAGGCGCTGGCCGTGCCGCCGACAGCGATCTATCGGCCGGCCGCTGATTCGGCATCTAGTCAGCAGGTAGAGGAGAAGGAACAAGCAGAGAGGACAGAGCGGCGCGAGTGGCTGGCGCAGTCCGTCAACTTCTCGCGCCTCTTTGTGATCGCGCGCAAGTACTTACTTTCTCACACCTCGAACAGTCTGTACGTCATCGACCCGGCGAGCGCGAATGTGCTGCTGTGGAGCAACGAGTTCGCAAGCATCAGCATGACAGCGGTTGCGGATGACAAGATATACCTCATGACCGGTGACGGCGAGTTCCATTGCCTGACATTGTCGTCGCTCAGCGCGCTGTTATTACGTCTGTATCGTCACGAGGAATATCGCGAGTGTCTGCGCGCATGTGACCTTTACAGAGATTACTTGTCGAAGACGACCGCCAAGAGGGAGATGGTCGAGCTGCTCGAATTGGACAATTTACCACGTCGACGGACCGCCGACACGTCGCGAGAGAAGGAGGAGGAGGAAACGCTGACGCTGACGCTGCGGCTGCGGTTGCGGCCGTTAATAACGCTTCTACGGTCCAACGGTAGCGGCGATAGACGCCTGACGCCCGTCAAACTGGACTCCGGTATCGTGGTCGTGCATCCCGAGAACGACAGGCTCGCCGCGGACAGAAACATCGGCCAGCGATGCGAGACGACGTTCGCGACGGCGTCGCGTTCTTCCGAAACCTCCAGCGAGGAATCGTCCGCGATGCAAACACCGGAGACTACGGCGAGCGAGCTCGATGAAAATGTCGCGCAGGGGGCTACCGACTCCGATTACGACGACGCGGAAACGTTGGATTGTCAAAGATCCGACCCGCGAGGAAACACCACGCACAGGGTGCAATCGGACTTGGAGTCGGTCTACACTCTGGCGAGCAGCATTAGAATCGACTTGTCCGAGAGGGACGTCGAGGAAATCGTCTCGAGCATCGACAGGAGGATGAGAGCGATCGGGGAGTCGTACAAGGACTCGCCCGGACTCGAGGCTTTCCTCTACGAGGTTACACGCGCCGCGGAATTGCATTGCCACAACTCCTTCCTGGAGAACACCTCCGTGCAGCTGCTGCGTACCACTGGCAGCGAACACATCGTACGACAATTCGTCCGGGCGTTCACCGACGTCAATGCGTCGAGTTACGGTAGATGCGGCTGCGGCTATCCCAGCCCGATGGAGCAGAGTGCCGCGGAGCCGAAATTCCTGGCCGTCGGCCAATCGTTGATCGCGAGATTCGCCAACGACAAAGCGGAGGAGTGCGGCTACATCTGCGACAAGGTACCGTACATGTGGCGCGAATACCTGGCCGCTCGCGTCGAGCGACGTGACATCCTGGACGATGTGTTGAGACAGTGCCTTCAGACCAGAGACAACGTCGTGTTGTCGCTGTTGCTACCGGCGCTGAACGAGCAACAGTGGAGCTGCGTGGACGCTTGTATAAGTGAGATGGAGAATGGCACTTGCTTGTTCTGCGCAACACCCTTGGCCAAGAAGCCCGATCGCGCCCGATCGTTGGATTGGAGCGGGATAGCCCGGGGGGTCATGGAAAGAGAAGGACCGGACAAAGCTGTGACGTTTCTGTTCAAGTTGCAGAACATGATGCCGGACATCACGTTGGACAAAACGTACTGAGACGCGTACTACTAATGGTTACATTAATACTTTGCTGTCTTGCCTCGGCTCGACTCAGCTCGGCTGAGTATCAATATTAACGCATTGTTATTCGTTGCAGCATATTCCAATCGATTGTATTTACAAAAATTCTCCATCACCACGGCCTGAGAAAGTCGATTGACTTCGGTAAAAGTAATCAGCTATCGGCGGAATTTGGTACAATGTGCTCGTTGCAGGTAATAATCTCGTTATTTCTACTACGAACGTGACACAAGGTGTATCTGTAAACGCAAAGGAAACACCTACGAAACGTATAGGGTACACGTATAGTTTTACGTTATACTTTTGTGTGTGTGTGTGTGTGTGTGCGTGCGTGCGTGTGTGTGTGTGTGTGTGTGTGTGTGTGTGCGTGTGCGCGCGCGCGCGCGCGCGCGCGCGCGGACTGAATGAACGTGATTCATCGCGATCATCTGAAACATTTCCAACGAATAATCGTAAAGGGAAATAGAAAATACAATCGCGCGCTGTATAATCTCACGGGCAATTCTCTTAAACTTGAACTTGTCTGAAAAGAAGGAACAGAAGGAAAACCCCGTTTAGATACAGATCACACCCGGGAATGATCGAACCGGGGAATCGATAGTCAGCATTGAGAGAGTTTGTGCGATTCGCTCGCGGTATTTTCGTAATTTTGTAAGCACCCGAAAGAACTTTCAAAGAGCTTCCGCTCCACGCAAGACCAAATAATCAATCTTTGGAACTAATCCGAGTGTTTTGCAGGTACGTGAGCAATTGGCGAAAGCTATCGAGAAAGATACACGGCGACCGGTAAATGTGAACATGTTCGGCACAGGCGCTCATCACTGGGGTATGCGTCATCAGACTAAATCATTGGCGTGCCCGTGCTGCACATTGTCTCTGCAAACACCGATTCTGTTAGGTAACAAAGGAGTCGCGATCTTCCGTTGCGGTCATGCCTACCATGTAAATTGTATGATAGAGAGAAAGCTCACTAGATGTAATCTTCACCAGTAAATATTGTAAATACGAGTTAATAAAAGGTACTTTGCGCGGTGTAACGCAACGCTACACGTAGCTGAACGTATCATATATTTCGTTTCTCTTGGATCAATCAGTTCTTCCTTCCCTAATAGAGACCATGGGATCTTTATTACATTTGTTACAATTCTCTTCATTTTTCTTGTCACAAATACTTGAATCTATTATATCGCTACATTTCTTATCACAGTTGAAAATGGAACAAACGATTACTCGCAACTGTATCTTAAACTGTAGGCAAGATAAAATCGTTATAATAATACAGAGATCCATATCACCTCGATAGAAAGTATATATTTTGCTGATTTACCGTTTTCTTTCTTTTCCCTTTCTTGATTTTCGATTCATCTCTCCACTTTTCCTTCTTCTTTTTTTTTTTTTTTTTTTTAATAATATAAAAAGAGATCGGGGATAATGCAATTAATCACAGCTCTAACTGGGAGAAGTTGCTCTCGTATACAAAAAGTAAAAGTTCTCAAATGTATGTACTATATAACGGAATAAAATTTTCTCGCGTGATTTTTAACCGCCACTTATTTAATTTTGGCACGAAATACAGGCAAGGATAGATATACATCGACATTTTCCAAAATACATTACATTATTTGTCTTACCACTTACCTTGCCATTACTGAGATTCATATTTTATCGGAATATATAAATTACAATTGGGCGCGTATGTGCAACTAAGAAACTCCTAAATACGGCTTATCGTATACTATCGGAAAGATTGCGGTTTAATTTCGTAATATTTCTATTTGTCAGTTTTATAGAAACGATTATACATTAACGAAAAGTAAAAATTCAAGATTTTAATCAATGTTATTGATTCGTTACATTGATTTTAGATATAACGTAATGCTTTTTTTACACATGTTCGTGTCATCGCGATGATGCGTACGCATGTAATGTTACTTAATGACAGACTTGTAAACTTTTGAAAAAATTTCTAAACAACTGAACATCTGTGTGTGTGTATGTGTGTGTGTGTGCGCGCGCGCGCGCATGTGTGCGTGTGTAATCCTTAAAGATAAATAATTTTGTGTAAAAATTGTTTACAAATCTTGATTTCTATCATTATTATTATTATGAGCGTGTCGTAGAACACATAATGCGAACGGAGCACCGAAGAAATATTTTATTTTTATATGTAAAAATAAAACGCGCGCGAGATAAAAACTTAATATATATCACATGGAGTCACATTAAAAAAAATACTTGTCGATAGTGTGATTCTATATATTAATAGTCTATATATTAATATCACAGTTGAAACTCATATATATATATATATATATATATATATATCTTTATGTATTGCAATCTTAACCCAATGTGACCAGATTGTCTTTGCTGGATAATTAGCTTTGTACATATATACTTTGTTTACAAAAGTATGTTATATACAATTATAAAAAATAGATGAGTAATGGAAGATTGTAACGACAGATATCAATAGAAAGTTATTGTTGGCACATATATAACTTACATATAGCAATTTTCTCCTGTATAACAGTATATAACTGAGATATTAGTATTTAGTTTTCGTCTTCTTATATATTTGATATATCCAATTGTTGAATAATGTATCGAGTAATACATTTAAATAATTCATTGATATCTCGTGTTTTTAGGTTTTGGCGAATACCATTAATATAAGCATTGAATAGAAGGATCTGCCTTTCATAAAATCATAAAATAGCAAAAAATATTTAGGTGTTAAAGCATCGCAAAATATTCACGTATTATGAAACGTCAGTCTTTGGTCAATTTTATAATACAACTTGTAGAAGCGAAGAACTTGACTTTCATATGACACCTACAATTTTATATCTCTGTTTTTACCTGTTGTGATCGCATTGCTCAATGTTATTAGAATTTCTAGAGTTTCAATAATGCCATCAATCGACACACATGTTAATTGCATCAATTAAATTTTTCGTAAAATGAAGCAACCTGCTTTGGTATAATGGCAATTAGGAAAAAAAGAGCGTGTGTGTGTGTGTGTGTGCGTGTGTCGGAGATGACGGTAGGATGGAAGGGTGGCAAAGAGGGGGAGAGGGAAGGGGGAGAATGTAACTTGCGTTGGTAACTATATCATAATGCACGATTAACATATTTTCTCGCGAAGATCATATCGCTTGATGCAATATTTACAGTGACATCGAATTATTAAGAGAAAACATAACAAATTTTTAACACGTCGCTTGTAGTGCATTGGCTGTTTGGATAATTATCAATGACTCGAGCATACACTATATATAAAAAAAAAAGAAATGTACCACGAGAATATGTTGTAAATTACAAATTGCACAATGAGCAACGTGTTAACATAATTTTCGAGCAAGATGTCGAACTGTGATTGTACATTGGATTAGTTACAGACATCTTCGTTTCCTCTTTTCCTTTCTTTCTAATGAGTATCATAAAGGACATTTGAATATGAATGTGTTCATATCTCATGAAGGAACGTGCATATTCCATCCATATTCGTATCTTGTATACAAGATAATACGCTTAAAATTATGTATAATCAAATATAGAGTTACATTCTGTGTTGCACTTACCCATTACGTCCATATACATTTCTTTCTCCCAGGCAACTTTACTCGTCGTGCCTTTCGCACGACAACAACGATCATTATAACGCGCAAATCAAACGCCATGTGAAATCAAAGATATGACAAATAATCGCAACGATGAGACTTATAGTAGACGCCGTCGAAATGATCGCGGTTTCGAGTCTGATGGACGTATATACACGGGAAGCTCTTTCTCCCTTCCCTCAATCAAGATCGTCACGTGTACTTAGTAAACAAAGTCCGATGATTAAAAACCGATAAATATGCGTATAAAAAGGAATTATACAGACGGTTGTACTTGTATAATTGCATGAAAACACGCACAAAACATCAACAGCGGCATGTTCTCTCTGATGAAATTGCTAACAGCTATTGCTGATTATTAAAATACAAGCTCGTGGGATTAATTTCGACATTTGTATTATGTATTAAGCTTAAGTTGAGCTAAAACAAATCTGTTCTACAGATATGTTGTCTGTGTTGTGCATGATTTCTTATAACGTTTCTCAAAAAATACTCATAAAACAATTGTATCCTATGATGCTTATATGAAGCTTCTCTACGATAGCATTTCAAAAGTGAATTATCAAAATTGCGGCAATACTGCGGTTTGTGAGAATGGCTTCATATTTCTATTACGTGTAAGCGCTACGTTTTTTTGTAAATTCAGATCCTGAGGAACACAGTGCGAGTGCAACGAAATTGAGAAAAAGAAAACCATATTCTAAAATGTCCGATACTAAACCTAAATTCGGAATTACACCGTTCTCGACGATAATTTAACTAAAAAGAAAATAGTAAGCGATATATTTATGTTGGTATTTAAAGCCAACATATAAGCGTGCACATATCGTATATAATTTTCAACACATGTATGGTACGCGCTTTGATTTACATTGCTGCGCTTTGTATACAATACAAACAGTCAATTATAAGTTAAATACTTTCTACGTGTCGTATTAAGTACTGTTAAAGTTGAAGTCTGTTGACTGTTTTGAAAGTATAACACACGTGAAAGTCACGCAATCACAATTTTACAAACTTGTAAAAGGCTTCACGATACAATCTCACGTTATTTGAGTAATAACCATGTAATTTGTCCTTAAATGACTTTAAAATGTCATCTCGGCACGAGTAGACGTTTGAAAGAAGCTCTTCTCTTTTTATTTTACTAGATATAAAACTCTTGATAATACTAAATTTATGCAATGACACTAATAGTAATAAATTTTGTGATTGGTAAAAGAGCCATTCTTTGTATGCGCATCGGTTTTTTGATATCGATAAAATTAAAACTTTAAACATGTATAATTATACACGCACGTAATTTGTGCAGAAATGATCGGTCCTCAAAGAATATAACTCTTTTAAATAATGTTTTTCAGTGGATCATAATACTGAATGTATTACCAGGCACTTGGCAATCTTGACAATGTATATAAGCATTAGAAATGTGTGCTCACATAAAGTACTTCGGAATTCTGTTTGTCGAGATTGCGTGACAAATGATTTACAATTCTTCTCAAAATTTATAAGATGCAACGGACTGAGCGTTTGCACGATAGTTCGCTATTGGAAATACACACAGAATATGTACAAAATATGTATACATGCCTCGTTAAAACTGATTCCTTTCTCTTCTAAAATAGAAAATTAAAGAAATGGGGGTGAAGTTTCATTCTTATGAAAAAAAAATTATATATGCTAAAGTTAAACGCGAGCACAAAATTGGAAGGGTCTACACACGGAAAAACGTTTCTTCTTCTTTTTGTGAATTTTTAGCATATATCTGAAGAATACCTTCACCTCGTGTATGCTTCGAATTAAATTACATATATAAAATATATATATTTTTTTAAATATATTTTTTGTACTCTTACTTTCCTTGAGTTTTACGATCACTACGGAATCATATAAATTTAGCGGAATTCAATGGAGAAATCTTAAAGATTTACTAATAAATTCGCAAGGTTAATAAGTATTGATGATATTTCGTTCTTAGAAAGTGGAATGTACACAGTTCGAGAGTATTAATAATTTGTATATCAAAGTCATTTTTGCAAGAATCTCAATTTTTTTTAGAATCAATGATTTCGTTATACGGAGTATATTAATATATCCCTGACTCGAGAAAATTATACTACTGGTCTTGTTGTTTTAGCTTTGTCATTCAGTTACAGAATTTACAATTTCCTGTGTACCACAATATATCGATATTGTCTGATACACAGATATATATATTGACGCTATCTTACCCTATGTTTGATATTAACCAAATAATATGACTATTATTACTTTATAGAGTGACTTGATCTTCTTAATATTATTATCATTTAAAGTCAATAATCGTTGACTATGTGTCTCAAATAACACAAAATGTGAGTACAACAGAAGTCTCATGCACCTTTTTTTTTTTTGTTAACTTATAGTCTTATAACTTATGACACAAAAAGTCAGGAGCTTGTTGTTAGTTTTCAGTAGGAATAATTGCGTTATATAATGCTTCGTGAAATTTTCCTCTATCAACTTTTTTTTACATCTAATAACGATTAGATTATGAGAACACAACTTATTACTATCGGTATGCAGTATAATATGGACATAAAATATAAAAGTGCATATTTGATATAATAATCCGTACAATATATATTATACGAATATATTATATAGCATATATTTTCACACACATAATATTGACGCATTTATTCCTATATATATATATATATATATATAGTTTCTTCTTATTATAAAGCATATTTCATAATCAATACTTTCATCTTTTTTTCATTCTTCTCTTTTCGAAAGGCGAACCGTCTAGTTATGATCACTTGCGATATATTTATTTCACATGACAATACGAATTCATTTCCCTTTATCGTTGTTTTTATCCTCGGAACTATCTCACAATATAAAATAAAAGATTTTGCGAATCACGCAATTGCAACGACACGCATCAGAGAATCAAAAAATATCTTACGCACGACGGTGCCGCTTTTCGAAAATTCTCAACCGGTAGGCTCAGGAGCTCATATATGTAAAACCGCAAATATAAACAAAAACACAGCTCTTTTGTTTGTTGTCAGGAAATTGTGTGTACAGATGAATAAAGTAAAGACATATTTGGCATTTATATTTTTGAAAGCGTATATATGTATTATATTAAGATACAATCTTGCATCGTCGTGCAGCTAGAAGTTCGATGGATTTTCGTGCTGATATTTTCCTTCTTTCTTCTTTCCTTCCTTCCCTCCTTCATTCCTTTCTTTCTTTCTTCCTTCCTCCCATCCATCATATGTATATATCTCTTCACTTTTCTCTCATTTCTTTCTCCTCCCCTCTCACCCCCTCCTTCCTTTCTCTCTTGTTTTCCACGTCGACCGTTTTGCTTTTCTGCGCTTCATCTTCTTTCACCATTTCTTCTCACCGCGAACACGTAGTTCTCTGTGTCTTTTCTACCTTTTCTCCAATTCATTTCCGATTCGATAAGTATATGTTTTACATTTTACAAACCTACTATCTCAGACTAAATGAATATATCCTTAATTGTTAACACCGTTATATAGACATAATATGTGTACATATATAGTGCACTATCATATTAATATAGATGTATATATATATATATATATATATATATATATATATGTATATATACATATATGTATGTGTGTATATATATATATATATATATATATATAATGCAAGACAAACGAGTTTTGCAATTATAGAAGATGCTTTATGACAATTCTACACTCTGAACTCGAGTTGAAAAATTTCCAGAAAAATAAAGGACAAAGAACGTTTCAAATTTTACAATGTACCTGCTATATCGGACTACTACTGTGAGAAGGATAAGCAACTTGGAAACCACCAGTAAAATATTTGTCTCACACATAGAACGTATCTTGATATTCTTACTCATCGTTAAAAACGTTTTGATGTCACATACATTGTGAACACATTAAGCGACACAACAGTTTACTGCGTGAATTAAGGGGACAGCAATCACAATGCGATACACATCATGCCTGTCGGTGCTTTCTTCCTCTCCTGATAGTCATTTTAATGTCTTGAGCGATGTGAGGAGTCTCCTCTCTCGTCACGTCGATCACGTTCCCGTTCCCGTTCCCGTTCCCGTTCCCGTTCCCGTTCCGGTTCCCGCTCCCGTTCGGATGGTCTTCGGCTTGATTCTCGTTCTCGATCTCTGTCACGCTCACGTTCTCTGTAGCGATCATCATAATACCTACACAAGTCACACGTCAGCCAATTATCTTACTTTAATGCTACTCTTGTTTTACATCTATGAGAATGTCCACTCTATTACTTAACGAACGTTAACCGTCACGATCATGTTAAATTCGTGAATAATTACGTTTACAAGAGAAACATCAAATGTGTGTAAACATACAGACTATCTGTGTGCGCGTCTGCACGCGCAGAGTTTCTCCGGTTTTGACAGCCAAATTGTGCTAATATGTTTTGTGAGTATAAGTAAAAAAGATCATGTCATATAAGACTACGCAGATCTACTGAAGCTTTATGTAAACAATATAATAGAAATAATGAAACAATTCAGCGGCCATCGTGTAAGAGAACAAAAAAACGAAAGAGTTTACGGGACGAGAATTAATACGCATCAAATATCAATTAATTCAATTAAAAAATTGATGTTGCATACGAAATGAGATGCAATAAAATTTATAAACAAAGTCCATACGACAATAGAATTTTTCAATTATAGAAATTTTGTACCGAGGAGGCAGGAACCAGCGAACGTTTAAAATAAAACATTAACTGCTAAGATCGTACTATACTGCATAAAAACAGGCTCGCTATTGTTCTCGTTCCATATTTTCGTCACAACTTTATAAGCACAAGAAAGTTATATATAAACACTACGATACATGTGTATTTTTGCTTCCTCATTTCTATTCATAGAACATACTAGCATAATTTGGTCGTTGAAAACCTGGGATACTTCGTACACATACGTATACTCTATTCTCTTGCCCCCTCCGCTCCCCATCCTACAAACCAACATTTGTCTCCCTTTCTCATTCTTTTTTTCTTCTATCATAAATCAGACTATTTTATATTTCTCGTGCACAAGAATATACAAATATGGAAGAATTGGTCGGAACGCAACAAGTGTATAAATAATATTCCTTGTAATTATGTAATTATAATGGTAATGTAATATGTACATGCTGCGGTATACAAGTGCCTAATATCGTAATATATATTCACCATTTTCTACGCGAATACAAACTTTTGGCGATTCATCAATTAAAGGGTCACATCTATCACCTCTCGGTTATGTAACTTCTTCGGTTATGTAAGTTCTTTAAGACTCCGACAGATCGTTTGCTCTTCAATTATAGATACCTATAGCTTATACATTTTCTTTTTACTTTTCTATCGATGCCTATGTTAAATGGAAAATGACAGGAAAGGCATGGTTTTTGTCTACACAACAGAGTCTTGTCAGACGTGTCTTTATGTATTTTCCACGCATTCCACTGCATTTAAAATTTATTTAAGTCTACATGCATTCACCGTAATGAAAGAAAAGTAAATTACCTAGACGTCTTGGAAGACGAGACAGGTGCCGTCTCTGGCGGTTCTTCTTTTACTCTTGGCCTGGCTGACTGACGTGTTGTACTAATGGAAAATGGATATTCTGTTATAATGGTTCGTATACCATTAACCAGGCTTAGTGCATTTCAATTGTAAAAAGGCAAATTGTCTCGAGAGAAGATAATAATTCGAATTGCCGTTATTTTGAAATAAATGAAAGAGAGCTTACGGTATTTTACAATTGTAAAATAATTATTTACAAACGCCAATAGAAAATATCGCGATTTATAATAATTCAATGTAGCGGTCTACAAAATACGAATTATGCACGTTTAGATTAACGAGTACTAATCGACATCGATTATGAATTACCGCAACAATACTACAACGATTGACGATTTAACATTCACCCTGATACCATATACGAAAAAGAACATAAAGATTTAAAGTGACACGCAATGAAGATTAGTAACATATTAGAATATTTTCAATATGCGTTTTAATTTTACTCATGTGCACTTGTAACATTCTCCGACTTGTGACTCGTGTACATGATTACAGGGTTTCAGGTTCCTCGTTACAACGTAAACTTCAAAACGGCATGAGTATAGCACGTGAAGTGAAAAAAATTGTTAAAATTCTGTCGAAAGTGGCGCATTTCTCGTATCTCGTGTTTCTAGCGGGTCATATTTTATCTAGTTTGCAGTTTTAGTCGCTCCGTTTATCGAATTATTTTCGTGAAATTACTTCATAAGAAACGCGTAATATACCGTGCGGAAGATACCGTGCGCGTAGGGAAGATACATAATATATGTTCGTAGATCTTAAAATTAAACCGTGACAAGTGAAGTCAAATCACGAGCGGTTGTATAATTGAATTTTCACTCGACGTGATTCTCTCTCTCTCTCTTTCTCTCTCTCTCTCTCTCTCTCTCTCTCTCTCTCTCTCTCTCTCTCTCTATGTGAGCTTTATATAAAAAATGACAACAGATATTTAGCCACGTGATATAAAAAGAAACCAAAGAAAAGAAAATACAATTCTTTTTTACACACGCATGATATCACGTAGGAGGAACGTATAATATCGTAAATATAAATTAACAGGATATATACAAATTCTTTTCGGTTCTTCGTATAAATGACAATATTTTGTTATACTACGATATTTTTTCCTGAATCGCTAATCCGTCTTTTTTTTAATATTCAATTTACGCAAATGTATTTTAAATTTATACTGTCAAAAGACTAAGTGATAAAAATAATACACAATTTTATATAAGTATTTGTATTTCACCTGTTTGAGAAATCTACTTCCTTCTCTCTTTTGCACACATACAATATATATCCTTTTTTCTTCTTCTCCTTTGTTAATGTATGCTCTATATTGGATTATTATACCGTGTATTTTTTTTATATTATATAGTAAAGTGTATCAATATATTGGATTTACTAATGTGCTGTCATTCTCCATAAATACATGATTGATACGAAATATCAACTTTTAAAGACACTACCCAATATTATCGATGCAAAAACTGTTACATGAGAGAAATATCATATAAATATAGGGAGAAATTGTATACTAATTATACAGCGATTAAAAAAATACTCCAATATAATTACATGGAAGAAAATTCTGGAAAAATTATGCAGTCGTGAAACAAACATGACAAAGCGATTTCAAATAAAGCGATCTCTTCGAAAACGATTTTCCTTCGTAATGATTTGCAAACTACAGTTACCAGCACAAAGATTATTTTGCATGATAATGCACGAATAAATCGACAACATTGACTTTATTGTTATATTACTGTGCTACAGTTTAAATAACTGTATGATAAAATTTCAAATGACAACAAATGACACGTTTACGGTTGAAACGTTAAAAATATGCTTGTAAATAGGCGGTATCTAAGTTTCCGACAGCAAAATATAAGATCAATAAGCAAGTCACGGAACACAGTAGTTTCTCTCGCCCACGGATTTTGGTGTCATCTATCGTTTCCTATTTATTCACATTACATATTCGCGTTTAAAATTCTTGCGTAATTTTGATTGAATTCTCGATCGTGACGGAAGTGCGCATTATGGATATTCCGCACTGACAATGTGTTCACGGTAATCAAGAAATCTAATAATTAAGCGTAAGGATGTCGGTTTTGACGTATCATCTGTGACGAAAATGTAAATGTAAGTATTCAGTCAAAATTTGGTTATGTCGCTTTATGCTGTACAATCTGTACGTACGTTAATATACATTGATTAAGCTTTGTTTCTTCTTGTCTTTTGCGCCCGTGTTGCGCATACACACACACATACACACACACACACACACACACACACACACACACACATACACACACTCGCGCGCGCGCGCGCGCACGTGATTCCTACTCCTAAAGATTCAATTAATTCTAAAATTGAAAATTGGCCTCACGAAACATTCTCGTATGCAACGGATGCGCGTGTTGTTATATCGTGTACAATTAAGAGTATAGTTTTGTGAGATCATTGGGCTTACCTCTCTTCTCTGCTTCGTTCTCTATATTCACGATCTCTTTCACGTTCACGCTCTCTCTCTCTGCTGCGTGATCGCTCTCTCGGATATGGTTCGCTGTAATAACGCTCCCTGTCTCTATCGCGGTCTCTTTCTCTTTCGCGGTCACGCTCCCGGTCGCGCTCACGATCCCGGTCTCTGCTACGCTCGCGATACTCGCGATCCCGGCTCCTGGACCGTTCCCGCCGTCTTCTGTGACTGCGTTCCCTATCACGCGAACGCGAACGCTCTGCAAGAATATGCAAGAATATGTTTCTCGTGAATATGTTTCTCGTGAATATGCAAGAATATGTTTCTCGTGAATATGTTTCTCGTGAAACGAACACGAGCAAATGTGGCAGAATTTTTATGTGCAAGTGATCGTTTGCGGATCTGTTCAGCTTGCTAACGACATGATGTCAACACGGGTACAGGCACACGTAACGCAAAGTTAAAGACTAACAAGTATACGCGAGAGAGAGACTTGTAGATTTAGATTTTACGTCACTACGTTATGCGTATATACGCGTTGAATTTGCATGCAACGATAAGAGAAAATTTTCAATGACGAACAGTGATTATTAATCGTAATTAAGCGCAATACAGATACGGTAAAGAAAGAAAAAAAAAGAAAAGGTAAAGTATTTCGCGTACCTCATCTGTTTATCGAACTAATCTCTACAGTGGACTCGATTATAGTAATATTAACAGTAACGCAAAAATGCATATATTCTGACAGAGGAGAAACACGGTAGCTTTACAAGACAAGTGACAGTAGACGCGTAAAGCGTAAAGAATGATACTCGAAAGGGATCGGACGATTTCTTTTTTGTCTATTGTACGTTCACCTCACCTCTACGTCCAGATCCGTAACTTTTGGTCTCGACACCACGTAAGGTGTCTTGTAGAGAACTGATCAGGATCTTGCATCTGTCATCCGCTGCTACTTTGGACTGCTTGATCAACGAGATAGCGGTGACCAGGGTTTCTATGGCACTTGCGTATTCGCCTGCCGCGGCGTCAGAGACTGCACGCGCAATCGCTGAAGAAGATACTGTGCGATTACGACCCATGATCTCTTCGAATTCTTGCTCGGTAAGCGGAGGAGGACCTTCTGGACGATGATCAGGTCCGGGCGCTCCATATGATGCCTGAAAACCAAATTTCAAAAACCACTGTATACTATACAAACGAACCGTCGCGACAGTATATTAACACTAGTCGCGAGCACTTTTTCCTCTTTTTTAACCCCTTCGCTGCAGCAGCTCGCTCCGCCGTAGCGCCGCCACGGCGAACGGGTCCCCGCGCCAAATGTATACACACACAATGCGCGTGGACAGGACAGTCTTTTGCGTTCGGGTTTACATCTTACGCCTGAACAAACGCCGCCTTAACATGCTTTTGAAAAGGGAAGATATTCCTTCCGTCAAATAATTTGCGCGGCGGTCACAATTATCCACAAACTAGTTCGTAGCGAATGCTGCCGGCTATAACCGACGCTCGTCTCTGCGAGTCACATCGATGGATATCGGCTGTAGCCGGCGTTCGTCTCCGCGGACTACTTCGCAGATACCGGCTATAGTCGGCGTTAGGGGCGAAAAGGTTACGATTTTGTAACCAAAATTCACACGAGATACAACGACGTACATCACTTCGAGAGATTCATAAGATTTTCATAAAGTAATGATAATATATAACACGTAAGGATTGATTTGATCGGAGAAATCGATCGCGCGCGTGCAATGTGTACAACAATTACAAAATTTATAATTATTCTATTTAACGCGATTGCTCGTCCGGATAATCAGATGAAGCCACCCATCCATCGAACGTCGTCGCGTCAAGCGAGGGCACGCCTTTGCAACAGAGACGAGCGATATTTCAATCATCTGGCGAATCGATTACTTTCAATCAGTAGTGTCTAATGACATGAAAGAAGTAACACCTGCGCGCTTGGCGGTCCGTAACCATGTGGCGGTACATGGGGTGGTCCGTGCGGTTGTCCATGTGGCGGACCATGAGGTGGTCCATGAGGTGGCCCATGAGGTGGTCCATGGGGTGGACCATGAGGTGGACCAGGCGGGCCTGGCGGATGTTGGCCAGGATGCTGATGCGGTGGACCTTGCGGGAAGAACGCGGGATTCACATGCGGCGCCGGACCGCCGGGTGGTCCTTGGGGAGGTCCTTGAGGAGGACCGCCATGTCCAGGTGGCGGACCTCCTGGTCCTATCGATGGTCGTATAGTCAATATAGTAATCGTAAGCCAAAATGATGACATTTGCAATTAATACGTAGTTACAAGGCAAAAGGATAAATTATTTTTCATCGGTTAGCTGTCAATATCAGGAGGAAATGAAAAGTTTCTCAAGTTTATATACTTTGAGTTACGTATGGATCTCTCTCTTTTTACACTCGTCGCACACAAGTGCATGTGCGAGTAATAAGAACGCATTATAATTATAGAGGCGAGTGATCAAGAGAATGCATTGGATTCTCGCATCGAAGTTGACTCTTACATATCGTTATCGTTAATCGTACGTTTCTTATATACTCGTTGGATGTAGCGCGATCATTTCTCCTCCTTGTGCATTATCGATTCCTTGTAACTCGTTTAACAGAATTCATTCTGTCACACGTGATCTATAGCAATACGGCATGATAAAATACACTACTGCAGCTCAGTATCAGTCAAGCTTGACGAGTCGGTAAGTTTGGCAATAAGTTCGCAACTAGTTCGCGTATTTATACGTGTGCTCTTCGCATAGTACAATACACGAAATAATCTTTTGAAACACCTTGCACTTTAATGCTTCTATAAGAACAATTTCCCTCAATATCATGCATCGCATATGGTGTGTGGTAAAAACAATTCGCAACGATAAAAATTGTGACATCGAACGAGCATTCTAAGTCTCTCACCACCCATAGAACCTGGAGGAGGTCCTCTCTGTGGTGGGCCTTGGCTAGGCTGCGGCCCTTGCATATGTTGATGTTGAGGGAAACCAGGTGGTCCCTGAGGCCCATGATGCATTCCTATGCACATTGAACAATCTCATCAGTAATACCAATCTCCACAGACGGAGAATTATATATAAGACACTACTAATACTTCAATCTTTGTTGCGCGGAATTCCGTTCAACGAGTCTCCACCATATCGTCAATGTTTTAATGTTATCTCGTTTTATTTCGATCATGCACGTTGGGAAAACTAAGAAAGTTCTACGAAAGCGTCCAAGTCCAAGATGTTTCAAAGTTCTTGAGGAATAACAGATCGATATGCGCACGAACCTGGTGGTCTGTTCCATTCAGGACGGGGTTGCGCTCCTCGTGGATCCCCTGGTGGTCCACCGGGATGTCCAGGTGGGCCGCGAGGAGGTCCTTGACCAGGCGGTCCAGGCGGACCACCATGAAATTGCTAAATACGCCGAGACAGACGAGAGGATATGATTCTATCTTACTTTACAATTTACAAGATTTTACTTTTTGGAATCACGAGTATCTTCACATTTTAAGCAATTTCATAAAAATAATTGGTAACATCATGATAGCACGGAAAAGAACCTGCTTCACGCAAGACAAGCGAGAAAAAGAAATCTCACTGTCGGGGTTATCTGTGGCATACGTATAATAACGGGCCTTCAAAAAGCTCTCTAACGCGACTTTGTTTACGCATAAAACGTGTAAGCGCAAAGTATATTTAAGTCTGTATTATAAGACTACTCACAACGGACGCATGTACAGCATTGTTGACCGTTTAGAAATCACGTAATGATCGTAGTATAAATTTTCATTCGATACACATGATATAAAACGTTTACGATTATACTCCATCGAAATGATTCTTTGCACATTAATAATTAAAATCAAACAGGTTAAAACAGATTAAAAGGTTTTCTTCCACATGCAGTTTGTGCCATGTGAATACATACATTCTGACGATTATTACATATATTTGTCTCGATGTGTCTCGATGACATATAGTGCGTTTTCGGTGTTACGATTACTTCAGACGATACATACGCTTTCAGATCTCTTAACCATTATAGCAAAACTTAAAACTTATCATATGCAAATATTCGTAGAAAAAATTTGTCAGAAATAAACTTCGCATAAATTTAGCTGCTAGTTAAAAATTGAAAGCTAAACACGGCACCTGATGGACACGAGTACAAAACGCGGTATATCTTCTCCAAGATTTAATTTCCTATCTGTTAAAGAGTAATGCAAAAGAATGTCTGCGATACATACCATACCCGGCGGCCTGTGCTGGCCAGGACCTGGTCCGGGAGGACCTTGTTGCGGTGGACCACCAGGACCACTTGGACCTCTAGGTGGACCTGGTGGGCCATTAGGGCGTGGCCCGTTCCATGGTCCTTGCTGGTAGCCAGGCGGTGGACCCTGATTTGGATGACCGGGTAGAGGATGGTGAGGTCCCGGGCCAGGACCCATGGGTGGACCGTGCATACGCGGTGGCACTTGTTGACCGGGTCCACCAGGACCCGGTGGACCCATTCCTGGAGGCGGCATTCTCTGTGGTCTCACGCCCTGCGGAGGACCCATCATCATTCTAGGACCGTGATTTTGTTGTGAATGTTGAGGATGTTGAGGGTGTTGAGGGTGCTGTTGATGAGGTGGCATTGGTGGTTGATGTTGATGTGGATTATGAGGACGTTGGCTCTGACTCTGTTGAGGAGCCGGAGCGGGTCGCGTCTTACACTGCGACTCAAACTGAGAACACATAAAAAACATTGTCGTGTATAAGTGCATTGTGTTGTAATGTACCCTATTACAACAATCGAAGCGTACTCCTTTACGCTGCGACTGATTTATTAATTTTATGTGTATATGTACATATGTACGTACACACACGCACACACACACATACACACACGCACGCACGCACACGCACGCATGCACGCACGCACGCACACAGTCCCTGGCCAAATTAATAGATGCACCTTGTGTTTTTTTATTTTTTCTAATTAACTATGTTATTTATCCCAATTCTACTTGATTGAGGTAATTGAGTTGTGAAAATAATGTTAGACAATTGTTTTCAGTATTCAATTACGCTTTTTTACTGACATGTCACGTCACTAGCTATCAAATTTCGCTTTTGTCATTAAACAAGTCATGACACACGCTAGTAGAACTGCCGCGCCCGCTGCAGGTACGCAGGTGCAGGGCGTGTTTAGAGACAGTGTGGCTGAAGTATTTAGTGTTTACTCGTTTCTTTACTTGGAATTTGTTCTTTTTAAAGTAAAAAATAGATATTTTTAAATACAAATTATTGATTTTTATATTTATACAAATAAAGGTAGAAAAAATGACCTATCATCACAATTGTGTTTTATTTACTGTCTGTAATCCTGCAATGAATTATTAAAAGTTCAAAACATTTTATTCAAAAATAACAACTTTGCAAAGCTAACTGATTTAGTGAAAAAAATCTATTAATGGGTTTATTAATTTGGTCAGGGACTGTACATACACACACACTCGCGCGCGCGTATGTACATTACATACATGTACACACATATGTACACACACACACACACACACACACACACACACACGCACACACACACACACACACGCACGCACGCACGCACACACACATGTATATATAAAATTTGAAATTACAATGCACCACAATACATACTTGATTCAATGCCTGCTTTGTTGGAAACGTTACTATTGGATTCTGACCATGAAGCTCTTTCTTGGGTAATCTTTCCATGCATATCCTCATACTTTGCTCGGAACCAAGAGATATCACACAAAAACCTTTAGATTGCCCATTAGCACGATTCTCAAAAAATTTCACTTCCACAAAATCAGTCACTCCAATGCTTTGAACTGCGTCTGTAATGTCCTGGTCGCTTGTCCACTGAAAGCGAAAATACTCATTAGATGATGAGATAAACTAGCGGCGCAGTAAAGTAGAAAAAATTTTAAATATTGAAATAAATAAAAATTTTTTGCGTGTATGTACCCAAGTTAAATTTCCAACATATAACTGATGTCGTCTACCAATTTGATTCGGCTGTATATTATTGCCAAGTTGATGATAAGGTGCATTTCCATTAGTTTCTTCGTTAGGAGACGTGGTATCACCACCACCATCTCCGGTATTACCAGAGGAAACGCCACCATTACCACCAGCTGGTGCAGCAATCACATCATCATACAGATCCACGCCATCACCGGCAAATTCATCCTGGAACATGTACACAAACATACCTTATAGTAAAACGAGTACAATAAATGTAATAAAATGGACAAAGAGCAAATTAATTTTGCTGTCCTTTCTCATTTTTTTTTTCTTGAGATTTGCGTGATATTAAGAAGCGTTTGTAATGATAAAACGATTTCATTATACATGATTTATATGAGAAGCAACTTAATTGACAAATAGAAAGCATAGTAGAACACAATTTTCCTTTTTATTTAATTAATTTAATTGTACACAAATATGTTCAACATGTTACAGTCAAAGTGCAAAACAATCCTACAGAATATAATTAGATCAAAATATAGTATCTATATATTTCATACTTTGGATCTTAATTCTATTATATTCTTTAATAATAATGCTCACTTGAGATTATACAGCTATGTAAATTCATATATGTCAGAGAAAAACTTGATAAATTAAATTGATTAATTCTTTTCTTCTTTTAAGATGATTCCATCAGATTTACAGGAGCATATTGAGATCATTTTGTTACTGAATGTAAGATATGATTGATCAGTGAGAAAATCAGTGAGATGGTCTATAATAGAGAAAATGTTAAACAAACATGAAAATCTCTAATTTGAAAGCAGTACTTGAGACATAACAACATGATCTCAAGAAAATGAAAGAAAACAATGTTTGCAAGAGTTTGATATAAACTAATTTGTGGAAATAAATTATCGAAATGTAAAAAGTCGTTTGATGTACCATTTTCTTATAACACGCAACCTCCTGCACACCTTGTGGTTCAAGCAATCGTGCACTTCGACTGTAACAGATATGGAGATATACAATCTTTCTTGTGTTAAGAGAAGATGAAAGAGAACAGGGATTGAAGATGATATATCTTTAGTGAGTTTAAATATTGATGCAATAGACAATAATATCTATAATTATTTGCTACTTATTTGCAATTTGCTTTATGCTTGGTAATATTCCATATGTACGATATGTAACTATAACTATTTCATTTCAAAGATAAAGATATGCGAATACAGCTGAGAAATCTTAGAATTGAATTTATATTCTTCTAATCAACATTCCAGATTTGTTTAATATATGTGCTAAATGTGAATATGTAACTATACAGCGTTGTTAATTTAGTATATATCTGTGAATTTAACAATGGGTATGAAATGTCAATACAGATGTCAACGTGGGAACTCAATAATTAAGAAATACAATCTATCCTTTTTTTGAATAAGAAGATATTAGCAAGTTGACTCGGATAAAATTATACATATTTCAATCCCTGTAAATGTCAAAAAACTGTGACATTTCGTAAATAGAACACATTAGAATACAAATTAGAACACACTTTAGAACACAAATAGAATAAATGAAACATGAATAAAGAAAATATACACAGAAAAAATGTAATCTCGCATGCAGTAGGATAGAGTGAGATGATGCGTATGTGTTTGTAGCGTGGTGTAGGTGTCGTGCGCCGTATGGTGTGTATATGTGTGTGTGTGTGGTGTGTGTGTGTGTGTGTGTGTGACGAGTACGCGACAAAACCAATTGAGGAAAAACCAGAACGAACTAAAAGGCGTGTAGAAAGAAAGAAAACGGTACGAACAGTGCGAGTAGAATAACTACACGACATTCGCCTTACCGCTAGCACCATTTTGTGTATTCCTGCTGCAAACCCGTACTACTGTTTCGCGCGCGCGCGCGCGCGCACGCACGTTAAGCTCCGATGGGCGACGGGCCGGGACAAGAGGAGAGACCACTAGTTTAGACAGGCAATCGAGAACTATACGAAACAGCCGCGTCGATAACAAAGAGGAAGAGGATACAACTTCGGGTATCAGATCGAACTCGTTGACTCGGGTACAAACGCTCGTTGTACACCGCTTGCTCGTGACGACGACGCGGTGCGCGCGCGCGCGCGTGCGCGCGTACCCGTCTCTCTGTTCGCCGCGTCGACCCACTCTCACACACTCCAGAGGCGAGTCCTCTCACGCGCCGGTTTCCAACGAGCGCTGAGACACACCGAGCGAGACGAACCGCAGGTAGGTAAGTACTTTGGGTGGCACGGTAGACGAGATCAGGGACGCGAGCTGATCGTTAGCAGCGACAGTATCTCCGCCATGACGCCGACACCACTTCTCCCGGCTCGCGGCGGAATCGACGCGAAACAATGATCGTCTCACAGTCGCGGCGCGGCGCGGCACGTCGCGATGGCAGCCCTCTCGCGCGTGCAGCGGAGCGCGTTGTCAAATTTTTCGACTTATTAACGCGAACCGTTTTACTTAATATTTTTCTCCGTCCGAACGACGAAAGACGAAACGAAGGAGGGAGTGGAGGGGAGAGAAAAAGAGAGATAGAAAGAGAGTGAGATATACGGATGAAGAGAACGCCCCAGTCCCTTTATTTCTACGAAAGAAAAGTGCGAGTTACCTGCGCGAAATCTTGATCGAGATCGTCGCCGTAAATATCAACGTCACCATCCGCCATTTTACACACACCGGCGCTCACTGCACATTCGAGAGATAGTAGGCGCCAAGAAGAAAATTGCCGTAGGCAAACCGGGTTCCCGGAGGGAGCGCGGCAGCAGGCCGAATATACCGTGGGTACTCGCGCGGTCGCCGAGTGTGACGTCACTGCGTGTAACAGCGCCACCATGCGCCACTTCTCTTCCACGATCGCGAGGCTCCAGCTGCACTTCCCAGACACTAGACACGCACCGATTGGCTCCCCGCCATATAAATGGTTGCGTTCCAGAAAACAAAGCGCTCACCTGAGCGCTTAGTAGCTATTGGTCCTTACTGTTAGATCCTTACATTCAGACCAATAACGTTAACGAATTACTCAGCCGTTGTGTATTTTCTGAACGCATCCAATAAATCCGTTTCTCAATCTGCCGTCAGGCTAATATATTACATTTGTCGTACGACAATTGCTGTATTCAGCAGAGGTTGCGTTCAGAAAACAAAACGCTCACTGAGCGCTCAGTAACTATTGGTCCTTACTGTTAGATCCTTACATTTAGACCAATAACGTTGACGAATTACTCAACCGTTGTGTAACCGTTGTGTTTTCTGAACGCAGCCAGACTCAACAAGTCGGACAACATTACTAGATTTTCCACTGAATCTCGCTTCTGATTGGTAAATACTTCTGGGTCTGTGAAGAATCTAAAAGAATGCTCCGATCACAGACAATAATCACTAAGCGCTCTCTGATCACTTTGTTCTACTGAACGCGGCCAATCTTTTCGAATACGTTGATTGGTTAACAAATAGAATATTTCTAGGATTGCTTCGCGTACGCCAATCAATGTATCCGATGAGCTTGTCGTACGACACATGTAATATTAGGCTCGCGATGCGTGCGCATGTGAGCATTAGCCCGGCGCTCGCGCGGCGTTATCGCACACTCTCGGATTATCGGAAGAGCCTACAAGGAACGACGAGCAATTGACTTATCCAGCTGAGGACCTTGCGTCTCCATGCGATGCGAAAGCGCAGAACGCTATCGCAATCGGATTCGTCCGCCGAGACGTTGAAAAGACGTTGTCTATCTGTCTATCTATGTGTTGATTGAGCCGTGCCGATAGTGATGATACGTATAGGTGGTTAATTTAATTTTTAACGGAGAAGGTACAGCAGACGGAAACAGCAATACCGTTTCCGTTTGCGCGCAGCTAACCTCCTCTGCTTAATATGTCAAGTAATATCTGTCTCAACTCGTCAACGGTTATATAGAGCTCGTCGAGATAGATTTTGCCGTCGCGTAGATTCATGAGACGCGCGCTTCGACACCGTAAAGCTAAGACACCATGCATGCGGTGAGCTCCGGCAAACGGCTGCGGTGACCAATCAGGAGACAGACGCATGCCGGAGCTTGCCGCGACCGGACTTGCGCCTCCCTCTTGATTGGTCATCGCAGCATTTGCCGCAGCTCACCGCATGCATGGAGTCTTAGCTTAATCATATGGCGACGGCGCCAAGTTCGTCGGCGCGACGTGCGTGGCGCGGCAGTGGCGGAATCGATACCGCGCGCTTCGATAGTACCAAAGTATGGCCGAAGGCGGACTCTTATGTCTGCTAAAGACAAAATAGCGAGCGACAGCAGCCGACGCAACAGCAGTGCAAACAGCAGTCGCGAGGTATTATTATGTCTGAGTTGAAGATATTCTACTATCTGCTCCTGCTGACACTACTGGACGCGACGTCGCAAATACGGCCGTCGTTGCACGGCCACAACAATGGTGAGAGCCTTTCTCTCTTCTTCGTTCTCTCCCGTCTCTGTTTCTCGCACGACTGCTTCTCTATGCGGACCGTGTGCCGTGTGCCGATCCGTGGACCTAACAATAACAATCGTCGATACCGCAAGCGCGGTCGAGCCGCATGAGCGGCGATCAGGTTTTCTTAGCGATCTCACGATGGAGGCATCGCGCGCTATTTTACGACTCCGTCGCGGTGTGCCGTCATGATATTGCCGTCGACGAAGGTCACGTCGCGCATCGCGAGCTTTACGCGCGAAGCGCCGTCACGCGACCCGCATCCCAGTGAACACCGCGCAACCATCGGTGCGTCGCGAAAGATATTTTCACCTCGACGCCATTTATTTTTCACATTTTGTACTTTCACTTTTTCTCGATAAAAGTTCTGCGAAAAGGATGATATGATAAACAGACAGATATAACCTTAGTCCTGCCTGCCTATCATGACTGCATGTTTACGATTGCATCGTAAACTGTGCTTGCGGGATTATTCATGACTGTTAAAACAAAGTTTCATGTACAACTTTATTCAAATCGGATCACTTTCTGTTCCTTTTTTCTTTTCCCCTCTTTTCTCTCATGTTTTTAAACTGGAGTGTAAGAATGTAAGAATTGGTTGATGGTATTATTAGCTTATCATTGATAATATGTACTTGACTTGATAACAAGCATAAGCTAACAAGCATACATGTTTCTCAATATTTTGCAGCCTTCGTCCAGGATGACAACAATGTTCAATATCTTTTGGATAATATGCCAATACCTATGCATAAGGTTAGTCAGTTAGATTTGTCAGTAGGTATCTTGCAGTGAAATATTAATGAACTGATTAAAGAAGAAACTTATAACAGAGGAACATGTACAGATGTAAAACTACAGGAAATTTATAACAGAGGGACATGTATATAAATATAAAACTGTGGGAAAGATTTTCCTTTACTGATTTCCCCTTGTGGAATAATAAACAGATAATTGCTTAGAGAGATATTACATTCTATTTACTGAAGAATTATGTTTCATATGTTAAAATAATATAATATGAATAATAATGATAAATATATTGAAATTTGTATTCTCATATTTGTAGGACTTTGCTAATACGGTACATGGAGCTGGGTAAGTACAATACTCGTTAAAATAATAATAGTATGTTGAATAAAGATAGGAGGGGTAGAAAAGGTTGTTATATAGTTTTTTCATTTCGACAACTATTGAAAGAGCGTATATATAGTATATATACATAAAAATCATCTGCTGATAAAAAAAAATCTCATAAAAAAGAAGAAACAGAATTCTAAATATTTTGCTTTGCACTAATGATATATTGACTTCAAACTAATCTTTCTCAAACTACCTTTCTTATTTTCAATTGTCATTGTTAAGAGTGTACAGTACAAAGATCCGTTGTTCCATAGATGTTTATGAACAATGCTCTTACTTTTTTAAGGGACGCTATATCAGACGAGGATAAAATGGAAGATATACTCTCTTATATTTCTTTTGAGCCAAACATTTTGGACTTTAAAGAAAGGTGAATACTGTTGTTATCGATGTTAACATCTACATTTTTAATAAAGAAAGTTGCACGCAGTAATGTAATCTTTCTTTCAGACAACTTGGTATTCCTCATCAAGAAACTGTGATCATGTTTAACAAAGATCACAATAAAACTATACACCTGTCATCAATATCTGGAAATACAAGACATTTCCATTCATCATTTTTTCAAAATAAAGTAAGTTATTGCGGTAAATAAAGTATATAAGTAATGTAAAGTGGCAGTTTCAAAGTAAAATGTGCGTACAATAAAACACATTTGCATGTATGCTTTTATGTCACTGATGCTAACTCGTACACAGATATGTACTTAATGTAGTAGTAATGTAAGTATCGATAGTTGAAACTTTTTTTTCTAGATAATTCCACCACTGGGGAACACAACATTCAATGTTGTCTTCCTCGGTCGGGACGAAGGTGATATTGATACACACCTTTTTATACATACATCAGATGGGACGCTAAAGTATCAGGTAATTAAATTGATTTAAATTAAATTATTTACTTTTTTACGCACACATATACACACCTGTTACATACGTGTAAGATGTTTCTACTTCTGTAGGTCAAAGGAATAAGTGTCGGTAGTCCTTATAGACTCAGACCTGTAGTCGGTGTCAAGTTACCATTAAATGCATCTTTTACACCTCTTATATATATGCACAATCCACATCCGGAAGCTTTACAAGTATGTGAATATCATCTAATCGTTCATGTGCGTGTGCACACGTGCGCGCGCACGTGTCTATACTTGTTTTCCTATGGTCTTCAATTAATTTGTAATTTCTTCAAACTACTGCACGTAAACAAAGGTGGTGGAAGTATACAGTAGTGGTGGAGAATTTGATTTAGAATTGCCATCGGGAGAGTCAGAAGGTACACGGGAATTATGGGAAATTTTACCTTATCAAACAAAGCCTGTCATCAGATTACGTTTTAATGCTTACACAGAAAAGAATCATACAGCGTACGTTAGGTTGGTGGAATACAGTGTATCTGATCGATATATGCGTGTGTGCTCGTGCGTATAACAGAGATACGCGTTTTGCAGATTTAAAGTGAACAACACTGCAGAGATCCTTGTTGTAGCGATTGAAGTAGAAGTGAAAAGTGGAGCTGGTCTTCATTGGGGTGGAAGTTCTGGAGTAATTAATTTAGGGATGGGTGGTTCGTTGCAGCCACCCATCCACCACCCTATTGCTTTGAAGAATTCGGCAAAAAAAGCAATCAAAGTTGTGGTAAGCTTTTTTGCTTTGCCATTAACCGTTAGAGCTTGCGTCATGCTTGGAAAATTGACGTGAAGATGTTTGAAGCCTTTGTTACATTAATATAATTTCCATGCTGTTATTGAGTCATGTTGTTTCTCGTAGAATATTATAAGTACACCTGTGTCGAAAGCATTAAAGCTACATTTTGAGCCAGCAATAATTCCAGGAGAAACGGATATACCAATCGCCATCGGAATGCTGGTTTATGATTGTAAGATGCAACGTTGTTTAGGCTGACTGTAGGCTAAAAGTTAGAATTATTATCTATTAGTCGAGATATAAAAAAAAATGCGTCGATTTTCTCAGGGAAGACTGGTTTGGACTTGCAACACTTTAAAGGCAAGTTGATAATAAAAGCAATAGGATCAGGCGGCTCTAGTCAGAAATTAGCAATTCCATGGGTGGCTCAAGTGCTACAAGGTGGACTAGAAGTGAACGCATCGATTACCCATTACTGTTCTCCGCAATCCAATCAAGCTAGAAACTTCAGCGTGGTGAACAAGTTTAAATTACCACTAGCTATTACGAACGTCACAATGTGTTCGAACGCGAAATCGCTTTTTACGGTACGAAGCAGCAGTTTACGCGCGTAAAATTCCTTCTGGATTCTACACGCGTCTCTGACATACTTCATATCCCTCCTTTCAAAATTCCTCTCCCAGATAAAAGCGAAGACTTTTGTGTGTTTCAGATAAAAGATTTTACTCCTAGAGTAATAAAACCTGAGCAAAAGGTCAATATATTTTCTTTACAACTTGCCAAAGAGCGAAAGGGTGATAACGTGAAAATGGAATCGTCGATATTGATACACTCCAATGTGTCTGTGACCGAAGTCCCGCTGTTGAGTTATGATGGCAAAGTGAGAAAGATAATGCCAGGAGAGAGAGAGGACGATATGGGAACCTTGAATTTTGGTACTGTTGGAAGTGGTACTGAAAACGAGGCGATTTTTGCACTGGAGAATCAAAACCCCGTTAATGTGGAGCTACATGGCTGGGGTGTGAATATACCAGGTGCAGTTTTAGAATTGATAGGATGTCAAAACGGTCCGGCGGATTTGTTGGACAAGGAGTTTTTAAACGTAACTGTATGCAGCCATTCTGGGAATGTAAGTATTGCGAGCGAGCGAGCGAGAGAGAGAGAGAGAGAGAGAGAGAGAGTGGGAGGGAGGTGGAGGAATAAGGGAAGAAGAGATGTCGCATTTCTCGCATTTGCTACCCCCTTGCTACTACCCGTGATGTTGAACGCGCATCGTTCCGCTTTCTTTTTTCTTTATTTCAGCAGTACATAAAACCAGGGTTCTTGGCGATCTTTAAGATCAAAGTAAAGACTCCGATAGTCGAAGAGGACACTATTGTTGGCGAAGTTTTCGTTCGAACGACATACGAACGATTTAATTTGCCGGTGTATATGCGAGTTGCACACGGTAGAATCTCCTTGAAGAAGCTCACTTTTACAGATTGCTTCCCTGTGAGTTACAAATTTACTCTTCTATCTAGTCTTCTCTCTCTTGAGCGAAAACTCGGCGAAACTTTACACAGTGTCAATGCTGGGATAGGGATCGATTTGTGTGCAACAAGTAAAGGTGCACTCCACATTCTCGAAACTGATGGAAGTAACACACATTGCACCCATCAACAAAGACGACAGAATCAAGTATATCCCATTGGAGGAAGCGACGATGCCAATCATATCCAAGGGTGAAAATAACGTCGGTTCGATACAAATCGATCCTTCGGTGACCTGCAAGCAACATTGCTACGTAGGTTTATCAGTGGACAGCAATAGTAAGTGATACGTAACGATCATTTGTTTTACTCAATTTAAAAGTTATCGACATATTCGTGATCTTTGTCTTTTATACACGTGTCACACTTATAATCATGATTGTCCGCTATTACAACCATTGCAACAAGTAAACATTGTAATAATTATTAATTGTAAAAACTGTTCCCTTTATTGAGCTTCGATGCATTTCGCATTCCTAATGAAACAGTCGTGTCGGATCTTACAGCAGGTAGCCAATGGTTGAATACGATGAGCCTTCCTTCGCATACTCGCGACACCGATTTGAATCTGCTGAACACGCGACACTCACGTTTTCTCAACTCCATCGTGGATGGCACGTGGGACAACATAACGATGCAGCTGGACACGAGCGAAGTACGCGGTCACAGGTTCTACGTGAACGTCAAACCGTACTGGCCCAGCTTATTGGCCAGCTCCAGTAGCGTAAAGAATAAGAGTGTCCTGATGTTTCCGTTGACTCAGGTCGGAAATACGTCGTACAGAGAAATCAAACTGTATAATCCGAGCACGAGTCCGCTGATTGTGCAGCTAGTTATGGATTGGAGTTATCCTCAAGGAGCGCGCCTTTATCATTCTTTGCCGATCAAGTATGTGACCTTAAAATTAAAGACATTTTATTCGTCCGAATTAAGAGTTATAACAAAAGTGTTGATGCCCATGCAGATTTAAGCCTGTGTGCATAGAATGTTCGTCCACGGTACCGGAGGAGTTCAAGTTGGAAGAGAATGCGGACGAGCGAGAATCGTTTGAGAAACAGTGGGGTGTATCCGTGACGCCTCAGTCACTTCCCTTATATTTAAATCCGTTGGAATCGAGGACGATTCGTGTGACGTATACACCTTTTGCGGCTTCAGCGTCGTCTGGTTTTTTATATATTAGGCAAGTCAACGAGAGAGAGAGAGAGATTGTTATTTAGTAGAAAAGAATCGTAGAAATGTAATAACGCCGTTCCACGTAATCGCGTATACTCATTTGGATGATTTTCCAGGAATAATATGACTATTTTAGAAGTTGTACGTATGATTGGTCGAGGCGCGAGCGCGCAATTTAGATTTGGGAATCGCAAGCCAGGCTCGACTACGCCTCTGCTGTTTCAATTGGCGGACAAGCATCTTAAAGATTGTGAACGTACGTACGTTTTTATACTTTTGCTTTACGATTCGACAAAGGGAGGGAGAGAGGGAGAGAGAGAGAGAGAATTAAAAATTTATTTTGCAATTTTGAAGAATTAAATTTTCTATTCGCACGTTCATCGTCCGCGAATAAACGAGATTTTCTCATTATTTTTTCTTGTGAATCAGGAGACCGCAGCAAACATGCTACGACACCAATCCTCACTGCAAAGCGATCTTTCACGGCCAGAAATACGGGCGAGCTGCCAATTGAGATCTACGGTTTCTACATAAACGGCTTACCGTGTGAGGGTTACGGTTTCAAGGTACTCGATTGCGAAGCTTTCAAGCTGACTCCGAACGCGACCAAGATGATCGAGATAGCGTTCACGCCGGACTTTACCCTGTCGCGCGTAGAGCGAAAACTGCTGCTACTGACCAGTGTCGGACCGGACAGCGGCGACGTTGAGAACGGTGTGGTGATGTTTAATTTATTGGCCACTTTACCGGCGTATTCGTTGGATTCGTGCGGATCCGTGCTCGCTAGACCGTGGTGGGAGCGCGTAGGGCAATGGCTTGCTGTCGGTCTGTCGCCGGTACTGCTGGTGTGTGTGCTCATAGTCTCGTTCATCGAGGCAGACCGAATACTGCGGGAATCGCTGGCCAGTTACTCAAAAGAAAGCCCGGTACAACCGCCTTTAGACCTGAGGCTTTTGTCGCACATCTCACCGGGACATCCGACGACCCCCCCGCACGTCGGCAGCGTCACGACGAAGAATGAGAAGGTCGGGGCTAGCGACGAGAAGAGCAAAACTAGAACAAGGGATGAATCTTTTCCAGATTGGTCGTTGATGAACGTGAAAAAATACAAGGATAAGGATGTGCAGAAGGGATTGAAGATCCCGGACTGGTCAGCTGATGAGGAGCGGAGATTTAAGCTGGACACAGAGTCCAAGGACCTGCTGCCCTTTAAGCGATGCGAGGAACCGCCTAACGCGGATAATACCGCGGCTAACATCGCGAGTGCTGCGACATACGGCACGAAGAGAAGAAACAACAAGAAACTAAGCAATATTCATGAGGCTCAATCGGACAACTGCACGGCGAATGATATACTCGCGGATGTTCAGTTGGTTCAAGAGAAAAGGTGCATCCTCAATGCGATTACCAAATCGAGTCCGACGTCGAACAGGAAGGGAAAAACAATGACGACGACGATGACGACAATGACGACGACGACGACGACAACAACGACGACGTCGACATCGACGACGACGACGACGACGACGACAATGCAGTCGACGATAACGCAATCGAGTATCAAGGAAGAATCCAAGTTAACTGATCACGAAATTCAAGTGGACACGGGAATGATAAGTAATAATCGGGTTACAAAATCGGACAACAAACGGAAGCAGACCAACAGCGCAACAGGAAACAACAATCATCCTAGTAATTCCGTTGTATTGAAAAAATTCGAGTCCGCGAGCACTCAAAGGATTGTTCACCTTTCAGAGGAAGAGACCTCATCCACAACAACGGAAAGTTCGACTCACGATGAGACTACATCGTGTAAAGTAAGTATAAATGTTTTTGCGTAGATATGTTTTTACGTACATGGTTTATAGGATGTTTCACTTACATAGCTAGCTCATAAAAATTCTAATTGGACACTGCAGTTGTTTTTATCTCCCAAAGACTTCAGATATGTTAAAGTCAAAATATATATATATATAAAATCTCAGCAATGAATACTTTAACATTGAAAAGTCCTAAAAATGATTTGTATTGTCGCAGTTGATTCGTTCATAATGAATATTGTATCTGAAAGATAGGATAGATTGTCAGTTAACGGATTAATTAGATGAGTGAACAACTAGTATCCAAGACACCTATATAAGTATATTGTTCTTTCGTGGTTTGCTCAGGATCAATCGTGCGGAAAGCAAGAAAAGCTCCAACGAAAGCCGATAACTAAGAAAAGCAAACCTCAGTCTATTCCTACTGTGCCATGCGTAGATTATAGGGATAATTATGAAGGCGATTGTGATGACGATGACTACGATAAAGAGAGGCAGAATAATCCAAATAGATGGAAAACTAGTATTGCTAGATCTACCGTGAAACATCATGTTCACACCTCGCGCACTGTTGAGTCATCCCTTAAGTTACCACGTCAAAGTAAGAATCCACCTCGAAAAGAGAAGTCGGTGCAGAAACGTCGTGGAACTGAAAAGACACACGTGAAAAGTATGTTCTTTATAGTATATATATATATATATAATTTTCTCTCTCTCTCTCTCTCTCTCGCTGATATTTCTATAATAAAAACACATTACACGATTGTGCGTAAAAAGTATGTTTATAACGTTTATATGAATAATATTTATAACTGCTTTTAATCTTAAAAATCTCCAATATTTGTTATCGTTGCAGCAAATGTTCCTGTGAACGGCAATGGGAGCCAAAAAGAGGACGTAACACGCATGTCGGGAACCATCTCCTCTGCTCCACTACCACCTCCGCCCTCTTGCTGGGGCGAGAACAGAGCCAAGTTCAGCGATGTGGTGGCACGAAGTCAGGAGATTGTCTCGTCGTTTTCCAATTTAAGTCACGTACACAAAAGTCAGACGAGTGTGTCGGGCATGTCGACGGTGTTCGGCACCGATATCAAAGATGTTCAATATACCAATAAGCCGATGCAGTCGACGCAAGAGTTACTACAAACACGAAAGGAATATAGTCTGATGTCAAGACCGGCCTCCCTTTCTGCCGCATCTTCGGATAAGGATAAAATACTTAAGCCGGACCCTTTGATTCTGCAGTCGGATACACAACATTCGAACAGTTACTTCATCAATACTTTCGTAGAACATCCCGTGAGTCAGACAGTTGAAATTCATTTCCATTCGCTTCTGGTCACTCTGAATACTTGTTTTATTTAAAATCTGCCGGGACAGTTTGAACGCGAACTGGTGCCGTACGACGACCTCCCAGAAACCGACGAGCCTTTGATCGAATTGGAAACCCCCGAAGAGGACACACGGTGCCAACTGTGGGAGGATACTGGTCCTATGATAAATTTATTGTCGGATACAAGCGCAGTTACAAACGCAGGTACAAGCGTGTTTCAGTTAGAGTCACCGAAAGCCACAGAGAAACCAGTTTTGTCCGACTTGAAAGGTACGAGAGAGGCTCGTGAATTTAGAGACGGACGACACGTAACGCTGTTGCCTTTGCCATCCTAGTTTTTATTACTTAGCCTACTGCTATAGCCGGATGAGCCCAAAGTCACGAAAAGTTTGAAAAGACATGGTCTACACTTCAAAATTAAGCAAAAGAATCTACAGCGAGAGTAGAGTACACAGCGCAAGCAAGATTGTCTAAGACATGCGATGTTTATCGCGCCTCCTGTAGTTTCTTTCCTTTTCTCTTCAATCATCCGGTGATCACTTTGGATCACTGCTACTTTTTATTTAAACTAGCGATAAACGAATTACGATTGCAGATAATTGGGCGACAGTCGATATGAATTGGGAACCGTTGTACACTAGAGCAGCCGTTGGAGAAGAACGAAGTGGTGTGTGGGGAGTCAATACGGGTGGTGTATGGGCAGCAGCGCCTTGGGGTGCCGCCGCCGCACCGCCTGTGGTATCGCAAACGTTGCAGTCTGAGTCGGAAAACCAAGTGAGTGGACGATCAGATATCGACCGTACGATGACGAGTTAGAGCAAATGCGATATAACGAAGTGACGAATAGACGGGCGAATGAAATAGAGAGAGAGGGGTGCGAATGAGGGAGGGTCTAGCAAAATGACGAATTTCAATGATCATTCCAGGAGAGGTCGGGCTTCGATCCATTTCGTTCGCTTAGCACCATATGGACGCCATCGTCGACGGAATCATGGAGAACGAAGCGCGAAGACTAATTGAATCGGAAACTTGGAACTCGTTTTATCTTGTGATATCGTAGACTTATTTCTGACAATTTCTCGGCAAAAATCGAAAATAACGACAATTTTAACCGCGGCAGCAGCATACATGCGACCGGTAACATTGGAAATTACGAAAATCGTTACGTTTTGCTGCAACTGCGCTTTGCACACTATGTGATATGTGTAATTATTATTACGTTATGCGACAGTAATCCTGTTGGTCTGTCCAACGAGTGATTTTCGTGTAGTTTCTTAAACCAAAATCTAGAAATGTTATATTATTTTATATTTCGTAACTTAAAACATATTTGCGATGCGATGCCTTAAATTATTTGCGAGTGAGATACGTCGTGCATGTGCAGGATAATGGTGGATTATTATAAAAAAATTTTGTTTGCCTGTGCGAGTAAACCGTGAATGAAAGAGATAGCTGGACCGAGCGTTAACTCCGACCGAAAGGTACCAACGACAAACTGAGAGTAAGTAAGATAGTAAAAGGAAGTAACGCCGTAAGCTTTCCCTTACCGCTGTTCTCTCTCTCTTTCTCTCTCTCTCTCTCTCTCTCTGTTAAATGCTTATTGCCATCTTATTCCTTCCACGTACGGTCTCTCACGTGATCATCTTGTGTGAGGGAACAAAATGACATAGTATCAAATCACGTTTACTATCTCGTTTTTTTTTACTAATCTCTTTTTGCCGGTATCTTTTATCCTAACTCTCTAGTCTGGTTATCCTTTCAAACACGGGATGAGCACAATTGACTACACACACAATGGAGATGGAACATAACATGTGAAATTGCAGAACGACTTTGGAAAAAGGAAAGAAAGAAAAAAAAAGAAAAAAATACAATCTCATGTTAATCACACACAAAACTTGTTAGTTTAAAGAAGCGAGTATATCGTTATATACGTGGCTTATGGAAAACAAGAATTATAATTTACTCTACTCGACCAGAGAACACAACTCCTCCTTTCTTTCGCGCGTGATTGTCTGCGTGCGTATGCAAAACACGAGAGAAAAGGGAAGAATTTTACGCTAATCCGACGGCTGTATCGAGAGATACTCAATCTTGGTATTTATTGCCACGAGTGATAATTAAGTTATTCGAGACGAGTAAGAACTGTGATTTTTTATAGTCTTGACTTGTAGGGGATACTTGCAGCAAATTTTCAAGATGTTTTACAAGGTTACGACGCCGTATACAGAGCGAAAAAAAAAAGAGAGATGAAAGAATTGTGTACCTATTCTTCAAGACTGGTAATCGTTGTGTTTTAATAAACAAGTCACAAAAAGCATGGCAGTAATGTTTTATACACGAGAAGACAGAAACTCTCTTTTCGTGGAAATTATTACAGGTGCATATTCACATGCACGCGCATGCCGTGATTTTCTCCTTCGCCAAAAATACGACACCGGTGATGTCATTTCAAAATTTGCACGTATATATCTGACAAAGGTGATATGGTACATCAACGCGGCAAAAGTTGCATCGTTATGCTTGCTTACTACGTGGGTAATACTCATTTATCAAATCAGTCGTCAAAGAAAACATTGGTCCTATTCTTAGCAATATATTGATAGAAAATTCTGCTCGGTAATCCAAGAGCGTTTATAAAAAGTTTAATCTAGAACTCATTTTCGACGCGTTCGTCAAGATGCACGACTTCGCCTGTTGTATCCTTCTGACGAGTAACTGAAAAGAAAATTTCCGTGTATTGTGCGCTTCTTTGACCATGCAGCAATCTTTATTATATATTATATAATTTTTAATATTTCTTCTCTTTTAGCTCATCATCGTGTTTCGTTTCGGACATCTCCATGATTGGAGGAAATTATATATATATATATATATATATACCATGTTATCGTCATCTATCTTCTTCTGCAACTTCCTCCTGTTTATCGCGGAGCTGCTGATCCTGGTCTGTACGATGCGTTCTTCAGAGACTTTGTGTTGAGGTTTTTGCTGTGCCATAATCTTCCTGAGTAACAGTTGATTTTCGCGCTCTATCTTACGCATCTCTTCATCGGTAAAGCTCATGTTCCATCTTCCGCATCTCCTCGGCTTGACAGATCTGCCAGTGGTGACAGCACGAGGCGGTTCGTCGCTCACCGAATCAATTTCTTCGTTCCGTCGATGTAGTCCTGGAGAGTTTAAAGCCGTAAGTGCTTCCGCGTCCGCAGGCTTTACACCCCCGTGGCGTTGAAGATGGACCGTGCGTAGTGGAGAGGAAGAGGAATCGCTGGCCAGCGATCCTGGCGTTACGTTGGCGATTTCGGATTCGTCGCAGGACACGTCGGAACAAAAAGACTCATCCGTGTACGCGGACTCATCCTCCGATTCCGCATTGCCCGACGCATCCTGAACGATAATATCCTTCTCTTTATCCGTCCCAGAAGGTACCGGTTGCACCGGAGCAGCAGTTTCCCCTTCAGTCTCGCTGTCTTCGTCAATCTCGTGTATATCAAAAACCCCGGTGAATCCTTTGTCCATATCCTTTGTCCATATGGCCTCTCTGTCGCTGGATAACGCGGAAGAGCATTGACACTCGTAGATGCTTTCTATCTTGTCCGTGTTCGCTGTCATGACGAGAAGCGTGTGATGTGAGTGCGTTGATGGTATTTGCGCGAATGTGATTCCAGATTGTCTAGAATGAAATTCGAAGTCATACGTAACCATGCCGACCAAGTTGTCAACAGTGGCGTCAACACTTGCGTGACGTTGCGAGTGATCTTTCGTAGCTCGATTTTATTCTAACCTGTGTGTAAGTAGACTGCAAAGGTGAAGAGAGAAAGAAAACTAAAGAAAAAGAGAGCGAGACAGACATACCAGGTATGTGAAAATTGTACAAAAGGTCGAAATTCGTTACTCGTCGAAGGTAACTACCGTTTGTTGTACAAACTTCTACGAATTGCGAAACGCTTTCCAATATTACTTATTCGTTTGAAGTAAAATGACGTTGTACACCGGCTCGTGACGTACAGTCCCTGCCTCTCTCTTACATAGTTGAGACTATTTATAAAAGTAAAATTTGCGTTGATGTGTGTATCTCTCGGATAATATCACCGGCAGAGTGACCGATGTGAGAAACGCCACACAGTCTGACTTCTCACTCGTTAGCAAAACCGAACACTTTTAAACTGCCAGCATCGCGTTTTCTGTCATATGTGTCTTTGTCATCGCACGCGTAAGCCAAGAGGTACTGCTTTGGATGCCAGGCGACAGTAAAGGTTGCCGCTTCCACCGTAATGTCGGCAATCTTTTCACCAGTCTCCACCTCACCGATGTCGATAACCAAGTCTTCGGATGCAGCCGCCAATAACTGGCCGTCATATGAAAAGGAAATGGTCCGAACTGGCCATTCCAGCCTTGAAAACGTTCTCAAGCAACACAATTCGTCAGCGTCCCATAGCGAAACCAATGCATCTGCGGATCCTGTAGCAAAGTACCGGCCGGTCGGGTCAAACTCGATACAAATGCACGTACCCGGATGTGCTTTGATTACATGTAACAATTTCAATTCTGGGTAGCTGAGTATATGGACACAGCCCTGGCCATTTGTTAGATAGAAAGTATCCGAGTCCTTGTTCCATGAGATCTCGTTCACCTCAAAGTTGAACTGTTCTTCAGCACGTATCTTCATTACTCTAGCATCGATAAAGGTGACCAAGTCTTCCTTGTTTCCCACCGCGATAGTATTACCATCTGGCGACCAAGATATGTTGATGTTCTCTCCTCTAGTGCCAATATTTGCTGTACATTTCTGTGTCCTTGTGTCCCAAATACGGACTGTCTTATCTCCACTTGCTGTGGATAATAATTCTGGATAAAACGCGTGCCAGCAAAGTTGATCCACACTACCACCATGTCCTCTGAAAGTTGTCTCTTGCTTCTGCAAAAGAAAAGCATACACTGAGTATCTTTATAGCTAGGCCTTAAATTCAAATCTCACTAATGCAAAGAATTAAAAATCAAATAAAAAAAACCAATCACTCATTTTCTATTGTGCATTCAAAATGCGATACTTGTATAAGTTTCTTTGTACTCTGATGGTAGATATAAACTGATAATATCCGACATTTGCGATGGATACACAATTAATATGTGAAGAATGTAAAATATAGATAGATATATATATATATGTATATATATATATATATATGTATTACGTTGAATCTTATTGTATTGAATGTTATAGTTTCAAAAACTACAAGAGAAAAAAAAACTGTTAAAGATGTAATATAGGTTATACATATTTACCAAACGGTCAGGACCCAGCGAAAATATACAAACGGACTTGTCGAAGGAACCTGAAGCTAGGAACTTGCCGTCGCAACTCCATCCTACACTATGAACTTTCGCCGAGTGGCTCTGCTGCTCGCGAATTTTATTGTGCGTCTTAAAATAACTGATTAATTCCTCTACTCTCGCCGACGTAATAGTCGCCATTGTTGTTTACATGCAACGGTAGATTTGTCCCTTTAAGGTACAGTCACAGGTGGAGTTGAAATCGAAATAGCGGAACGGAAGAGAAACGGACAAGACGAATAGTGGGGGTTAACCAGTTAATTAATCTGTTCCGTTGTTTCGTAGTGAGACAACGGAATAGAATCTCTCTGATTGGTTAATCCCCACCACCATTGGTCTTTTCCGTTTCTCTTTCATTTCGCTATGTCGAATTCCATGTGATCGTATATACACTTAAGCCCATTCTACATTAGTCATAAATCTCACGTAGCAAGCGAATTGACCAATCATAGTCGAGTATTCTCCTTACGATCAAAACATAATCAACTGTGATTAGTTAATTTAGCTTGCGGCTTTGCGACGTACGACTAATGTAGAATAGAAAACTTTTCACATCAGTGCAAAAATATTCCGTTTTTATTGGCAGTGTAAAGTGCAAAGAGCCATAAGGGCGTATATAAGGGTGGCAAGGGAACGTAAGAGTACGAAAAAATTACCGATATACGTTTGATAATTGTTGAAAGACTGAAGTTCTTCAATAGTATGCAACAGTAATTTTTTCGTATTTCTGTAGTTTTTTTTTTCCACACAAGGGTATTTATAAAACAGTATGAGACCTCGACGGATGCTGATTAAGATCAACATACAAGATTATTCCGTGATGATATATAACGTGCGAGCATAACTCATCTTAAATGCAATATTTTTTTTGCCTTAGCTAACAACAACGGACTCGTATTCTGCTCCTTTGACACGTACACAAGAGTTCCCCCCCCCCACAAAAACGTGCGTCGAGAATCCCCACGTGCGTGGATCGCACGTTGCATTCACGTGGAATTCACAAAACCGCACGTTGGATTTCCCGTGGACACGACGTTCCTGTTTTCGTGGGTCGTTGTCACCGGCTCAAAATCGGCTGGAATCAATCTAAACCTAAACCTAAAAGTTATAAGGACAATCTCATATTCTCGAAATTTCTACAAGCTGCATCATCATTGGTGACATTAAAGAAATACGACTGGGCTGTCTTCGGCCACTAGAAAACATATTTGTCTACGATTGGCGTACAGCCTTACATCCGATCGGACCCAAACATACAGGTTTATCACACGAGTTTCAAGTCACAACTAGTAACGATAATGTTAATATATCAGAGAATTCTTCTTTTATTTTGATATCGTGAACGTTAATTTGCACTCCTCTCTGTGAAAATGTCCAGCAAACGTCCAGCAAGCGATCAGAAAGGCACATTTGTCGATTCAGAAGATGGTAAGAAATACACTAGTATACACTCGCGCGAAATAGGTGTATTAATACCGCAGGATAAATAATATTTCTACGTTGATATGTTTAGTGTCCGTTATGGAGGTAGATTTGGACCCGAGCATGAAGATTGACGAAGGTGCGAAGAGTGCAGAGAATATCAAGAACGCCGAAAATATCGGAAATGTAACGATAGACGTCAGTGAGAATTTGATGGATTTATTAAGATTGACAACCAACATTATGATAAATGTGATCAAAAATGAAAATTTGACGAAATCAGACGCACTTCTTAGACAGACAGAAGCAAACATGAACAAACTTTTTCAATTTCTGCATCTGGGAAGCTCGCAAAACATAAAACCCGACGACAGTACGATTCTTGCACAAGCATATTTAAATATATCTACAGTATACCATAATTTGAATTCAAAAAGGGAAAAAATATACATCGCCGAAGCTTATCTTACGCGATGTATAAAGTTGCTAAAGGATAAAAAAGTAGATCGCAAAACTATTATGATTCTTATCTCAGCGAATTTTGAATTAGGCCACATTTGGTATAAATTGGACAATCAAGAAAAGTCAAAAAAATACTACTATGAAATATTACAATTGTATACGTTGTACACGCAGGGAAAGGACGATTATCCTGTTCCTGTCTATATCCCATCTATTATCGATATAAATGCAAGATGCTATTTCTCTAATTTGGATACATTATATTGGCAGGCTCTACATGATCTGTCAACGTTGTTTAACAAAGCTAATATATCTGTGATCGAAAACGAAATCGTCGTGACGCATTTGCATAACTTATTGGCGAAATATTTAAAAAGGATGCCATCGAGCATGGGACGTATCAAGTGGGTTAAGCACACGATAGAATTAGCTAAATTGCTTTTAGCATACGATCGATTTGTTGAAGCTAAAAATCACATCGCTGCCGCAGCTTTTGCGGTGAGGCAATTTTATGACGAGGAATTTGAGAAAATTGACATATCCACATTTTCGGAGAAGATGAACGCATTAAACAATCAATATATTTATGAGTATAACAGGATTAACTTGTGCTGGGCATCGTATGGAGTTACGCTTTTGTGCGCGTCGATAAGGCGGCTATTCACACAGAATAATATACGAGAGGACGAATCTCACGAGACCGACTTCAGACAATCAGAATCCGGAAATGATTCCGCGACACAACCGACAAAGTTACTATTTATCGATCTAGAGGAAGAACTGCGAGAGTTTACTGCTATAGACAGAGACACGTACGTTACGAATTATCACGATGCTCTAACACTTTTTCAGAATGTTCTGCGCATGCTTCGTCAGATAGAGATGTATATTATACAGAAAACTTCAGACTTCAATTTACGTATGGAATTTATTCAATGCATTTCCAAAGGATACAAATATATATTGTACTACGAGCGAGACAGAAGCAGACAGTTAGAATTGCACAAAGAAAAGATTGCCATTTTAAATAATATTACACAATTACTAGACCCAATTGAGGATTCGTATCTATACGGACGTGTTTCGTTGGAGCTTGCAATTGCAAGATCCAATATGTTAGATGTACAACTTGAAAATCTCGAGATAAACGAGGATTCAATGAGTTCGTTAAAAATCAAAGAGTTAGCAGACTCAATCGTAGAAAACTTTCACTCATATTTGCAAAAGAATTCTCTAAATAATCTCGATGAAACAATTGCCCGATAAAAAAGACCAGGTCCCCTGTTACACAGGATAGAAAACTGTCACACGTTAGCACATTGCAAATGGAAAGCTTACGAGTCCATAAAACTATTCCTCAAAAGAAAAGCAATATGAGATAAGAAATAAAGAAATTTTTATGCCAAAGAATTGGCACATAAAAATGGAATTTTCATATACCATGTTTATATCAGATGCCATGTGTATATCAGATAAACAATATCATACAACTAAGATTAAACTTATTGTACTGTTATTTCACGAGTATCTCGTGTTGTGAAATGTATGAGATAAATTGGGAACTATTTTATACTTTTAACAGTTAAATAAATGATAAAAGTTAAGTAAACATTTTGCTATTATTGTTGTCGTCCTTATATATATATATATATATATATATATATATATATATATGTGTAGTTTTTTTTTTCTTTTTTCGAGCAGTTATATTATTATTGACAAATATTCAATTTATTGTTTAAAAGAAAATAAGAATTTAGTAACCACTGAATTTTCTTTCCGACGTGTCATCTTGAGGATTTTTTTAATAAGTGCCACATACACACACATTAAACGGTCATCATTTATAGATACGTGTAAAACTGTTGTAGAATATAAGATGCGTTCTTGACGCTTTATTTTATCTTTATCGCTCATTACGTAGCGAAGGAAAATAGAAGATGCTAAAAGCATCTTCTATTTTCCTTCGCTACGTAATGAGCGATAAAGATAAAATAAAGATAATTATCGGCATGAAAATGTCCAAAACGAACACAACCATAATAATAATCCGCAAACATAACAAAATAATACAATTCCGAAACACATAATTATACCGCGTGTGAAAAAAAAATGAAAACCAAAAAAATTACTGTTACCTCACGTGCAGACAAAAGTCGTTACAACAACAACCGTTGTTTTTCGTATTTGTATTGTTTCTACGTTATATAGCGATTATATAACGTATCCCGTGCTTGCCGATTAAATATCAATTTCGTAAAATTTAAACCAACTTGATCCTCTGTTCTGTTTCTTTGACGAATTTGATGAAGCTGACAACCGTCAACCATTACAACGTCGCGCCTTGCGCGACGTATGTCTCTTCAATGGAAAATTATGCTTTCGAATTATATTTCGTAGTTTAAGACAAATATCTACGTCGTGGATACTGACTCGTATATTACTTACTTCTCCTTCCACTTATTTTCCTACTTATGCTTTATCCACCGGCATTAACACAGAAATCGACCAAACAAGTGTAACAACACACTCATAATACACAGTAATAATACATACATTACTATCATACAATACAGTAATAATCATGTACAAAATGTTTATTCGCATTATGAAATTTTACACAGAAGTACAAGTTTCGAAATCGTATCATGTGTCCCTTAGTAAAACAGCATTGTACTTAGCTTTAATTAACACGATATTAAGCTGCGCGCGAATATGAGCATAGAATATAAGCATAAAATAAAAAGGAAAAAAAAGGAAAGAGAAAGAAAAAATCTGAAGAAAAAGAAGATGGCCAGTCTATTGGCACACGCACATACATATACATATACATATACATATAATAATAATATAATAATTTTCTTTTTTCAAAGGCAGCTTTTTACAGGCGTACGAGAGGACTACAGGCGACTACTGAAAGCTTTCTACTTATGTAATGTAACAACAGGGAGATTTATTGTGCATACTTTTGCCGTTCAGTTCGTTCACTTTATGTATATACCCAAATATAATTCGGAACTGTGGATATTGTACTTAACTAACTTATTAATTTCCGCTGTTAGTTCTTCGTTTATTTTGTCAAGTGATTCTAGGTCTTCAGTTTTGATATCCAACAAAGAGTAAGAAGCAAGCATCAATTGAAGCCAAACATGCTTGCGAACATTGGCGTCATCTGTATTGACTGTCTTCGAAATGTCATATAAAGTGTCTATTCGTTGTTTGTAAAGTTTCACCTGGTTGTCTTTCTTTTGCTCATAGCGTGCCAAGTATTTGTATGCTAGAAAAATGCCTCGAGTAATGTCCACGTACATGTTTGCGGTCTTTGTATTAGCTGCGAATTCTCTTGCCTCCTCAAGCCACCTTAGAACACGCCGAAAAATCGGTTTAGCGTCTTTGCAATCTGTAATGTAGGTGTCCCTGATCAGAGCAGTGATGTCTTGCAGTTCATTCTCCAAATCGGTAAATATCAACTTCGTTGACTCCATCGCCAAGTTGCCTGTTGCGACTTCGTTCCCTTCCTCGTGTAGAAATCGTTCTCCCGATAAGCACAACAGCTTGTTTCCGTATGTCGCCCACTTTATAGCAATATCGGCTACGGCCTTGTTATATGTGTTGCGTAGCTCAGCTTTCTGCGTCGGTAATTTGTTTTTGTCCATTTTCATAAGTTCTTCCTCGTAAAATTTCTTCGCGACGAAGGATGCGGCAGCGAGATGATGTCTAGCCTCGGTAAAGCGTCTGTTCTTTATAAACAGCAATGCCAGCTGCGAGGTGATTGTGACCCATTCGGGATATTTCATAAGTAACGGTACCGCTTTTAATATCTTGTTCAGTATTTTATGCGTGCACATTATCATTGTACAGTTATCTATCGGCAAATATTCGTCACAGTAATATTCATATAACATTAAAAATTGTAAAGTACGTGCGTACAGTATGTCTAAATCGTATTCATAATTTCGGTTGATTACAATGCCAGCGACGGCTAGAATGTAGACAGGATGAGGATAGTTGTCCTTTTTCTCAGTGTACATCCAGTAATATTCCAATGTCTTACGCGTTACTTGTTTCCATTCTTCGATTTCTTGCAGCTCTATGTAAACGTTGCGCGATACGCAAAGTGCTTGCAAAGTTGTCAGAACAGCTCTGCGATCTAGCTCTTTGCCCTTCAACAACTTCACGCATTGTCTGAGATACTCCTTAGCGATATATATTCTTTCCTTCCCGTTGGTAATATCAGTAGTACCAGCATAATATATATTAGCTAATGTTAAATAAATGTGCGCAAGAATTATACTATCGTCGAAATGTGCGTCCTGCGAATTGAACGTGTGATGAAACCTTTTCACTTGCATCTCCGTCTCTCTGAGCGTTTCGATGTGATCCGCGGAAAGTCGGTTGTCCTCCCTCGTAATGTTACGTTCCAAGTCGAATGTAAGCTTTAAAAGAGCACAATATTCCTTATTGATATATTTTATCGTTATACTCCTGGTAGTCCTGTCACTCTTGGTCGACTCTTCCGCTTCCGTAACGAACGCTAAACATATACATATACCGATACATTCAAAGATTATTCTGTGATCACTGTGTGTTTGTGTAAGTGCATTCCTCTTTACCATTAGCCGAGTCGAAGAGCTCGCAGTCCTGTACTTTCAGCGCTTTTGTACTTTCAGCGGACATCTTGCGGGTGGAAGAGCGCGCGCGTTAGCGACGTTCGATCGACATCGGTAGAAAGGATATCGTTCTGGTATGTATAACTCACCACACACTGTGTGTTGTAAACAGCGAGTTGTATATATGAGCAGCAACGTATCTGTGCCGCTCTGATTGGTGGGTTAGGTAAGTATCCAAAGTAAGTAAACCAATAATAATAATAATAATAATAATAGGGACTGAATAATCGCGATATATATTCTCTAGTATAATCCAGTATAACGCTATTGTATATACAATGCTTAGTAAATTGAAATATATGATTTACGAAGTGCGATTCTACTACACAATGTCACAATAATTAATTTCAACGATGCGAAGTTGTCGTTGTTTTACCATTCTGAGCTTCACAACGCGTTTCCTTAAGTAGATGAAAAATCGACGGTTGCCGAACCATCGGTGTATATTGTCGTGCACGAGTTGTTTTGCGCGCTACCGGATATCTATCATCACGTATTGTACCGTTCGCGCAGGCGAGAAACAACAATTTCTTTTTTTGCAAGTGACACACAGGAGAAGCTCTTCATTATTGTGATTTCGTCATTCGTCAAGTTGCTCCTTCCTAAAGAGATGTCTGGCGAAAGCACGAATGAACAAGAGTCCGCTACATCCGCCGAGCCAGGTAATGTAAAGAAAAGCGATTGATTAGTACGAATATATTTGAGAATAATCTTCCGACGCGTCGCGATTTGTTTAGAGTCCGTGGAGAAAACGGAGCTGCTGGAAGACACTGCCGAGGACACCGAGTGTACGACGATGCACGTGAGAGAGGAATTCGTTGAAATCTTAATGTCATCGAACACAGCTCGAGATTCTACAAAGGGAATCGAACCTACGAAGAAACAGACTAAAATGATCAAATCGATTGAGGGGAGGATGAATAAATTGTTTCAGGATAAGCTCAACTCGGAAGACGCGAAACCCGACGACGCTATAGCTCTCGCACAATCTTATTTACATATTTCTCAGGTGTACAGTGATGTTGTGTGGAAAGACACATTGTCCGAAGCCTATCTGTTACGATCTTTAGGATTATTAGAGGGAAGGGAGACGACTCGTAAGGCCATTCTGACGGCTATGAAAGTGTGCAACTGTTTAGGCCGCATTTACCTCGACTTAAGAAACCCTAAGAGATCCCTGTCATTTTATGAGAGAGCATTCCTGCTTTATTGGACTTACACAAACAGAAAGGACTCGTACCCCGCTCCTGTCGATATTCTATACGTGTTTGGCGTTGTCACGAAAGAGTTCCAAAGCGGTTATTCACTGGACCGACAATATATGTCAACTTTATCCAGCTTGATAAATCTGCATGCACAGATGGACGAGGGATTACACAAGCCGATTATTACAATATACGAACATATGTTATTGCAAAAGCAAGTGCGACTAATACCGTTGACTATAGACCGTATACAGTGGGCTCTAAAAGCGGCGGAATTAGCCGAATACCTTTCAACGCACAAACGATTTACAGAAGCTAGAAATCACTTGGGTATTGCATTTTACATGCTGAAAAAATTTTATCGGGACGAGTATGAGAAAATCGATGGAGTGAACTTCCCAGAGATGAAAGCTTCTTTGTACAAACAATATAATGACGCGGTTGTCCGTATTAATATATACATGGCGCAATATGGACTCATGCTTTTATCTTCGTCGAAGGAACGACTGCTACGATTTGGAAAGGAAGATAAACGATGCGAGACCAACTTTCTAACAACGGTCAAGCAAAAACTACCGGAGTCCTTAATGTTTACCAGCACAAACAATATCCAAGAAGAATTTAATACTTGGATTACAGATGAATATCTTGTGAATTACAACGACGCTAAAACCGTATTTTTGAATGTTCTGAGATGTTTTCATGAGGTATCGGCTTACGACAGTGTTATATCCAATCCAAACACGCGCGTACGGATCCTGCAAGAAATGTCCCAAGCATGCAGATATTTAGCATATTATGAGCAAAATGAAGATAAGCAGATTGCACTGCATTCATGGCGATTGGACATTTTGAAGAAAGCCACAAACATGTTGAGTACGTGCAACAAGCAAAACAAGCAAGACAAGTTTATTTGGCTCGAACTAGCAACTACTCATATAACTATATTGGATGCACATTTGGATAATTTATATATCGGACATCAGAAATTACAATCAAACCTCCCAGTAAATATTGCGAATCGTGTACGGCATGCTTTAACCTCTTTTCAATCATATTTAAATACAGATCGGTAATTTTGGACATTTCATGGACTGCAGACGAATAAATTGTATAATAGGAATATAATCATGTTCCACATATAGCTTGCGCACACGGTAAAGATGTGCACAAAATATTGTCAGTTATTGTAGCACTCGTATTCCTAAATCATGCAAATTTATTCATTCCCTTTATTGTGAGATATATATAAAGCACAACAAGTACGTACCACGTACACGTCACATAAGAGGCGTCATGTACACACATGCACACACATACACACACATATATATATATATATATAACTAAATAAATATATAACTATAATAAATGCTATAACGAAAAAGTGTGAATGTAAAAATTGTGATAAAGAAATCTTGGCATCCTGCTGTACTGCACAAGTCAGATTTATCTCAAGTCATACCTCCTGATCGTACACACATTTCTAGATGCTCGCCCTGACGGTTGTATCTCTAGATCGCGAATATGTGTTCTCGAAATTGCACGCGCGTATGTATGCATCATTGTTCTCAGAGGATATCCGATGTTCGCGATTATTATTTTCAACTGTGATTAATTGATTGATCGATTTGCCATTTCCGTTAAAACAGGTCGAAGTTATCGATTATTAAGTAAAAATGTTTGCATTTATCGGTCATCTTTGACGTAACGGTTGATTATCGGAATATTATCGTTCTGCAATCAAAAATATTTACCTATGCTCGGTAATACAGCATCTCTGTGTGCTCTGCAGCGAATTCGCGCTACTTCTTTCGCTGTTTCTATCAATGCGACACATATGTTTCTTCGTGAATTCGAGTAAAATTCAAAAATCGCACTGATTTTCTCTCGATAAGAAGAATCACTTTCAAAGCATCCTCGGCTCTCGTGAATCGTATCTTTTGAAGAAGCCGCGAAGTTTCTCATCGAGCTGTTATTTTGTTCATCGATACGTACAATGAGAGTGGACTGCATCTGTTGACACTTTGTTTTGTAACAAATGTCAAGTCTCTGTAACCGTGCGATTGTGAGAGATAACGCCGCAAATACAGTCTAACATTTCTGCATCTCACGTATTCATTGTTTATCCATTGAATAAAAATATCAATGCGAGAAAGATCGTGATGGACGAATGTGAAAGTGCGCAACCCGCGTGTGACACGCATTCTAACCTTACAAAAGAAGCGGTATTTCACGCCGTATATATACCGCAAGACAATAAAGATTCGGTGAATGTAGAAGGTAAAAGTTGCACAAAATGCAAATCTCTCTCTCTTTCTCTCTCTCTCTCTCTCTCTCTCTCTCTCTCTCTCTCTCTCCCCCCCCTCTCTCTCTCTCTCTTTCTCTCTATCTATCTTTCACGAGCACGAAACCGGATCGTGCAATTATGACTATATAAACAAGAAAGAGGTTTTCCTTCAAATATTAATATTAGATAAAGAAGTTTGATATTTGTGTAATTCAACTCGTACAACCATGTAATAATGTTGCGCAAAAAGTAAATTTACGTTGCTTAGCATTTTCCAGCTTCGATTATTAATGCTGTCATTAATAGCACATTTTTCTAAATATTTTTCTCTTGCAGAACATATTTATCAAGACCTGCCAGATGCTCTGGAAGTCATAAAGGAACACAAGAAAGCTCGTCTGAAAACTTTTAAAAATCGTTCCGATGCTGAGGTATATGCAAAAACTGGACACATACAGTCTTATAGTAGTCAATCTACATCAACAACCACTGTTGCTCCGACGCAAGAAATATGTAGTAATTTCAAGGCACCAAAACCACAAGAACTTGTGACTTTTCGAAAATTAATTGAGAGTGGAAATATAGAGAATGTAAGGAGTATTGTATGGGCAAATCCACGATATCTAATCAGTAATGGAGACACACCTGCAATCTTACAAGTAAATATACCCGCAATTATATTCCAATCTTTCAATAACACACACACACGCACAAATTTATATATATATAAAGAAAACTTTTATTTATCATATTTCAGTTAGGTTCTCGATATAATGCGATACATATAGCGGTAAAAGCCAACAAACCAGATATGTGTGAGTTTATATTAAAGACTGTTGGAAATCCCACATTTATACAGTTGCATTATGGAGACAATGAATGTAAGAGCTATCTAGATCCTGTGCAGATTATACTGGATTTATACTTAAATACTCCTGACAAAGGACTCAATGAGACACCTTTGCATTTTGCCGTCAAATATGGTTATAAGGATATCGTTCGTATCCTTGTGTCATACTCTCAATGCATTAAAACTTTACGGAATAAATATGAGCAACAACCCATAGATGTAAGAGTTTAGAAATTTATGTAAAATACAGTTCTTCTACAGTAAAAACAGTTCTTTGTGACAAGAAATATGTAACTCATGTATCGCATATTTTAGATAATATGTAGCAGAAAGTGTCAAGAAGACGAAAATCTAAAGCGAGAGATACGCTTGTTGCTGGAGGATCAGTTCTATGTACCTGTATTAAGAGCAGAAGACAACACGTGTCAACCCACTATCGGGGAACCGTTTTCTCCATCTAGTAATACATTTGTTCATGTATGTATGACAATATCAGTAAAATCGTCATTATCCATCAAATAATTAAACATCATTACAGACCTCACGGTGTTTCACGTGGTCATGCCATTAGTGCCATTAGTGTGCGTACATTTTTGGGTGCAAGATACATGTTTGTTATTTTCAGAGTTCGGATAAAGATCTGATTAGTCCACGTCTGGAAGTACGAGCGTTTGCTGGTCCAATGACCAAGTCGCAAGCGCTAGACTTTCGGAGGAAATGGAAAACACCACCACGTACTATCTCTATGTCCATGAAAAAAGAACAGGGTGACGCGTCCAATATTATGAATAGTCCAGTCGCTAATATTGCCCTGAGGTTACAAGATACAGAGAAAGGATTGGAGCGTGTCGGAAGGTAGGGATATGTTAAACTTAAATCGTGATACAGGTTGCCTCGTTTTTGCTCGACAGAAAATCTCTTGAAGCTATAGACCTCATCGATAATTTCATGGGTAATTCGAAGATAGGAAACCTTGCACAAAAAAGTATCGAGGCTTGAGTAATTTTCAAGTAATAATCAAAGTTGGCCATGTCATGGCGGCCAAAATTTGTAATCTAATTTTTTTCTTAATATAATATCCTTATGCTTTGTACATTTTTTTTTTTTTTAATTTATTTTCAGTATCAATTATATTTTCTTATTTCTCTTAAAACTTGTTTTATTCAGAGATCTCGCGAAAGAATATCAAGTGCCTTGGAAGGAATACTGGCCTTTCTTGAAGGATTTCGTCGACTTTCAAAATGACGAGGGATTGACAAAGCTCGAAAAATATTTGGAACAGAGATTCAAAGATTATAAGGACCAGTTGCTTTATTCAAAAATGGTATGAAGGCACGCTACCGATGAATCCCCGCATTTGCGCAACTTCTATCGGCAATATATTTAAAATTATATATTTAAAATTTTATTTTTATAAATACATTTCCATGATTGCGCACAGGTACATTTGGTTAATAATACGAATACAAATGAGCTGGCCAATTGTCAACGAATAACAAACAAAATGGATGTGTTGGACGTTAACGAGATACAAAATCTATGTGATAAATTACGTTCATGTTCATTAAATACTGATGAAGCTGAAGAGGACGAAGACGCAGGTGGTCTATTCGCGATTGTTTTTCCATACACTTTGTACTATTGTGTAACATCTCATATTATACATAATATTATATTATATTAACATCAACAATTTCATTTCATAGACGATTCTGAATTTTTTACACCACCGTCTACACCGGAATTTGTGCATAATGATTCGAACGATGATATGCAGAACGTCGAAGAAGAAGAAGATGCTATGATATTTATCGAAGGGTAATGATAACTTTATATAAAAATAGGAATTTATTTGATGGACACTGACGCTGATATTCTTTTAGATCTTCACCAACGAAACTGGACCACGCCGTTTATAACGCGTTGCCGTCTGAGATCAGCTCTCAGACGTATCCTTATATTTATCGTTGGCGACATAAGATGCAACTGGCTATGAAACATGATCCACACAGGTACACCTTTAGACCTTGCTTTGTATTTTTTTATCCACGCGTATATGTATCTGGATCGTATGGAAACAGCTTTATGAATTAATTTTTGCAATTGCGCGGTTAATTTTGTTTTCTTTTTCCAATCTGCAGGTTTAATAATATGAGATTGCTCAGTAGAAAATTATTCGCTGATATTTAAATATACAACAAACCAAGAGGGAATGGCACCGAGTTGGATGATAAACATTAGATCAGCGATTGGATATCTTTTGCTAAATTATTCGACCAAAAAGATCTATATAACAAGAGAAAGGATTTCTAGCAGATCCGGTTGAATACACGGCGCAAATAGATGTTGAAATAAAGGTTGTTGTATACACAATTATCCCAAGTACAAAGATATATATATATATAATGTGTAAGCGACGTCATGTCAGACATAGATCTTAAATAATACGTGATGCCGATACGTGATCCTCCTCTCAACCTCGGCATACTCCTGCCGATCAAAACGATATAATCTATATGCGCTGACACGCCTATAATTCGATCGCGCGTTCGAATTTTTATTCACGTTACTCTCGTACAACAGCCTTTATTTAACACGCACCACTTCATCCAATCGAATTTACTACTAATGTGTTATCGAGTTAACAACCGATTAATGTTGATGCAATCGACCGACCCTGAGACGCAAGCTGTGTTAGAGTTTGTATAGTATATACATTTTTTTAACATAACACGCGCAGTTATTTACTAACAGTGTGTGTGTGTGTGTGTGTGTGTGTGTGTGTGAGCAAACACTAAATAGATTTTAAGAAAGAGACAAAATATATATATATTTTTTTTGAGACATGTTTACAAAACAAACGCATAACTAGAGTATTGTCGTGGTAAAACCATTTCGAAAACCATTAGCGTATACTCCTTTTTATTGTTCACCATTTCGTGTTACAATAAATACTATTTACTGAGAAGAAGTACGTTCACACCCACGATCTTCCCCCTTACCTTCCTGTCATGTTGCAGTCACGCGCACGGATGTATACCACATGATGCATTGTATAATGTATTTGTTAATCAATAACCTTTATTCACAATAATATTACATACTTTATATATAACAGAACATTTATGAATTCTTTTCATTAATATCGCCGACATAGTCGCAACGTGTTATTATTTGCTTTTGTTCTTTTTTCCTCAATTATTTACCATAATTCATATCCCCGATGTCTAATTACGCGAAGATAAATCCTTCAATTTAATCAAGCGTTAATGGGAGTTGGCGGTGTCTGTTTTAACTGCAAGATAATCGAACGCATCCGGGAGACGTCTTTGGAAGTGCGAGACGACTTGGGATTGAACTCGCATAATTTAGCGATGCGTTCCCACTCAGTACCTGGTTCGACCTCATCAGCCTCCGCGACAAATTGCTTCTCTGCATTCCTATTCGTAAATGGAGTACAAATTAAATCAATGCGAAATCATGTGTCACATATTAGTAACGTAATGTAAAACGAGAGAAACAGAAAGAGGGAGAGAAATTGTATTCTTTTATTCTTTAATTATCCTACTCGGTATTATATCCTACGGTATATAATAAGCGACCGTTTTATATTGTATTTATATGCTATAGCATATTTATATGTATGTAAACACAAGATGATTCGAGCAATTTGAACAGGGAATGGTCGATGAACACTTCGAGATTAAATGCGTTATATGTAGTGCGATCTAAAAGAAGTGATTGAAAAGTTTCGGCGAGCGTACATATAGCGCCTACGAAAATTATTAAAATATGTATTTAATCAACATTATCAATGGCTTTTATTTTCTATTAAATATTCTTTAGTTGCTGTTTGTGCGCGAATACCATGTTACTCCCTTACTCCCTAAATTCTTTGATTCTTTTCTTAGATCAGCTTGTATTTGTATGTCAATCTATATATGCATATTTCAAGTATTGTAAAGCAAAAAAGAAACAATCCGAAGGGCTTGCTTAATTTAATCTTAATTTTGTCAAGCAATATTGTCTGGTGCAGTCTTGCAGCAACTTATTAAGAAGCGATAATAATCGGGATGGTCGTAAATGAGAAAGAGAAAGAGAAAGAGAAAAAGAGAGAGAGAGAGAGAGAGAGAACTGTGCTCTTGTATACTTTTGAATCATTCTGAGAACAAATATGGTCTTTTTCTTTTCTCTCGAAATTCTTAAAGCTGTGAAAGCAAGCCGTGTTACATTAGCGGTGCGATGCTCTTTTCTCATGCGTACAAAGATATTTTAACTTACTTGGCCGATTCCCTAAGAAGCAAAACGAAAATAATACAATTATATGTAATAATATAATCCAGATGTCTATAATATACATAGTATAATATTGGACTTGTAAAGAATTATCGATATCAATTATGTCTAATGCCTCAAATAATATAATGCATTGATGATTTAGTCCAATATTTCTATTCATTTAAATTTAGTCTCGATTGTCAGTTTTATGCCAAATCAAGATACACAAGAAAAAAGTGAAAAAAACAAATATATTTAATAAAATTACCTGTTGGTGGTTTTCGTTTTACCAATAGTCTCGGCATGGTGTTTATACCACTCTTCTAACTCTTTCTTCGCAGCCTCTCTCCATTCTTCCTTCTTTTTTTCCTCTTCCGCGTCTAAAAGACATACAAACGCTATACCACACTATTGTTGTATACCACGTGCACTGCACAATTGATTAAAATACAAAGACTTTTAATAATATTCATTTCAACAGTACAATTGGCTATTCTCAAATACCTTTCTCTTCAAGACGGGCTTTCTGTTCTTCCCTCCACTTTCTGATCTTTTCAGGCTCTTCCTTGAATGGTGGAATGATGGATGCTGGCTCTATTAATTATTCACATAAAAACTCAGCAAATAGATTCTCCTAAGAATATGATTAAAATGATTCAAAAATATATTTGTACCTGATGCTGGCACTTGTGATTCTATAGGTTGCTCAATAGCATCTACAATTTCAAAGCTACCTTCAGCGTCACCACCTGGACCAACTTTCAGATTTCCAAATTTTGCAGATGCATCATCTACGAGATATTCCTTATATTAACGACACACGCTTATACATATGCATTATAAATATGTATGTATAACTTGTTATTATATATCTATCAACTATATGCCAGATCTTTCATGTACCATCGGTATGACCTGCTGCCGCTGCTGCAGCCAGAGTCACAGCCATTGGTGTTATATCATCTTCCAAGCCAGCAAGCTGATCTTGCTCCCTCGCCAGAAACTCTGCCGCCGGATCTACCTCAGGCTCGTTGTTGACAAAATTATCGCCAAATGCGTCCATCATCTGAAAGAGAAGATTAAAGGAATAACGTGTGTTTAAGGACACGTGCGTACTGCTTGTCAAAATAAAAGTAGCTTATTCCTCGGACAAATATCGCTTGCGCAAAATTCGGCTATTAATTTTAACATTACGAATAACAAAAGTATGTCGTGTGTAATTCCGGAGAATGAAGATGAATGCAACAAAGTAATATTTGAGGTTAAGCAACTATTGCGCCGACACCTAGTCTAATAAAGTTCAATTTCAGCTTTATCCTGTCTTAACATACAATAAGAAATCATTTTCCGCTCGCTGTCACTTACTCACGATTTGTATGTAGATGCACAATTTTTCGTTCGAAAGAAAACTGAAATGTACCAACGGAATTCACTCTTGTTATCCAAGGGGACGACACTACCTCCGACGCCTACCTCGCCACCTGCCGCGCACTTCCCCGCTTGACTGACTGGTAAACGTCAATCGTGGATCGTCTACGTCAATATCGGTATCAATGATATCGATGCGCGCAACGCACTCACACATGCACGCCGTATACAGGCTACTGTGACTACGGATGTGCGCATGGCCAATTTCACGGCGTCAACTCATCGTTGACGTTGAATCATCGATTCGAATGAGTTACTGTATGCGAATTCAGTCGAATAAGAAAAATTAGTCTTTGTGGATTGATTATCGTTTTTCCGTTCTTCCTTCGTGAGTTTTCAAACAAACGTAACCGGTAATACGCGTGTTTTATTACCAATAATTTGGATATGGGTCAACTTTCTCTTAATTTTTCGAATGTAGATTTGATTCTCTCTCTCTCTCTCTCTCTCTCTTTCTTCTCTCTCTCTCTCTCCCCCTCTCGCTCTCTCTCTCTATCCTTCTCTCTCTCTCTCTCTCTCTCTCGCTCTCTCTTTCTAGATTAAATGCACAGCTGTTTTATGATAGAAATAAGTAAGGGTGAAGGATGCACGATTCTGCAAAACATATTTTCTCTTTTTTCTAATCTAATTTTCGAGCAAAACTCGAGTAAAATTTGCAACTGCACTACTATCCGATCTCGGGTCAGATCGAGCTCTACTTTTCAAATTCTATCAACAGCTTTCGCATCTAGATGTGTCAAAGTTATAGGCCGTCCTGTGCGCAATGACGGTCACTTGTCCTTGTTTACAATTTGCATGGACAATGACATCACTGATCCGGTCTTTGATCGTTGTTAATCCGCTTATCGAGATGAATTCGTCGTTAAGAGCGTGGCGTGTCATTGTCCCCACCAATCGTGCCATTTTTCTTACTCGAATACTAAACTGTCAAGGCGACGACGTTGGCACATAATTGATAATTGTTGATAATGCACGGGTTACACTGATAAGACTCTTATTTATAGAATTAGCAGTTGACTCTTTCGGGAACGTATTCCTACTGACACGAAGCATCATGCAGCGGCACGATAAAACAGTCCTCAAACAATTTTGTAACTGCAAAATTCTACGTGATGGCAAAATCCAATTGGAAGATTTATGGGTACGCGACGGTAAATTCGTGAATCCTGAAAAAATCTTTTACGATGAGAAAATCACACCCGATGTTAAAATAGATTGCAACGGTGCCCTGATCTCTCCGGGATTCATAGATTTACAAATCAATGGTATTTAATTAGTCAAGTTTTCCTACCAAGAAGAGGAATAAGATGTTTGTCTTTATAGGTAGATAAAGAGAGAAATTAATACTTGCATTTGTTTATCAGGAGGATTTGGCATCGATTTTTCAAACAAGGTTGACAATGTGAAAGAAGGCATAGATAAAGTAGCAAAAGGATTACTGAAACATGGAGTAACATCATTTTGTCCTACAATAGTAACATCTCCTGTTAAGACATATCATTCGATACTACCGAAAATAAAGAAACAGAATGGAGGTAGTCACGGTGCTTGTGTATTAGGTGTTCACATAGAGGGTCCATTTATCAGCCCGAGTAAAAAAGGTGCCCATCCAGAAAACTACATCAGAAGATTTGATCAGGTGAGGATTACACTTTCATCATATATTCAAACCTAAGTAAACCCAAGTTAAGATGTCTCCAAATTGTATGTTTCTCATTATATGTTTTCGAAGTAATCATGTGTATTTTAGGGATTTAAGTCAGTTACTGATATGTATGGAGATCTGAACAATGTGTGTATGGTTACGTTAGCACCGGAAATTCCAAACGCCACATCTATCATCGAAGAGTTATGTGAGAGAAATATCAAAGTATCTGTCGGTAGGTAATAATTCTGTAATATCTGTATTATAATACATCTGTCACATTATTTTCTCAATAAAAGTTGTTTCTTTTCCTTCTCTTCATATGTAAAATTTTAATCTTTATAGCTTTTAAATGTAATATACATTTTCCATATTTTTTAGGACATTCCATAGCAAATCTAAGTGAAGGAGAGATAGCAGTTAAACATGGAGCATCATTTATTACTCATCTCTTTAATGCCATGCTGCCTGTGAGTTATAAAAATACTCTAAATTTCACACCAACTGACTTACATCTCTTGATGAAAAAAGTACATATATACAACATTCCTCTGTAAATGTAGTTTCATCATAGAGATCCGGGGTTAGTCGGTCTCTTGACATCTGACCAAATTCCATTCGGGAGAATTGTTCATTTTGGTATAATTTCGGACGGCATCCACACGCACCCAGCTGCTTTGCGAATCGCTCATCGGACGCATCCCGAAGGTTGCTATTTATTAAATATTAAATACACCATGTGTTGTCCACTTTTATCAGTGGACTTTTAATAGTAACTAATTAAAAACTGAACATTCACACAAGGTCTCGTACTTGTAACCGACGCAATATCTGCATTGGGTCTGGAAGAGGGAATTCATCAGCTAGGTCAATTAGAGATAGAGATACGTAAAGGGAGCGCCTATATTGCTGGAACAGATATTCTATGTGGTAGCATAACTGAAATGTCTAAATGTGTGAGGAATTTCAGAGAAGCCACAGGTAAAAAGAATTTTGGTTTATTAATTGCATTGTTTAAATATTTTACAATATTGTTATTAGGACATGTATTATACTCGACAACTGCATTGTCATCCAACTGCCAAAGTATACTTGATAACACATCTGCTTGATATAGGTTGCACAGTGGTTGAGGCTTTGGAAGCAGCTACTTTACATCCTGCGAAAGCCCTCGGCATTGATTCTTACAAAGGTGTTCTTAACTTTGGCGCTGACGCCGATTTCATTTTACTGGATGATAAACTGAAATTATTGTCGACATGGATTTCAGGAGAATGTGTTCAGCATATTTGTAGTGAGTAACATACATAAAAGGAACAGAGAGAGAGAGAGAGAGAGAGAGAGAGAGAGAAAATTACTATATCCTGCCACATAAACACAAATAAAATTTAATCAGATGACAGAAAAATATGAATATAACTTTTTACTTTCTTTACTGGGAAAAACGTGTATAATAATAAATGCATATAATTAGTATAAAATAAAATTAGTACAACCATTGTGTCTTACACTATAGGAAAGATATCTGTATCCTCTATAGCTCTATAGCATCTAAACCGTATAATAGAGGATGTAGAAGAGACATCAGTATGTCATGTTAATCTTTAATCAACTATATTTTGCGATATACAATATAAAAGCTAATAGTTAAAGTTGGTTTACTGCTGAATATTTACTGTTCAATTTTTTTCCGTATACCACGGACCTTAAACCAAAAAAGAAAAAAGGAAAAAAAAAAGAGTCGTCTTTACGATGTGTTAATCGGAACGTCAGAAGCAATGAAAAAAGTAAGCATATCTTGAATTGGATAAATTAATAAACCGCGTCCTTCAAGTTACAAATAAACGGCGAATGTCTGATACCAAATGTGTGCGCAGGAGGAACATCGAGAAGAACCTGAAATACAATTACGTGAACGGTCAATATGTTATATCGCAGTGGTTGAAACGATGCCAAATGTTAAAGCATCCGATACCTTTTCCGGGTAGTGCGCTCCGGGTCCTGGAATCTGTGAGTGATCGTCGGGCAACTGGAAACGTGCACTTATACTGTACGCTGGACTCTTTGCTCTGACCGAGTCCGGTTTGATGGCTTCGTATGTTCCCGGCCCAGGCACGAGAACACGATCGTCCGTGAATACCTTCTGCCTACCGGATATCGAATAGGCGGGCGCCGCTTTCTTGTTTCCCTCCTTAGTCCCGCCGAGAGCGGATGGAATGTTGTAAACATTCGGTGCTGAAAGTCGATCGATTTCCTTCAAGATATACTTTGCAGACGTACAATTGCGATTATTTCACGATTCACGTAGGAAACAATTTCATCCACCGATTTACGTCGTACTTCTTTCTCTACTTCTGACACGTCTTTCAGCAGTATTCTAGCAGGTAGGCATATTTCCCGTCGGATTGCACGGAAAATTCAGTAAGAATTTGCATTTCATGGATTAATATAATATGCAATTAATATTTAGGGTAATGAAGAAAACACAAGTTATAATATCTTATCCGATATACATATGTGCATATATCTGCGGAAAAACTAATCGGTGCATTTCTATGGAGGCCCCATGCACGTTTGCGTGTGCGAATAAAAACCATCTCTATCTATGGTGTAGCATGCAACGTTCGCGAAAAGTTACCGCATTCTTGGCTGAAATTGGCAGATTGAGTCGATTATTTACCTGGAACGTCGTTTGGCCTGCTCGCGGGCGGTCTAAGGCCGAAGCTAAATTGCAATGCTTTCTCCAGTAAAAGCATAGCTTTCTCCGGGCTGTACTCGCCAGGGCCTGCAATATTGCATATAATTTGCATGGAGAGCAAATTAAGAGTCACAAGTGAAGGTTCAAGCGAAATGATCGACATTGATTATCGAGCGATCAATTGGGAATCGTAATAATGAGCGGTAATAATGAGAAAGTGTTACCTGGTATGTGATTTCTCTCGCGTATCTCGGTTTTAGAACCGAAACTGTACTCGGGCGACTTGGACATGTTTACTTTCTCGGGGCTGTACGTGCCAGGAGCTGCAAGTCAAATTATTAAATGCTTCTATATTCTCTTGAAAAGCGCAATTACAGTTATCGCACATTTATCTCGTGCATAAGGCTGCTAGTCAACACGCTAACAACACATATTTAGGAAAAACGTTAAACATAACATTACACACGATATATTATATCAAAATATATTCACGCTTATCACATACACATGTCGAAGCACATTGCACCGAGCTTTACATGTTGACCAAACATGGCCTTAAAAATCGATATCTATCTATCTATTTATCTATCTATCTCAGCATTCAACATACATTTTTCGCCTCAGGTGTTTATTATTAGTTTTAATAAATATCACAACGTAACAAACAAAATTGTAATTAACATTATTATGAGCAGTTATTTTTATAGACAGTTAGTTTGACAGGAGTGAAAAAATGTCATGCACTATTTTTCTATCTACAGAACTAGCAATCAAGATGTGTTATATTAATCTGTCGCTAGATTACACCATTACCTGGTGTATCGTTAGCTTTATACAATGGTGTTCTGTTACCGAAACTGAAATAGGGTTTATGTTCCAAGTGTTGAGCTTTCTCCGGATTGTAGCAACCGGGGCCTACCAAAGTAATCGGATATCAGTGCGTCGTTGCTTAATTACGTATTACATCTTTATTAGAGATCATTTAGAAAACAGTCGATTAGTTTTTTTGTTAGTTCACACCATTACCTGGTGTATCGTGAGACTTATGAAGGGGTGTTCTATTACCAAAGCTGAAATAGGGCTTATGCTCCAGATTTAGAGCTTTCTCTGGTTTGTAATCGGCAGGGCCTACCGAGCCAATCAGAAATTAATGTTTTTTATTACTTCATTGCACTCTCTCCTTCTCCCTCTCTCCTCTCTCCTCTCTCTCTCTCTCTCTCTCTCTCTCTCTCTCTCTCTCTCTCTCTCTCTCTCTCTCTCTCTCTCTCTCTCTCTCTCTCTCTCTCTCTCTCTCTCCCCCTCTCTCTCTCTCTCCCCCTCTCTCTCTCTCTCTCTCCCTCTCTCACTTTTGTACTAATTATACGTCGAAAAAAAAGAATGTGCTCTGGAAAAAAATCGCGACACTCACCGGGATTGTCGTTCAATTTTTCTAGTGTTCCCTTCCCAGTTAGACTATACTGTGGCCCTTTGTTCATATTGGTTTTCTCAGGACTGTACGTGCCAGGTGCTACGGCAACACATATAAAAAATGTATGCGAATTATGAATGACGTCATGGTGTCGTATTTTAAAAAATTTCTAAACGTACCAGGGACATCGTCAGATTTCAATGCAGAGCCTTTGCCAGTCAGACTATATTGTGGCCCTTTGTCCAAATTTACTTTCTCGGGACTGTAAGCTCCAGGTGCTGCATGAAAATGGTCAATGCGTGTGATAACGATCAAGTTTATCTTTTATAACGACACGAAACTTAATTACCTGGTGTATCACTGAGTTTATCCGGAGCGTGCCTGATCCCGAAACTGTACTGAGGAGTGACATCTAATTTAACTTTCTCTGGAGAATATGCGCCAGGCGCTGAAAAGAATTGTCTTATAATATATGTACTATTATTTCTAGAAAGTATAGTGTAGTAGAAAGAGAGATATTCGCGCGCATCTCATCTCACTTCACTGAAGAAAATTGAACAGGAAAGGAACAACAAGTAAAGAGATGTGTATCGGGTAAGAAATATTATGCAGAAATAGTATGCAGAATGTTACAGAATTCTGCTACGTGGCTAGCTATCACTATATGCAACGTGTAAGTTGCAAATTTTTAAACATTCTTTATACTCAGCATGGTTAGGTAGAAGCTTTGGGAGAAGCTGGTTTTACCTGGCGTGTCAGCGGGTTTATCCAGAGCAGGTCTGAGTCCAAAAGTGTACTGCGGTGTATTATCCAATCTGACCTTTTCAGGAGAATATGTGCCCGGCGCTATAAATGTACATATATATATATATATATATATATATTACATGGCTATAATGTTACATTTACGTATGTTACGTATCTTACGCGTGTGTAATTCGCACACACCTGGGGTGTCGACTGGTTTCTCAGCGGGTCCCTTGCCGGTCAAACTGTACTGCGGCCCTTTATCTAAATTCACTTTTTCCGGACTGTAGGTTCCAGGTGCTGCGCGAGATATACAAATAATCAATGTATATAATATATCTAAATAACCCCGAAAAATAACGCGTATTAATTACCTGGTGTGTCGCTGGGTTTATTCAGTTGGGGCCTAATTCCAAAACTATATTGCGGTGTAGTATCCAATTTCACTTTCTCCGGGCGATATACTCCGGGCGCTGAAAATTGTATCGTTACTTTATGCAACAGATATTATATATATATTTTCCATCGATGTCTATATTTCTAGAAATTCCTCCTTCTTCCTCTATACCTTCTATACGCGTTTGATACACATTTCTTTATTTAATACATTTACTTATAGAAAATTGCAAATGTTTTGCTATTTAGATATTATATATACTTGAGACATGAAGAGACTGGTGCAAACCTTGTGTGTGTACAAAATATGTTAATTATAATTATAATTATAAATACAAGAATATATTTATCTATCCTTTATACGCGCACAAAATGCAGTTTCGTTATACCTGGAGTGTCAGCGGGTTTCTCGTCACGGCCTTTACCACTCAAGCTATATTGCGGCCCTCTGTTCAAGTTTACCTTCTCAGGACTGTACGTGCCAGGCGCTAACACGATTCAATATATCGGAATGAATGGTCTCGATGTCTCTGAGCAATATCAGTTTTATTTAACGACGAATGATGTACGACATATGTACCTGGTGTTTCGTTTGGCTTCTCCACTGCAGATTTTAGACCGAAACTAAACTGAGGCGACGTGTCCAGTCTCACCTTCTCGGGACAATAGGCACCTGGTGCTGTTGAAAGAAATTTAATGTTTATCACGCGCATTTATCACGCACTTGTTATGTTGAAATAAATATACGTATATGAAATGAATTTTTCCGTATTGTATGTACCTGGCGTTCCGTTACACTTCTCCTCCCGACCCTTGCCAGTCAAACTGTACTGCGGGCCTTTCTCGAGGTTCACTTTCTCCGGACTGTATGCTCCGGGTGCTGTGTCCAATTGCAAGAAAGAGACAAGTGGCGAGATCAGAAGCAAGCTAGGCTTTACGGGCTGTTGAATTACTGAATTAGTTCTAGTATTTCCCTCGTATCGTACCTGGTGTGTCGCTCGTTTTGTCGAGCGGCGTTCTAAATCCGAACGTGAACTGCGGCGCACTGTCCAGTCTTGTTTTTTCGGGATGATAAGTACCTGGAGCTAGACATTTGCCAATCAATCTTACGAGTTCCATTATTGCGCGCGACAATTTTCTAGTTGCTACAAGCATTACCGCCGAATCTGCGGGATTAATTCTGGGGGGGGAGGAGAGTACGGAATATACCGAAAGGGATGTAAGCTGATAAGACGGAGAGACTCCACGAGTATCATAGGCATGCAACAATTTTTATCTTACGACGAGATAAGCGATTCTAGTAATTCGTTATTATTCCGTCTTACGTGTGTAACAGCTACGTGTCAGCTATTCTATTCTATTACTTCTTCGCGCGTACTTGAATTTTCAAAAACTACTTCGAAATTATACACACGTCGCTCACCTACTATCACACACGCACACATACATACAAATGTGTGATGATTGCGCAATTACTTTCATTTACACTTAGACTTAGAGTAGACATCATACGTGCAATATCGAATTTACGGTGAGATATTAAGAGATAGTGGTAGAAGATTTAAAAGAAGTAGTAGAATATACAGAATATACAGAATTGTGTTCGCTACACTGCAGTATACACCGCGATTCGCAATTTTGCAGGTAATACAACACACTGACCAATTATTTACGGTGCATAAAAGTCCAAAGTTATTGTTCCGTACTATCACACGTTCCAATTGCTAGATTACGTGAGTCCTAATGTTTGCATTTGGAGAAAAAGAAAGAATACGTCTGTACCTAAATAACGACTCTTCGGCGTTAATAGTTGCAAACACTGATTTTTTAAGTGCGATATCCTCAAATGAAGTCCCATCCTAGGTAATTACGGTAATCGCGATTAGTTGCAGTACGACTTCGACTGTTCCTAAACATCATTATGTTCGATACAATAATAATGATGAAATGTAATAAATCTCAATAGTTTGTTAGAGTTGGAAAAAAAAGAAAGAGAGAGAGAGAGAGAGAGAGGGAGAGAGAGGGAGAGAGAGGGAAAGAGAGGGAGAGAGAGGGAGAGAGAGAAGTGAATCATGTTTTCACGCGACAGGAAATGATAAAAAAAAATAATTTCGAGTTGAGAGAAGTAAATAAGATGTGATTATGATGTACACAAAGTACTATTGAGCAATGTCCATTTTGTTGTTGAAGACAATAGCTGTAACTGTAGTGTGTGATTAGTCCCATTGATATACACAAATGTGATTGAATCTACTCTAGCATTTCCTTTCATAAATATATAGGCTCCTATTATCGTTCCGTACGTTTGCATCTCTCATTAGCGGCCGGGTATCATAATTAGTGGACAGAATATTGGGTACGTCGTTGCGTATATTTAGTTGGTGTTGCATAATTACCGGGCACATCACTCGGTCTTTCCGACACAGCTTTTACGCCAAAAGTGTACGCTGCCGCTTTGTAGAGATTCACGATTTCCGTGCGATAGTCGCTCGGTGCTACGATCGAGATGCAACACATGTATTTATATGCTTCAATAAATTTCCACTTTTTTTTTTTTTTCCCCACGACAACTGTGACGTAAGCGAAATACGACGTAAGCGGTGGTAAATTGTTTGCTTGTATAAAATGTCTTTGTTATAAGAACCAAAATTTTCGATTACATGTGTTTGGGAATATGAAGTAATAATCATCAAGACGCGTTTTTTGCTAGAAAAATGTAAGTAACAACATTGGAGAGAGAGAATTTATTTGTGTGTATGTGTGTGTGTGTGTGTGTGTGTGTGTGTGTGTGTGTGTGTGTGTGTGTGTGTGTGTGTCAAGTAAATATTTATTTTATCATTCATGAAACATTGAGGCTTACCGGGCGTACAGCTAATCTTTTCAATTTGCGTTTTAACTCCAAAGGAATATTTCGGGGAGCTGTCTTGAATGATCTTCTCCGCTTTTTGTGGATTATAATCGCCGGGTGCGGGAGTTACTTCCGGTTTCGTTGATTTCGTTCGGCCGTGCAACGACGCGGCAGGTGCGGCATCCTTCCCTGAGAGATTGACATCATATTATTCCAATGAATTATCAGCCAATCGCAAAGCCCCTTGTTCAAGCCGGAGGCGACGGAATTTCGTGAACGCCGGCTGTTAAAACTGGCTGGTCTAATTCTTATGGAATATCAGCAGTTTGAAGTTTGATCGATACCACGGCCGAGCCTGAAGCGCCGATAACACTCGCAAGTTTACGAACGAAGCACAATTGCGCATTTACGCAATGTGCGTTTATCTCCTCCACTTCAAACGTCTCAATTCCATCGTTATTATTACACTTGGTCTACTTCATCGTGGAGAGAGAGAGAGAGAGAGAGAGAGAGAGAGAGAGAGAGGGAGAAAGAGAGAGAGAGAGAGAGAGAGAGAGAGAGAGAGAGAGAGAGAGAGAGAGAGAGAGAGAGAGAGAGAGAGCTTGCAAGCTCTGCGTGGAAGTTGTAATTTATGTGCGTTCTCACCTTTTGCGCTAAGTCCAGAAACATTGTATTGCCCAGGGCCAGGTCCCGGGCTATTGTCTTTCGCCGAATGTCTGGAAGATGTCCACAGTGGATATTTAGATGGTTGGTATGCGAGAGAGTAGAGAATAGTTCTCGTGCGGATCTACGAAATCAAATTACCTGCTACCAAAGGAAAATGCTGGCGCTCTCTCCCGTTTGGAATCTGGAACGGTTTTTCCTGCAAACATTATGCCATTGTCATTACATAGCGTATCGCTGTCCCGTCTTTACGTACTGTATACTGCGCGCAGGGGGGAGGGGAAGGAACTTGACAGGATAACATCCGTACCGATCAGTGGTGGTAAAGTCACGCAGGCTGGTCCCGGACTGCTATATTCGGCGGCAATCGGGCCTCGTCGTTTCGTGGGTGTCCAGGGTCTTTGTGTCATGCCGACCATGTTGCTTGCTTCTTCTCTATATCTTGCTATCGCAGGCTATATATATATATATATATATATATCGGCCGATATGAGCACATGTGTAAATTTGCTACATAGGTGCTACATTGCATATGGATTATTGTTGCAACTTTCCGTAGAATAAATTAAAATGATCATGATTTGGTGACGCGCCAACACGATATCGGTGCGGACCGCACACGCAAATTTCTCTCGGATGAAACGCTTTCCTTTTGGGTAAACAACGAGATGCGAAACCGTAAGTACGTCCATGCGTCCATGAATTATGCAATGAAGGTGACCTCGAAGTCCCGGGGGGTACAGAAACACGACTCATGGGCGAACCATATAAGAGCATGACCATGATGGGCATTCGCGATCGCCCACCGATCACCATGTGACGGAACGTGCCAACGAGCGTTAAAAAAAAAAAGCTTAAAAGTTTAAACGTACAATATCCGATAATACACATGACAATGACTATTCGCACTGATCCGCGTGCAATTCTCGCGGATCACTGATGCATTCAGTGTGTTGCGATAAAATGGGATAAAATTGGATAATAATTTCTGACGATCTGTGTGTGACATTACAAGGTCTGTAGTCTGGATTATCCGGATTTGAAAGGAACGAACCTTCATAAATATGTATACGAGCTTGCTCGTACGCGTAGCATTGTTTGCATTTAATATTAGATCACACGTCGATTTTACACGTCAGTGTCGATGAAAAAGTCGCCGAGGAAACACATTCATCGCGGTGTCGCCTACGACGCGCAAAGTGTTCCATAATGATCGACTCTCGGTTGCCAAGTATAGTAGAGGCGATCTCAAGAGCCTTACTCATTTGCGCCGAATTTCTTACATCATCGCTCGTTACGGTATATCCCGTATAGAGGAAAGATAACGTTATTGATATTATCGGCGATATTAAGCACCGAGGGGAAAGGAACAGAATTCTCTGAACTCAGAAAATACATAAAAATTTGAGTTACTTTCCTTCTGCAAAATCCTATACAATAATGTAACGTCATAAAGCAACATACATGCGCACACGTGTGTGCATATTTATGCGCGTTTTCAATTTAAGTTGACACACGGTGTATGGATATACCAATATATATATGTGTGTGTGTGTGTGTGTGTGCACACGAGTGTGTACACAGCATTTCATTATCCTAATATGGAAATGAAAGTGAAGTGGTAAATCCGATACTTGAGAGTACACGCGGGTACAAACGTGTCGCGATGTCGCCGAAATTGGAGCGAAAGAGATTGAGTAAGATCGACAATCGAAATGCAACTCCTGCGAAACTGATTATCCTTATATAAAATACAATTGTATTTCTTCTCACACGATATAACTGTAAATATAACACAAAATAATCAATTTTCTCTCGAGCTTTTTTCTTACTTTTCTAATTTTTTCTCTTTTTCTTACAATACAATGTATTGTATCACCGACAAGAGCGTGTCTATCAGCGTGTCAAACGCTTGATCTGTTGTTGGGTTTGCAATCAATAAAATTTATTCCATGTTTGTGAAGTTTATTATTTAAAAGATAACGCGACACATACACACAAGTTCGTCTGTCGATCCACTCGACGAAATAATATGCTGCACAAATTGATGTTATCATCTTCGTCATGATCTCGGCATGATCAGTGTTACATGCGACGGAGCAAAAATGATAACGTTGCTACTGTTATTATTCGAAAAAAAAACGAATCAATCATTTTAAATTATATCGTACTTCCCGATAATGAATGCCTGCAGTGAATGAGGATTGAAGGAGGGCAGAAGGATTTTGAAGGCACAAGCGAGTATTAAGCGAGTTCAAGGAGGACAGAATTCTAAACGAGGGAAAACTCGGGGCATTCTTTTGATATTTCAATAAAGTATATTCCGCACTATCTGGCACTTGTGCATGTGCGCAACAATTTGGACATCATTGTGTGCGATAGATTTCGTGAAATTAACGAATGTTCCCGCGACGATATATTTATTCGAGTTTGATCACTTTGATTACATCTCGATGCTGATTCGTTACATGCGCCTCTTTAATCGTAGCATCTTGTGAACTTTTGCAACTGTCACCAAGGAACTCTCTCATAGAACGATGTTGTGTTAAAGAAATGACCTTTGGTCGTTGCGAAAGTAAGTTTACTTACTTGCGCGGTTCGAGGAGGAGGAGGAGGTCTGTGAGAACGTCGTCGGAAAGAGCTGAGAATTCACTGAATTTAGAGAGCTGATAATAATAACGTCACGCTCTCGGAATGCCTGTAACACCTGGAGATATCTGCACGGATGCGCACCTGAGACGCGTCTACCTGCGACTGAAGACTAAACATCAAGGTATCACGGCATGCGCCAGTTTCCCGGAATCACAAGTCCCCACCTTTTGCAGTGATTGGAAGAACCGTGGAAGAACGCAAGCGCCTGTAAGTAGCTTGCCTCGCGTACAGACCTGAAGCGGGAGCTATCACGCGAATTCGTTGACACGCGCGCGTGTATTCAATGCGCGGGAAGAAGCCCGTCGTTTGCAAAAAAAGTCTCTTTCCTCTCTCTCTCTCTCTCTCTCTCGGAAGAGGAGGAGGAGAAGGAGGAGGAGGAGGAGGAGGAGGAATTTATATGTTATCTCTTGAATAGAAAGATCGTATCTTCACTTCGAATCAACGCTTCGAAAAAATGCTTTTCTTCATAATTTTTTAATATTTTAGGTAACATTTAAATGACGGCAACATTTAGATGACGCTTCTCATTATTCTCCATCTCGAACGATTTAGTCGAACAATTTAGTCGAACATTTGATGAATTTAGAGAACATGACGCACGAAGCTCGTGCGAAATTTTATATACATTCAAGTGTCCCTCAAGTCCCTTTACTCTGCGGTAATTTCAGATTAATAGCAAAGCATATCCTGAGTACTCTCCTCGAGTCGATCCGCGAGTAATATGACGACGAATAGTAACGATATGATTACGCGCACATTGATAGAATTAGATAGTAAATCGTACCCATTTACTTTGGTAGAAGCTACCTTCCACCCTCAACCCGGTCTCTCTGTCGATTTTATTTCTGTGTCATCTTTGATGTAAAAAAAAGATGACACGTTTGTTTCCCAATGTGACGCGAGAAATGTAAAACTTTCTCAGTTTCTCACCTGTTGTACATGCGCCATTTGTCGTCGATTATCGAATCGATAATACTCGATGAGCAAAAATTCACTACTGACATAAGCGTTGACATAAAAGAATGAGTGATTTCTTCTTACCTCAGCAAACCTCAGCTTACCTGAACCGGTACCTGTACAATAAGTCACGGATGTTTAATCACGTCATTTGCCATATGGCGTGAGCTTCTAATTTTAGCCGATAGTCCCTATCGGCGACCAGGACATCGCGAGGCTGAAAGAGTCAAGGATGGAGATTGGGAACATCGGGGTGCGTGGGTTACGAAATCGCGCGTGTACGTCCAATTATGGTGCCAAGACGACAGCGCACATTCGTATTTGACACTCCCGTTCCCTCACCGCGGCTATATCGAATTATGACGTCAGGAGTGAGAAATCATGCAAATTTTCTCCTTGCACTATTGATCAAGTATGTAGAAAAAATATGCCCGTTCTTGGAGATACGCACTATGCGGCATAGTGTGTTGAGGAAGTGAGCGACGTAAAGTAAAAGATCTGTCAGACTATACATCGTTGATTTACCGATCAGCAAGTAATCTCAATTTTTCGGCTCTCGAAGACCTCGTTCCCTCTCTCCCTCCCGCCCCGCTCTCTCTCTCTCTCTCTCTCTTTTTCTTCTCTCAAGAGGGAAGATTCAAGTTCCATGTGAAACATAAAGAGACGAATAGAGCCTACAACTGTCCAGCCGCAATTGTAATGAGATTCCAACTGATCACACAAACACACACACATTTCATCCTCCTCTCTCGCGATTTAAAGCGACGTTTGCGTAACGCCACCAAGTTTTTGCTCAAGACATGCGATCCGTGAGGATGAAGGATCTTCTGTCTTAACGAGAGAGAACCGGTTGGACGTTGTGGTACTGTGAAAAGAGGCACTGTTGCAAGAACAGAGTTAGGAGTAGAGTATCGGACACCCGATCGTGATGAGACCGACCGGCCCCTCTCTCTCTCTCTCTCTCTCTCTCTCTCTCTCTCTCTCTCTCTCCTCGTCTTCCTCCATCGTCATCGTCGCTATGGTCGCGACGTGAGCTAGTCCGGTCAGCAGAGCGACACGGTGGGTCCGGCTGGTGCGTAAGATACACTAAACCAAGTTTAATTACTACTTACACACGCGCTATTAATCTCAGATGTGCATTTGTTAATCATCAGTCACTGTTGTGACGCATCCGCTCGAATGTACCGCATTGATCGCGATCGCGAGTGTAAAGCAGAGTTTCCGATCGACGGACGGAACAGGAAAGAGAGAAGCTTCAGGATCAATTCGGTGAAAGGAATGCGAGAGAGGCCACTTTCATCGCGCAGCATTTTCCCGATGCAGTGGACCACTTGTTGTTGAACCGCTTCTGTTGAACCAAGCCTCGTAGATAGCAAGAGGATGGGTATCGTGCAGTAAAGTGTAACGGAAATGATAAAATAAATGGAGCCATCGATGCGCCATCATACGATCGACACGATATAATATATCGCCGCCATAATCGAGAGACACGATGGTCAAGCAATGCACGGCGGCGAAACCGGCCGTGTTTCTTCTTGAATATGACACCTCGATGACAGGATGATCCTTATAAATGCTGATCTCGCATTTCTTTTCACACATACATTCCACACGCAAATTGCACAAGTGCACGCCTGAAATCGTACAAGAGTGGAGTATTCTTCGTGCAGTAATATCTGTCGCGCCGACAGTCGGATCGACCGTGTCAATCCGCCGATCGGACTGGCTCGCGTCTGGCGCGATATAAAGTGTGTAAAAGATTCATCGAACATGCTACCAATTGCAATATTTCAGAATTAAAAGGTTTCGCGATGCTTCGCCTCTCGCTCAGCAACGTGGTATGAAAAAGGAACGTGTGAAACCGTCCCAACGACTTTGACTTGCGAGGAAAGGACTGCGAGTAGAGTCTCTCACCGATTTTCAAGAGCTTTCGATTTCGACTGCGCGGAGTGTCCGACCAGTGTTTTCTCGTAAGTTCTCGAGGTAGTAGCCTCTCGAAATACACATTTTACACATGCCACTATACCCATGGGATTAATCGCGCAATTATTTTGCGGGCCTCTCTCTCTCTCTCTCTCTCTCTCTCTCTCGCGCGCGCGCGTGCGTTTTCGTCCTTTTCTCCGTGAAAAGCGAGCGATTGAAAATTCTTCTGCCGATCTCTGTGCATGCACAGTGCGAGTCTAAATTAATTCCGACAGGAAGTGCTCTCATCCGGAAGTGCGATCCGTCCTTTTGTCCCGACACACAATGAAACGGCTCTATCGCACTTCACTTCACAATTGGAAAGCTCGAATAGCTTTTATCATCATAGAGCGATAACTGTAAACCGCTAGTGGAAAGTGAGTGTGTCGGGTCGCGCACACAAAAGCTGTGCGCTTTGTGCGATCGCTGAAGTAACACGGCGAAATGCTTAATTGGCACTTGAGTAAATTGTGGCGGTGAGCTCACGATCAGAGTCGTCATACGGCGAACGCCCACGTACGAAACAAGTGTAACGTAGCGCACACATGTGACATTTTTTCTACCCATTCGTCTCACTTTTTGCGCGTACGTTTCAACGAAGGGGCGAGCGCGCGGTCGCGGTCGCGAAAGATGTTTGTAATAATATACATCCCTGTACAAAATGTCGAATTGAAACGTATTAAAAGGTATTGACATTTTGTTGACATTTTATTGACATACGTCTGAATTCTGCTTTCTGATCCGAAAAAGGGGATTGAAAAATATTGGTTCCCATTAAATTTCATCGCGCTAAATCGCGAGACGGCAGTGACGAATGCTTCGCATTAAAAAGAAATCAATTCATTTCAAATATGCCTTGCTTGCATTCAATCGCAATCGATAATTTGCAAATGCGAAACTTGCAAGTACTCACTTCTCCTAATTGTTTTCGGATTCAGAGGCCAGATTTTCACGTTCTATTCCCCTCCCCCCCCCCCTCCCGTCGCATGGAAAAGTATTGGCCCGCGATCCAATCCGAGATTTCCGCAAAGCAGAATTCACGAGGCGAATCTCGCGAATGCGAAACAATACTTTTAAATACGACGTCTTATGACAGGGTTCTCGCGAGCACTTTCAGCTCAAATGATCGTAAATGACCACCCAATCGCGGACAAATTGCGGTACAACATTTTTCACACACAAAGTTAGAATAAAAGTTAGCAGTTTCTTCATGAAAATTAGCGTTATAATATTCCAACATTCTGTACTCCAGGCGCAAAAATGGACCTCGACGAGGATTCGTTGCAGGAGCGCCTGCTGAACGTTTATGATCTTAGCTCGAGCGACAGGCAAGTCCTCTACAAACTCCTGCTGAATGCCTTACGGTCCAAGGACTATCGCTCCTTCAGGAGCATCATGGAGCACAACTTGAAGAAGCAACCACCCGTTCTGGATGTCAATCACGTATTTCCGAATCACTACGAGGAGACGTGCCTCGATATAGCCAGCCGAAACGGCCTGACAGACTTTGTGACATACCTGCTGTCGAAAGGGGCGAAAGTCAACAGGGTGAACGAGGCGCATAATCGCGCGCCTCTACATTTCGCCACCGAGAACGGGCACGAGCGAACCCTGCTGATATTATTGACACATCCGACGACGAACGTGAACCTGCAGGCTGGACAACAGACCGCTCTGCACATCGCGGTGCAACAGGAGAATCTAGCGTGTGCCAGGCAGCTGCTGGAGGCAAGAGCCAGCGCGAGTATTCCCAACAGCAAGGGTCTGACGGCTCTTCACGCAGCGGCGAAGTACGGGCAACGTGAGATGGTGCGACTGATACTGGACATGTGCAAGCAGTGTCCCGATCTGGACAGTTACAGGGACTACAACGATCAGACGACGCGGCAAGTGATACAAGAGAACCTGCCGGATTTGCCGTTGCCGCCGAAATGCGAGAGCAGAGAGGTGAACGCGCAGGATCTCAAATACTACCTGACCGTCAACGACGAGGCGAACTTTCTCACGAGCTTGGAGAACGCCAAGCCGCAGATAGTCCGCAGTGTGGCCGAAGATTTGCTCGAGATGGCCGCGCAACACAATCTCCTCGACGCTGTGATGGGAATTCTGGGCAGGCTTCCAAACGGCGTGTTCAGCGTGAAGAGAGCCGCGCAAGTGGCGATTCGAGAGGGCAATTATCACGTTCTTCGGCAGCTGCTGAACGTGGAGCCTGGTGTGGCGAACGATCTGATCCTGGACGTCTGCCCGGAGCTGGGAATGCCCGGCAGACACGGCGTCGACAGCACGTTCGATCGGCTCGAGTGCCTGAGGCTGATCCTGGAGCAAGAGAATGTGGACGTTCGTTGCGCCGATAGTGAGTGTCTTGCAAGTTTCACAAGTTTCTGTATCTGTATCTCCTGCTCTCTTTGAGACGGGACAGAGAAGCGATAAGAGAGAACGAGAGGAAGGGAGAGACGCTTAAAGGACCGCGCTTGCTCTTTCGTTTCTTTTCTCTTATCCTCGTCGTGACGATACAATTCCATTCTTCAACATCTTTCTATGTTTCTGTACAGACAAGGGTAACACGCCGCTGCATTACGCGGCCAGGGCGGGCTGCAACGAAGCGACGACTCTGCTCTTGGAGCGCGGCAGCTACATCGGGCACATGAACAAATTCAACGTACCGCCCATCGCGGACATTCCGACGTGCACGTTGCTGCGATACTTGGACGACTGCGTGCAGGCGCGAAAGTGTCGGACGAACGAGTACACGATCGAACTCGACTACCGCTGCCTGATGCCGCATCACACGGACGGATCCGCGTCGGCGTGTCGGCCTTATCGCGAGATGGAAGTGTTTCAGTACATCGCCCGCAACAACGGTCTGAAGCAGCTGCTCAAGCACCCGCTGCTGTCCTCCTTCCTTTATCTCAAGTGGCACAGAATACGACATTTTCTCTACGCCAATTTCATCTTTTACGTGATGTTTTACCTCCTGCTGAACGCTTACATCATGAGCATGACGTACCACAGCTCGTCGAGCAGAAACAAAACGGAGACGGTGAACGACGTCGCTTCGACGAACAACGGCAGCATGAGAATCGCCTCTTGGAACTACGAGAGACTCCTGCATCCTCTCGTCAGCTTGATGCTGCTGCTCTTCGCCTGCCGGGAGATTATACAACTTTTCTCCTGTCCTAGACATTACTTCAAGAGTCCGCAGAACTGGCTGGAGCTCATGCTGATCGGCATGACTCTGTCCGTGTTGTGCGGCGCGGGGCCCGTGCTTGGCGCGATAGTGATTCTACTGTCGGCCTGGAACCTGGTGCTCCTCATCAGCCAACATCCCCGCATGTCCACCGGCGTCGAGATGTTTCGCACGGTGTCGTTAAACTTCGTACGCTTCCTCTTCCCGTATATCTTTCTCATTCTCGCATTCGCTCTCGCTTTTTACACGCTCTTCAAGGACGCCGACGACAACTTTCCTGATCCCGGTCACTCGTTCTTCAAGACTATCATCATGCTCACCGGCGAATTCGACGCCGACGACATATCGTTCGAGTCCCACCCGGTCTGGAGCCACCTTGTCTTCGTCTTTTTTGTCTTCCTCATCGCCATTGTACTGTTCAATCTACTCAATGGTCTGGCGGTTAGCGACACCGCAGAGATCCTCTCCAAGGCCGAGCTCGTCAGCCTCATCTCCAGAATACATTTGATAGCCTACATCGAGCACGTGGCCTTTGGCAAATTGCTGAAACATTGGCTCTGCTGTGACATCCTGCGCCGGAATCTGTCCGAGTATCTCACCAGGAGGATCCTTCTGTTTCGGAATTATCTGGCAGACGGCAAGATCAGCATCAAGCCTTGCGACAATCTAGACGCTTGCGAAAACCACAGGCGTTACACCAACTACATTCGCAGCGAGTCTATCAAGAAACATAATCGTTGGGCCACCTTGGAGATGGATCCCAGTATAATTAAGAAAGCCAAACGGATTATCTCTAATAAGGTACAGTTGTCGGACGACGAAAGGATAATGATCACGTTGAACAAACTGCAGGAGAAGTTGACGATGATGGAGGAGTCTTTGAATACTATAAAGCTCGCAGTCGAGAATAATAATGTCAATAACGCAATGGGACGTGCGGCTTAGAATAATTCAAACATTTAGACTGGTACTGTTTGAATATTCTGCTGCATTGTCCGTTTAGAACTTGGTTTTACAAAATAAATGATCCGAGTAATCTGTCGTATAAGCTTGTATTTTTATTTAGTATAAATCAATGTGACGCAATCGATAACGAACAGTCGTGTTAAATGTACGTTGCCTTTTATTACGTTCAACGCGTAGACTCAGCTACATGCTAAGGTAAGCTTAGCTAAGCTACATGACAATGTGCTTCATTAATATCCCGAGCGAAACAGTTTACATGTTGTTTGTGCGACATACAAATGTAAATGTAAGTCGCACCTGCTTTTAAAATTGTATAGTCTTACATCTTTCTTTCTTTTTTTTTGTTTTACAATCGATACCGCTCTATAACCAAACTGTAAGCAGATCTTTCACGATTCCAAACGTCTATTTGTAACGAGAGTATTGTTTTTTGTGTTAATAAATACAATCAACGCGTTAACAAAGCAGATAGATGTTGTTATAGTCATTGCAAAAATTAGTATGACTTCCATCATGTGTATAGAAAATAAATAAATTTCTTCTTATTTATCAATAGATTATTGTTTTATCGCAGATCTACATGTCTGAGAATAAATCAGCGACAACAATGGACGAGTTGCGCGAATAGCATGTAATTACTAACCAGATATATCTTGCCGTGTGACAGTCTTCTCTTTTCCTTGGCGCACCAGTATGTCGGTGTAAAATAAGTTGAAGTCGAGCCTAATTTAAACATATATATATATATATTTGACGATATATATATATATATATATATCGTCAAGTCGAATGCTGTTAAATGACGATATTTGTAACGCGTCTTGATTAAACATGATTGTTCCGATTTATTCGAAGCTAAGAAAATGTTTTTTGCTTAAAACTTACCGACACAAGACATTAAGTAGCTTCTCATTGTTGTTATGACAACCCAGATCACAGATCCGATTCAGAAGACGTAGTAATACTTCAGTAAATTTTTCATCTAATGATATGATTGTCTCCTCGAAGCTTCCTGTCCCGTCTTTCGCTGCCGCACCACTCTCAGCCTAGTAAAGAACATGGTTAGCTATTAATATGCTGTGAACATGCGTGTAATACACTTAATGTAAAAATGAAATTAAGAAGCAATTTGAAGTAACAAAAATGCAATACTGTTACAAGTTCTATTTCGTTGTCTATATGCAATATATGTATAGTATATCGATAGGCTATTTCTTTATAACAATCATGCTTTCTATAATAGAGATAATAATGGTAATTTTACTCCATCAGTTACGCTATACAAAGGATCTTTGAAATGCGCTTGAAAAAACTTGCTATTCTATCCATGTTACTTTAGTAAAAATTCGCAATAATACTACAATAAATTTTATAATCCCATATAAGTCTTTGTAGATAATGTAGCAAATGTTGAGAATACAAATTTTTATATTGTATAAAATATGCAGAAATATTAATCATTTATTATTTTTAGGGACGTCTAAATCTTACGGAACCATATTTTAACATGTATGTACAAGTATGTATGATAAACATTATAAAATTTTTCACTCATATCCTGATATATAAATCCAAAAGAAATGTAGACATTCTTTGTGTGTATGTGTGTGTGTGTGTACATAAATGTGTGTATATAAATGTATACATAAGTACTCTATACCAAATATTATATACTAAACAAAAAAAAAAAGTAACATCTCAAGATTACTAGTAAATTTGACAAACTATTTCATCTTTTTCGTATCAAGTTTGTAGTAAAAAATATGATAAAAATATACTTAATATCGCACAATTCAGCGTTTATCGATGCCTATAACATTTTTAGATAATTTTTAATACAATAAGCCAATTTTTACTAGTATTGCGTCAAGATAATATGAAATATACACATAGGTAGGTATGCATTGCAGAAAAATGGAATGCATAATATTTCACATAATATTGTAAAAAAATACTCTACTTCACACATTCCTAATTTTTATACTTACTTCATTTTCTTCAGACATCTTCATAGAGTGCATGTATAATTTATTAGCAAACGATTGTATCACTTACACTTGCACGAAACGAAATTTTCAAAATAACATAAATACATGACATTTAAAATATCATCTTGTACAGAGATGCATTAAAATGTTTAACTTTTCTTATGTGTGTAAGAGCAATATAAATAGAATACATTGTAATTCAACATGGCAGAGAATGCTTGTCAGTTTTTAAAGCCACCACTGCATTTTTAAGGTAAAGTTTAAATAGAATACTACTGATACACCATGCACACAAGTGGGGAATAATGAATAAATATAACAGTCACATGTTCTTAATATAATAACGATGTCTAAGAATGCCTCATTTGCAAAAAGAACACTTCATGATCCTAGGGCTACAGAGATGCATGAGGGCGAGCTTAAAGCTTTGACAGTATACCTCATATTCATAGACATCTTCCTGACAGGCACCAATCATGGATGTCAATTCAGCATCAATGTAGTAGCGGCTCATACACTTAACATTAGGCAAAATGGCATTAAAATTTGACAGATTGAAGATTCATCCGTCATTACTTTTCTCTCGTTACAAAATACAAAAGGTTGATATCGTTACATCCTTAAAATAAATTTCTGAGCAATGTGTGATGTATAAAAAAAAAAAAAAAAAAAAAAAAAACTGATCGATCTAGTCACATGGAGAAATACACACAAAAGTTGCCCGATACAAATATTTCTCCCAAAGTTGCTGCGCGAAAGAAAGAACATGAGACTTGAAGAAGTACTTACTAGCATTTGTAAATGTATTATGCAATAAGAAGTAAAGCGTCGTGTAATTAAAATCCAATCGAACACAATGGTTGCAACTTAGAGGAAGAGGCCGTTGGATATAATTTCTTACATGCAGTGGATTAGACGAATTATGACGATGAAATGTGCAGTAGCGATAGACTTACCTGCATAAAACTGCAGAATTCCACGCAAATGGCACATATACTGGTGATGCAGCCGAGAAGATCAGGATCCGTTAACATGCACTCTTTCAAATAGCTATCCTGCAAGTCTTGATGCACGCTCAGTACGTCGTCAACGTTACTAACCTGTGATTTAGTGATATCAATTATCAATTTTAACAAATTAGTTAAAATTTTGCACTTAACACATGTGTATGTGTGCAAAGCAATTTTGCGTGGAACGTTTGCATATAAGATATCGTACGTAAATAAGATGCAGCGATATATAATTACTTTGCTCATTTTATTTATAAATTTCAGCCAATTTGGTTCCACGACTTCCACCATCATGTAGTATTCCAAATGTTGTATACAATCCAACATTCTTTGCCGTAACGAAAACGCCTGTCTGTAAGCCATCGCCACTTCGTGCGTGAACGTTTTCGCAATTTTATTGCTAATCCATACTCTGCGATCGAATGGATTTTTATTTATAATAGATTTAACACTTTTCTATTGACGTCTAGGTTCTGAATTGGTAGAGTCGAGTCGAAGATAACTTACCTGCACAAAAGCCTTTCCACATGCTTGCAAAAGAACAAGTGCCTAAACAACATTTGATAACAAGCTATCGCCTTTCTGTTGATAATCAAAGAAACTGGCCATTTAACGTCGTAATTGAAGACAAAGGCTTCCAAACCAGTTAGAGTTTTACCCGCTTGAAGGCAGTATTCTGTAATAGAAATTAATTTCCATTCTTAGTTAAGTTTAAAGTTAAGTATGATCGACTGAGTGTGGTATCTTCTGCGCGATAGAATACCTTTCTCGTCTCTAGTTTGGATCGAAAGTATTCTGAACATTTGGTACTGCAAGTCATATGGAAGTAGCTCAGGCTTCAGATCGTCCTTGTAAGGATCTGAGTCGGCTGTGGACATTCGCAGGGCAACTTCGAGGAGAGATGCCAAACGATGCGGCACAACGTCATACATGCTTTTATTTAACTCGGCCTCGCAGAGATTCATAAATTGTACCTGTAATGTCAAAGTGGAGAAATTTCTCTCGCATATCGTGCAAGAAATTGCAAAAAATTTTGAAATAACGCTCGTGAATTCATACGAATCAAACTTACCACAAAATCTCCCTGGGCGAGAAGAAAATAACTTTTTACACTACGCAGTCTGCCCATTAGATCGTTCTCATGTATGAGGACTTCCAATAATTTTTTAGCGGCTTCTGAATATGCTCTATCGATGGCAGCTATATATGTTTGCCCTTGATGTTGATAACTTAAGGGCTCTTGTTTTCCCCACTGCACCGTTTTACCTATAAATGCATGTCGTGCTTATCAATGAATTGTTACAGTTTATGAATTAATCGACAAAAATTAAAGTAAGTTAGAAAGCCTCGTAAAGTGTCACTTGTAACACGAAAAGTGACGTCATACTCTTGATGAACGTACCACATTGCCTAATAACGTTGAAATATTTGCCCGTCCTAAGTATCGTTTGTGCGTATTCGTTTAAAAATACAGGTATCCTCTCCGGTCGCATAGTGTACCGTTTTTCCCAATAATCTGCAGAATAATCCACAGGAAGTTCTTCTCTTTGAACCAATTCGTTATCTTCGACAAAGAACTGAAAGGTACAAACATATATATATATATATATATATGTGTTTTATAAATTTTTATTATATTGTTTATATATGATGACACTAACCTCTTGGTACGGATCACATATCATCCCTTTATAGACCCATTTTTCTAAAATCTGCATATACGGCATGCTTGCAGCCTGCATCAAATACAGGCACAGTTTTTTGGATTTGGCTTCACCGCTAATATTGTTCATTGTTTGCTCGTGAAGCAGGCTCAGCACTTTCCCACCTCTAGCATTTGCCTAAAGTTAATAAAAGTAATTGTATTGTATGCAATATGTTCAGGTAATAAAAAAGTACATTCTTCTAATACTCGCAATTTAATTGTGACTTAGGGTTTCATCATGTATACATTCATTGACTTCCTTTTTACCAACCTTGCATATTGTGGATGTAATTTGAGCAAGTATAGACATTGTAATCATAGTGGACTGAATGTAAAACCATAACTTTTGCAAATTTAATTTACCATTGACATGTTCCATTTCAAGTTGTACAACAAAGAGCTAAAATAATATACAATCATATAATAAATTATATAATCACATTTGCATTGTTCAACTGTAAAAAGTTTGCTGTACCAAGTAATCCTTCAGTAAAGATCGTATAGCTCCTCTCAAAGCATGATTAACTTGTCCATCATCTGGGGAGACTTTCTCCTCTACAAATCTCATTGTCATGGAGTAACATGAAGCTAAAGGTATTATCTGTTGCGCGAGTTGCTTAAACGATATACCTGAAGAGAAAATATTTCTACTTACATTATATATTAATGTACCTTGAAAGTGTTTAAACCGAGTTTACTTTATGAATCAACGACAGATTAAAACTTTTTACACACGTTCCTTACCAATATCTGATGACATAGAAAATGTCTTAATACCATAGGGAGTTGCTAAAGGTTCTGAAACAATGTATGAACCATCTATGCCTTTTAAGCAATACAAGATATCCCATAAAAGTATAGATTCTTGCGATACAACGGGAACAACTTCTGCAATTATTCAATTATTTGAGGTATGCAAACACTCGTCTTTCATTTGCACTTCAATAAGAAAGAACTTTTACAAACTTTGATGGAGTGCTACAGTTGTGTCACTATAAAAATCCCAAGTTATACGTGGACGTTCTGCTACCCAATTGTGTATTGTTAAGGCACTATCAGTTTTTTTATTAATTGCTTGCTGATTTAATTTCTTTCCTCCTTCAACAGCAGCTTTCATCACATTTTTGCAGATCTAACATATATTTGCAGATTTGAACATATTTTTTATATAATTTACGCATATGCATTATTTGTCAAAACTGAATATTGCAATTATATATCACTATGTTGTCACCTTTGGCAAATCTTTTTGTGTAATGACTTGATCCTTCGTAGAACCAGCAGCTAGTGCTGGTGCAGATTTTGACAGAAATTTCTTCAATTCATTATCTTGAGATATTAATTCCAGAGTCTGCATGAATGGACCTAACAGATCTACTCTGAAAAATATTTTTCTCTTTACATAAATTTCTGCATATAAAAGTTTATACATCATGCATGCGATATCTCAAATTTTATTAGCTCTTTACTAACTTCTTAGATTTCAGTTCCTCATATTTTTGTATAAATAATTCTGGTTGTAATGAATGTTTGGAAAGATATTGAATGCAACTTTGAGGAGCAACAGTATTTAGCGCATTTGCTGTTGAGCTCTCTTTCTGCAGCTTTTCTATATGTTCTTCTGGGGCAGTTTCCGAACTAGGAAAAGAAAAGGATATTTATACATAAAAACATTGTCTTTGCATAATTTATCTATTCTTTAGATAATAAAATTCACAGATGCAAATATGATGCAAATGATGCAAATAGATTTATAAAATTATGTAACTGTATATATTGTAAATTATTCTTTACAAATCACAAAATATAATGTATTTTTCACTTACCCGAGTGATTCAATCAACTCCCTTATTAAATGATGTATCTTAAATTCACTCATTATGTTGCTTTGTACATATATCTATCTTTTCTTTCTTTTATAACTGTTTCAAAATAAATATCAATTACAATACAGTCCCAGTCAGTTTGAGTCACCAGTTGATAACACCTTAAAATAACCTTAAAATAAAAGGAAACATTGAGTTAAACTTACATAAAATATTGTTTATGTAGAAATAGTTATCTCGATCATTTTGTATATATCGTATTATCTTTCTCTACGTTTGAAAGGTTTGAAGGTTATGGTAATTTCATGTCTGCAGCGTCATCTACCGAGAACTTACTTTTCTTTGCGGTAATTTGAAAATTTTATCTCACATGTTACATATTATTATTAAATTCCGATGTTTAGAATACCTAATTTTATAAATTCACTTGGAGAGGGGGAAAGATGAAATGTCCTCGATACATCAATATTACACTCAATAAAAAGAAATGTTGAAAAGAATGTTGAAAATCTTTAAAAGATATTATTTCGTTGTCCATTTGACAAATTTTATATATGTGCGAAATTTTCTATTGACTACAATTTATATTCTTTAGCGTTATAATAAATTAATTATTAATAAAGATTATATGCAGAATACATGATGAGTTATTCAATTTCGTGTGGCGGTGTTAAATACTGCAATTCGTAATAAATAAATTGTTGTTCAATTTCTGTTTCGATCTTGGTAATGTCTGGTGTCATTTGATTATTTTGCATTTTTGAAGTCACGTGAAAAAAAAATTGATTCGCTCTGTGTCTGAAAATTGTAAAGTAACTTAAATAACTAATACTACAGCTCCTTATTTATGTAACAATATGTAGATTAAAAATTACCTTAAATTTGTGTCAATATTATTAAGTGATGCAATAGGAGTAAACAGAGGCTTCTCTGTACTTGTAGGCACCAAGGAATTGCGATCGTTGAGATGATTGATCTTTTCAGATTTCTCTAATTTTTGCGAAGTTATACAATGAATTTTGCTTTCATCTATGGATTTTTTAAATCGCTTCACGAGATTTTGATCCTCATCACTGAATGCTGATTTTTTTTTTCTCGATAAGTACGTTTTGTTTGATGAATTGAAATTATAATTTTCTTTGTTTCGCCTATATTTGCGAAAAGACGTTAATTTAAACACACACAGCGTGGTAGCGCGTGCAAATAAGTCAGTAGTTGTTCTCACATTTTATAATTATCATCAATATTCTTCTTTAAATTTAAGATAAATTGTTCATCATCATCCTCTATAATATCCATAAAAGATGTAGCGGTCTGCTTTGTAGGCTGCATTAAGTTGCTTCTAGTTATACAGCCTGAGCTTATCTGTCCTACAAAAAGGAGATTATATTGTGTTATTGGATTGTAGCAATAGGAAATTCACTTTAAGATTAAAAAATAATTTAACCTCATCAATTTATATTTGCCTACTAATGCAACTACCACTAATAATAATAATAATAATAATAATAATAATAATAATAATAATAATAATAATAATAATAATAATAATTTACCTGTTGGTATCAGGGAAATATTTTTATAATCAAGAGAATCTGTTTTATCACCCATATTGATTATGCGAAGGAACAGCAACGATATATCAAATGTAGCTTTTTCGTTTATATACAATTTTACGCTTCACGTTGCAAATGCCGCTCTTTTTGAATCATACTTGAGATGCCCCCCCTTTTGCCGCTTTTTCGAATAACTGACGCCATGATACATGAATATGTAGATACAATACGTGTGGTTGAAAAAGATTTGTAGGCAACTTCGCTGTAAACTTCTTCCCTCCTCAGGACAGAAATGAAGAACTCTGATTGGTTGATTCTCCTATGCGTTGTGTATTATGCGTTATGCAGAAGTCTGTGCTCTGTCCCTAATCATCATTCCCCTTCTGTATATATGTGGTCCGTTCTTTGTAGCTGCACTGCTGAACTGGTGCAATAAGCTAGAGTGAGAAAACCTATATTTGTCTCACTTCAACTTATTGCACCAGTTCAACAGTGCAGCTACAAAGAACAGACCAATTTTTTAAGGTTGCATCTCGTCAGATCAGTGGTCTGTTCTTTTTAGCTGCACTACTGAACTGGTGCAATAAGTTAAAGTGAGAAAAAATATAATTGTCTCATTCTAACTTATTGCACTAGTTCCGCAGTGCAGCTAAAAAGAACAGATCACAGACACGTCATAACCTTTTCGTACGATGTTCAACGTTGTTTTCTCATTGTAATTTCTTGTACAACGTATGAACAAAATAGCAAAGCATTTATGATAATTTGGTAAATGATGCGTCTCGCGATGACGATGAACGTCAAATTGTTGCCAATTCTGCGGCATCGCGGCATAATCGCGCGTTCCTTCAACAAAGGTCGGTCAGCCGATCATCAGGCGCTCTCGATTTTCGTTAAACCACAACAAGCACGAGCGGAGTATTTTGCTGAAAAATCAAGGTTATTGAGAAATGTACGCGGACGTTGGTTTCACCCCGCGGTGATGTCAGTGAGATTTTATGCGAAAACTTTCAGTCGAAATCCACCGAGGTAACCACTGATTCTGTTTACTCCTCCTTCCATTTCATTAATTGCATATGATGCAACTTGTATATCTCATGCATCATGTATTGCATAGTAATATTGTAAAATTACTGCGAATAATTATACAATATTAATAAGAATACTGCTTGTGTAATTTTGCGTTATTATACAGTGACGGAGATGGAGATCAACCGGGAGATTATTCTGCTTCCTTACCTGCGACCGTAGTGGTACCTGAAGTATGGCCCCATGTACCAGTCATTGCTATTAACAGAAATCCAGTGTTTCCTAGGTTTATCAAGCTCATTGAGCTTACAAACCCAATTTTGATAGATTTGATACGTAGGAAAATTAAATTAAATCAACCTTATGTAGGAGTCTTCTTGAAGAAATCTGAAGAGTAAGTTCTTTCAAAACCAGAAGTATATTTGTCTGATATGAATCGGAGATAACAATACACACAAGTTTTATTATATTTATATATGCAGAAATGAAGCTGAGATTGTTCAAAGTTTGGATGATATTTATTCTATTGGAACTTTTGCACAAGTACACGAAGTACAAGACTTAGGCAATCGAATGAGATTGGTAGTTATGGCACATAGAAGAATCAAAATTATTCATCAGATACTTGAAGACAGCGACGCAAAATCAGGACCGCAGGGTAAGAAAAATACTGATGTGTTGCATTTTCATGTTAATTGCATTAATAAGTTACATATAGGAATCTACGTAACTTCTTACTGGTTTTTAACGAGGAATGCAGAAAAAGATTGTTTTCTTATTGAGTGATTGAGTAATCAGTTAATATGTTCATCCAAGAGTGTCTCATTAGCAGAGTAACACTTTGAACATTTTCATGTTCTATTTAAATATTGGCCCGCCTACTGTACACAGAGATGGAACTGACGTTTCCGCTATTAAATACAACAATTACCGTCCCTGTAGACGACTCTATGACCACTGGCAAGATGAGTCGAAGATCGTTGCGTAAGAAAATGGAGAATAAAGTTGTAGAACAAAGTGAAAAAGTCAGTCAAGAGACGGATCCTACGGAAATAAAACCGTCAGTAGATTCAACGGAAAAAAACATGAAGAAACCATTAGATACGCCCGGTAGCCTACCTATATTAATGGTGGAAGTTGTAAATGTTACGCACGAAAAGTTCAAGCAAACCGAAGAGATTAAGGTAATACACGCAGAATTTTACACACAATCTTAAAAGTATGATTCTTAACTCTTTGACTGCGTGCTGTTCGGAAGCGAGACGATCGCTCTATTCGGCGCGCGGACTTAGCTCTAATCGTCACGATGCATTTGTTACAATATTAACAAATATTAACAAACGTTTTGTTAACCTCATTTGTTACGATATTAACGAATCAAGATGTCTAAGACGCTGTACGTCTAAGGCTTCCGCCGGATTTGCGACCTTACGACAGTCTTACGATTGATACTATTGCATTAAGAATGATATAATTGTATTTTGTTTCTTTGTCGAGCACAACATAAAAAGTAAACATCGTGTATGTAAGCACATACTAGGCTCAGAGGGGCAGAAGTGTAAAATAATCGCGAACCGGCTTTGATTTGATTTCACTTGCTTTACTTGCGTGTTTCGCCCTTCTTTTCTCATTTCGGATGTGTCTGCGACACATCCGAAATGAGAAGACGCGAATCGTCTATGTTATTTTGAAGAAAGTCGATTTTTTGGATGTTTGTTGAATACTTTGCATTATTTGATATGTACTGTACATAATACTACCGATAAGCGGAAATATTTGTTGAACAGGCTCTGACACAAGAACTAATTAAGACGATACGGGACATAATCAGCATGAATCCTTTATATCGTGAATCTCTGCAACAAATGTTGCATCAAGGACAAAGAGTTGTGGATAATCCAGTCTACCTCAGTGATTTGGGCGCTGCCTTAACCGGAGCGGATGCGGAGGAATTGCAGCAGGTCCTAGAAGAAATGGATGTGTGTAATGTTCTTGTATGATGATATATTGGGAAACACGAGAGATGCATGAAACTAAACTGTGACAAATGTATTTTTATACGCAGATTATAAAAAGGTTGAGACTGTCGCTCGCGCTTCTGAAGAAAGAATACGAGTTGAGTAAGCTGCAACAGAAAATTGGCAAAGAGGTCGAAGAGAAGGTAAAGCAACAACACAGGAAATACATTCTTCACGAACAGTTGAAAGTTATCAAAAAAGAGCTAGGGCTGGAGAAAGATGACAAAGATGCGATAGAAGAAAAATACCGGGAAAGAATAAAACAGAAGATAGTTCCTAAACCAGTAATGGATGTCTTGGAGGAAGAATTGAACAAATTGTCCTTTTTAGAAAATCACAGTAGTGAGTTCAAGTGTGTACCAAATATCAAACATTTATCGCATACAGTACAATAGAGATGTGGCGCTGCTACATGCCTGTTGCCAAGTTAACCAAGTTTACCAACTAAAACAAAAAATATATCTTTTACAGTGTTACAAGAAATTATCTAGACTGGCTTACATCCATGCCATGGGGTGTGACAAGCGCAGAGAATTTGAATCTTCAGGAAGCTGCTGAAATTTTGGATCAGGATCATTATGGAATGGAAGATATCAAGAAAAGAATTCTCGGTATGGAGTGCTTACAACTACAAATAACCACAGGTAAATGTTATCGCATTGCCCATGACTAATGTGTTTCTCTCATTGTAGAATTTATTGCTGTCAGCCAACTGAAGGGCACTACACAGGGCAAGATACTATGTTTCCATGGGCCTCCTGGTGTAGGCAAGACCTCCATAGCTAAATCAATCTCTCGTGCCTTGAATAGGGAGTATTTTAGGTTTAGCGTTGGTGGTATGATGGACGTGGCGGAGATTAAGGGACATAGACGAACATATGTGGGTGCTATGCCAGGCAAAGCTATACAGTGCCTAAAAAAGACCAAAACCGAGAATCCACTGGTTCTCATAGATGAAGTGGACAAGATCGGCAAGTGTGTAATTTACTTGTACTTACGATTATTTTATCATGTATGGAACATGTATATGTTCCCTTAATTGGTATCCATCTAATATATAATTATTCCTTGCTTAATTGCAATCATTATATTGCAATCTTACATATATAGATTCTTTGTGCATAAAGTACATGCCTTTTAGAAGAATTGTACATGTCAATAAAGTAAAATGATCTGTTAGAGGAGGCTACCAAGGTGATCCAGCGTCTGCTCTTCTCGAGATGCTCGATCCAGAGCAGAATGCAAACTTCTTGGACCACTATCTGGACGTTCCAGTGGATTTATCAAAGGTTTTATTCATCTGCACGGCGAATGTCACAGATACTATTCCGGAGCCTCTGAGGGACCGTATGGAGATGATAGATATGTCGGGTTATGTGGCCGAGGAAAAACTGGCTATCGCGAAACAATATTTGATTCCACAGGCCAGGACCGAGTCTGGTCTCAATAACGAGCAAATTAGCATGGACGACAACGCGCTCTCGGTATTGATAAAGTCTTACTGTCGCGAGTCTGGAGTGAGGAACTTGCAAAAGCACATTGAGAAGGTGCACAGAAAGGTGGCGCTCAAGATCGTGAAAAAGGAAGCCGAGAAGATTACCGTCACTGGCAGCAACTTGCACGATTTTGTAGGCAAACCCGTATTCACACACGACCGAATGTACGACATCACACCGCCCGGAGTAGTGATGGGACTGGCGTGGACCGCCATGGGCGGTTCTACTTTGTTCATCGAGACTACCATCAGGAAGCCGACCGGCGGCAAGAAGTCCGAGGGCACTTTCGAAGTCACCGGACATCTGGGCGATGTGATGAAGGAATCGATACATATCGCGATGACTGTAGCGAGGAATCACTTGAAACACGTGGATCCTGCAAATACATTTCTCTATGACTCTCATATACATATACATGTGCCCGAGGGTGCCACACCGAAGGACGGTCCGAGCGCAGGCGTGACGATCGCTACGGCGTTGCTCTCCCTCGCGAAGAACCAAGCTATCAGACAAGACGTGGCGATGACGGGTGAAGTGAGTCTCATCGGCAAGGTGCTACCTGTCGGTGGTATTAAGGAGAAAACTATCGCGGTAAATTCCACTGAGTAGCAATTTATTATCCAGCGATGTCATTAATGTAATGTTACTCGGTATCCTAATTTTCAGATCTAATGCATAGTGCTGAAATGTGCTTTTGATTTTCAGGCGAAACGAGTCGGCGTGAAATGTATAATTTTACCCGACGAAAACAAGAAAGATTTCGATGATTTGCCCAACTACATTACAGACGGGCTGGAGGTGCATTTTGCTTCAACTGTCGACGATGTTTACCGTATATGTTTCACACAGACGAAGGAGACCAGTTCCTTCGAATCTGATAAACCGTTTAACGCTCAAGTTTCACCCACACAACCGGCATTTGGGTAAATCCAAGTAGCATTTGGAGTGGTGTGTTGTTGATTGGGAATATTCTTTTTTCCGATATTTTATTTTCTATATAAGGCATACAATAATTACAAGTATAATTTGTACATTAATTAATGTTCCACACAAAAATAAGAAAAATATAGGTAGATCACTGTACAAAATAAACAGATCTTTTAAATAGGCCTTTTGTGTTGTGCCGAAGATAAAGACTCTTTTGATTCAGTAAGTATGCTCAAATACGTTCTTAGAGAACGTTTTTTAGTTGTAAATAGTAAGAACTTTGTTACAATGGCTGAGTGTGATCATTCAAAAAGTATCATTACTCATCTTATGTCACACTTATACATATATATATATATATATATGTAGTTGAAGTTATGTTACCGCAAAAGTTTAAGGAATAGAATTATGAATTGTCATAAAATTCATGCTAAATATAACAAATTTTTTATCATACTATTACATATAAGAATATTCATATTTTTACATATATTTATTATTGTAATACAATATATAAATGGGAAGCCAAGGTGAAAACTGTTTTACTTTCCATGCAGCTTGTCTCTGTTCAAAACAAAAAAAAAGATATATATATATATATATTTTTTTTTTTTCTATCAAAAATATCCTTTTCATTTTAAAGATTCTATAATATTTTAAACATTAGTTTATGACTTTAGACTGATGCATCTGACTGTTTATGTTATGTATTTGTAATGTACAATAAAATATTTAAAATGACTATATGGGAATGGAATTTATATATATATATATATCTCTGAATAAAACACTTTATAAGAAATGTCAAAGTATTTACTATATATCTTTAAAAGATATATTATTAAATTTATTGTATATTAAAGATATAAAATTTCTTACTAATAACTAATAATTATATAAAAAGATAAATATAAACTCACAAGGGATAATAAAGATATTGCATCTTTTTTTACATTGATCAATATAGCTTAGAGAGAACAACATGAAATACAAATGTATGTATATGATATAAAAATAGCGGAATAACACTGACTAAAAAATAATAGCTGTACTTCTATGTCAGCTTGGTACATCCATTTTACTGAGCCTGATTATAAAGTCACACAGTCGCATCTGCACCTGAATCTCCATTGGATTAGTAGTGACATAAAATCCAGGTACTCCTGCTTTTTCCAATATGCTTTGCTGGTCCGAAACTTTCTGATCCAGTTGCAGTACCAATTTCATGTCGGTTTGCTTCAATTCTTCCTTATGTTTTTTATACAACGTCGCTTTTACAGACGTTATTTCCTCATCCGTTGTTGCTGTAGACAATGCTTCCTGTGATTCAATTTTCTGCTGATTCAAAAGCTGCAACCGCTGTTGAAAGAGATGCTTCTCGGTAACGTGCTGAATCTCCATCAATCCTTTTACTATCTCGAAAATGGTATCGTTTAATAATGAATTGGCCAAACCGGATAACAATTCGTACGGTAAACGCATTTGATACTTTGGTGGAAGTTCCCCGGCCATATGCTGTAGCTGTTCCACGAGGAAATACAGCTTTCTCTGCAGATCTTGAGGAGTAGGACTGGCAATGTCCATCTTCTCTCTATGAGTAAAATGTGTCCTGAGTTCACCTGAGTCTGAGCGAAATCCAAGGTGTGTTGTTGTCAGACTTATAAGTGGCTGCGTTCAGAAAACACAACGGTTACACAACGGTTGAGTAATTCGTCAACGTTATTGGTCTGAATGTAAGGATCTAACAGTAAGGACCAATAGTTATTAAGCGCTCCAATGAGCGCTTTGTTTTCTGAACGCAACCAATAATTCGACCATGTCCTGTTATACTTTGCGAGAAAGAATGTGTTCCGTTTCACGTATATGCGCGCATTTATCTATAGTTTATGTCACGTATACCATAAAAAATGCGCGCATATGCGTGAAACGGAACGCACTCAAAATATTGTACGCATTCTAAATGAAATAACATTAACCACGTTCACAACAGAAAAAGCTGCTTACCAAGGTTGCGTTCGGAAACTTGTCACTCGGACGCATCCGCTGTGATGTGTTGGTATGAGAAAGAGAGAGAGAGAGAGAGAGAGAGAGAGAGAGAGAGAGAGACATAAGAATGAGATAAAGGTCGTGTTCCAAAATTCACTGCCAGTACTGAACATATATATAGTTTGTGTCACGCAAACTATAACTTTTCAGCGCTGGCAGTGAATTTTAGGACACAGCCTTTATTCCGAAGATGGATGAAAATGCACCAATTAGAACCACCAATTAGTATTTTCATCCAGCAAGTAATCCAGCACGAAAATAAAGCCAGCGGCTTGCACGATGCTTGTTTCGTGCTGGATTGCTTGCTGAATGAAAATACTGCGTTCTGATTGGTACATATCCGAAGATGAATGAAAATGCAATCAGAACGCAGTATTTTCATTCAGCAAGCAATCCAGCACGAAACAAGCATCGTGCAAGCCGCTGGCTTTAGGGCCAATTGTTTCAACTTCGTGGTAAGTTAACTGATAGTTAAATCATATCTCTGTTTTTGTCTGAGTTGAATTGGAAAAACGAAGACAAATATATGATTTAATTATCAGTTAACTTACCAAGAAGTTGGAACAACCGGCCCTTAATATGATATTAGCCATAGAGTGTATTTATTACTATATCGCTCGCTGAGCTCTTGTATTCGATTGCTGAAATCATTTAGATTTTAAAATATATACCAATCAGGTGTAGGAGCTTGCTAAAGCCCGTATCAGACTACTACGATTGGAATTGAGTATTGGATTGAAATTTAACCAATCAGGGCTAAGTTCACTATATTTGAGATTATTTTCTTTTTTCCACTTGGTCAAATTTCAATCCAATCTCAATCCCAATCTATAGTCTGATACGGGCTTAAGCCCTAAACACAATGCCAGGCGACAGGCAATAAGAATAAAAATAGACCAATCATAATCGACTATTACAAGAATAATCTATTGTGATTGGTCTATTTTTATACTTATTGCCTGTTGCCTGGCATTGTGTTTAGGGCTTTACACTACCTAGTAAATTCACCTATGCATCGATGCGCCTGCGTGAAAGTGTTCTGGCTGTGACATTGTGCCGATTGTGCGTCGTGCCATCGATTCGTAGAGTTGCTGAGGCCAGAGTGAAAAATGCACGCGGTTTTGACCAAGTTGAGGCTAACGTCCCGTTTATCGGGCGTTATTGCCCGAAACTGCAATACGAATATTGTGAGTACACCGCCCAGAGTAAAGATTTCCACAGCTGTGAGTAAAATTTAATTTATATATGGAATTACGTAAGAGTCAAATTCAAAAACGCAATTAATCTGCCTTCCTCTCTCGATAAAACTGGAGGAATACATTTCTCTCTTCACTTTTTTGTCGTTGGAATGATAGCGATGTGTTTAACTACAAAAAGGCAGAGCAGAGAGGTGGAGAGAAAGGAATATACGATAGATATAGAACATGTATAAATTTTGTCGAATTTCTCTCTTTCGCACAGTAACTTAGCTTTCACCCAAATTGGTTTTAAGTAATATTTATATTCATTTATGTTCTAGGAACAATTCTTCTCCCTATTTTGTCTTGGTGCTGCGATAATGGGACCACCTATGTATTTTGCACCTAGATTCAAGATATATGCAAATAGGCCTACCTAAGACTACTTAGATCGATGAAGCCTTGAAAATGTCACTTTAGCCTGAAAATTAATCACAGTGGAGCTATTATTTATGATTGTATCTATTTGACAGATTGTTGGATCCTGCTGGAAATATATTAAACGCTTCCGGATCCTTAATAAACAAACTGTAATATTTATGTAGCTTATTTCAAAGTAGTCTTATCCACAACAATTTTCTTGTGATTATCCTCCAACTTGTGAGAGGTAACATTTAATTGTTAAGTTTTCTTCGATTCAATTCTTCAATTTGATTTGATTTGACAAAAAGAGTAATTGCTAACTAAAGAAAGATCTGTTTTATCAATGTGAACATATTTTGATGAGGTATTAAACACCACCAAGCAATTCTCAAAAATTGGCACTTTACGTGAAATGAGACATATGTTGATGTTCGAGAAAAATATCGATATTTATGAGAAGCGGAAGTAAGATTTTATATACGTATATATGTAATCTTTTTTTATCTTTTTATAATACTACATAGCTTTATACATTTCCTTCATTACCCCGGCGCGCGAACATTCGTCAGCTTTGAAAGATGTAACGGTCGATTATATATGTGAAATCATTCAATTCGAAGATGTTTCTCTTCATTACGCGAAAACGTATCAGTGATCGATAACAAGATTAAGAAATATATAAATGGTCAGTGAGACAGAAAGGTCTGCAACATCCCTTTTTCTTAGTCTCGTGTAACTTCTTCGCGTTCTTCTCCGCACGACGAAAGAACGTTTTTGCTTTCTCTATAATATACCCTCGCAGATAAATTTTCCAATTGGTTACCGGATACGTGTTGTGAGGTTTGCAAAGTAAAAGTACGCAAACCTTTCTGCTGTTGCATTCGTACATACGCATTCTCGGTCATATCTCGCGTCTTTTATTCGAAGCGGTGATTTTGTCCTCGATTATTCGAGCAAAGTAATCATCAATCATCGAAATTAACGCGATCGTTCGTGTTTTTACATCCGACGTCCGACGTCCGACGTCTGAACGTGACATTGCAGCGGGAGGAGTTACAAGGTATAAATTTATTACGGAGCCATTACGATCGTGAACAATGATTTCGGAATTAATTTCACCGTTCTACGATGATAAATGCGACGGAAAGTTGCGAGCGACGGCAATTTCCTCTTTAGAGCTCCTCCCCCTCCCTCCTCTTTCTATTTTCTTTTTCACGAGAAAGAAACGAGAACGAATCTGACGTTAAACGATATTCTACGATATCCTCGAACGCGGTTGTAACTGCATACGTAAATGAATACAATATGCAACTGATCTTTAAGAATACTTTTAATAATACATTCACGATAGGACTAATAGTCTCCTGTATTCTTCGCGCATCCCTCCACAACATACCGGGTACGATGTAGCTTTTGCTCTTTCTCTTTCGTACGCACACGCATTCTTACACACACTCTCACACGCGCGCGCTTGCTTGATCGCAAATCTTAAAATTTTACGAACTAAACAATTTGTTTCCCTATGTAAACAGCATTTATAGATAATCTACATCTTAAGATCTTACAATAAAAAATACGAATCGCGGGGATGGTGAAGAGGGAAAGAAGGGCTATGGGGCTAAACAGGGCTGTATAATGACAATAAAATGTCCTTATATATATATATATGTGTGTGTGTGTGTGTGTGTATATATATATATATATATATATATATATATATACATACATACACGGATGCTTTCCAGACAACCGATGACACCGGGACACAGGGCAAACATAGTAAACGATGAGTAAATCGTGATGAGTGCATCGTGCGAGCCGTTCCCATAAACCCACAGAGTATATACAATGTGTATTTGTCGTTAAACTTTCACGTATTATAGGATCACTTTTTTTTTTCAATAGATAGGGTAAATAGAGAATAACTTTGTCTTGCCGCGGACGCGTGTATTTTTTGAAGTTTTTATTGTACCTCGTTGTGCGGTCGGGAAAGAATATAGAATCGCCGACAACGTACGGTATAGCGACGGCCAAAATAGAATCACCAAAGGGTCACCTCAAAGTTTCGTGGACCGCGCGCGTACGACAGTCAAACACGTCCAAACACGGCAAAGTTGACCGTTTTCGTAACATTTTCTACATATATCGTACGGTACGTGCGGTTTTTAAGCTTATTTATAAATTTCTCTTCCTCTTAATTATACAAGCGTTTCATCTTAAACCGATGTAATTGGAGTTTAAGTTGTTTCTATACACCGATAGGCTCTTGGCCATTTTCACTCAAGGTGCGGGGAGGCTAGTCAGCGAAATGTAAAGAGGACACACGATTTAATTGTGGATATATTTGGCCGTCACTACATCTAACGAAACTTTCGAGACCGGAGGATACTCGGATTCGAAAAGATAGAAATTACGATTTACGCAGTCGATCTTGCAGACTCCGCAACTCGCGTGCAGCAGAATCTAATCTACGCCGGAAGAAAGCAGTCTTTTGCAGAAAGGGAATAAAGCCGTGTAAGAAGAGACGAGATTTTACAGAGATGAAAAAGGGAAAATTTTCTGACATTATTCAAAATTAAAAATCATCCCGTTTAATAAACGAGATATATATATATATATATATATATAAACGATTTTCTTCCGAATATCATCTGTTCCGTCGTATATTTTCCGATTCATTTCGCAACGTTTCTTAGCCGAAATAGAACAAAACCGAATCCTTCTCTCTCAATCCTTATCGTATACAATCGTGTGAACGTGTAAAACGAATTTTTGACTCTTGCCCTTTCTGCAGCAGTCGATTCAATCGCTCAGATTGAGGAATCAGTGATGTCGAGTGACGCCAATATTTAGGCTCGATTGCGACGACTGCTCGATCAGCGTTAATCCTGGTCGGTTAGATTTTGCTTCTCCTCTAACTAGAAATTATATATCGGGACTTGTTGTATGTTGTAGGAGGGGAAATACGCGGAGCTCGCGTGCGCGCGGGATTAACGTTTCGACTGCCGTCGCAATATTTGTGCCCGCAATATTGATATGTTCCGGTCGACGGAGCATTTTTTTTTTCTTTACTTTTTGCTTCTGTTCTATCATCGCTTCTATCAACGCCAATATCGACGCTGCGTATGTTGTAATTGCAATAGCCAAAGGTCGTTTCGCACACTTTGATACTTTTGCGAAAGATACGAGTAAAATATTTTGCATATTAGAAGCGAGGAGGGAAGATTAGAGGAAGAAAAATTTGTCGAACGTAGGAAAAGGGACACATTTGAGAGGAGGAAAGGGGCAGGAGGGGGACAGAAAATCATTCCGCTATGGCACAGGTTTATGAGTCAGGCAGGTACTAAATAACGATTTTGAAATATACAAACATGGTCAACTTCTCGCAAGTACGTGTGTGTACATAGGAAATAAATTAAATATAGCTCCCATTCGACCGAACAAGTTTTCGGCTTTTTCGCATCTCTCTCTCTCTCTCTCTCTCTCTCTCTCTCTCTCTCTCTCTCTCTCTCTCTCTCTCGTTCACGCTGTCTCTCTTGCTCTCCCTCTCATTCACACTTTTCTTTCTCTCTCTCCCTTTCATTCTATCGTTCTCTCTCTCTCTCTCTCTCTCTCTCTCTCTCTCTCTCTCTCTCTCTCTCTCATTTCGCGAATTTAACTACGTAAGAACATTGTATTATATATATATACACAGGGTTATGCATTTCATAAGAGTTACAGTACGATTACGGTAATATAAGGTGTGTACGTGTTATCGTATTGTATATATATGTGTGTTATGTAGAGAGTACGCACATGCGTACGCGCGTGTGTAATATGTGTTTGTGTGTGTGTACGTGTGATAGAGAATCATCTACAACGCATTCGTAACGGTTTGATTGGACCTAACTACGATCGATCGATACTCGAATGGGCATGTAATCCATAGCGTAGAATTATTGGGTCTAACAAGAGCGATGATCTAGGCCCGACAGATTCGCATGGACGGGTACACGAAGGGGTAAGGGGGAGGACAAAAAGGGGTGGAACAATAGAAGGAGGGTAAGGGGCTCGACAGAGGAAAAAGAAGGGAGATTAACAGGAAATATATTCGAGTTTTTATTTAATCATAACTACCATTAGAGATCCGATGTTTTCTCTCTCTCTCTCTCTCTCTCTCTCTCTCATTCTTTCTCTTGCTCTCCCTCTCTCATACTTTCTCTTGCTCTCCCTCTCTCTCTCTGTTCCACATAATCTTATATCCAGAATACTAAACTCTCAGTGACGTCATAATATTACTTCTTTAAATTCATGATAATAAAGTCTATCATATGAGAGCTTAACTGCTGTGTCAACGTGTATCATTGTCGCGCGTGCACATTGAAACGCGACAGAGAGCACGTTCCAAATGCACGCGCGACTTCGATAATAGCGTGTGCAGGTTGTCAAAAGACGTGATTGCGAGAACACGAGAACGCGGCGTCCGTTTGACTCCAAATCCAAATAGGCTCTCTCTTCGTCTCGATCGTCGCGATCAGGAGACGCATCTCAGTTGAGGGCTCGCGACTTGTCGACAAATTTTTAGCAACGTGTCTCTAAAGTCGATGATGCTTGATTCTAAAGATAAAATCTTTTTTCTTTCGAGTATAATACAATTAATTTTACAAGTCTATTCGTTTGATCAAATTGGTTCCCACAGGGAAAGAACGACGGATGCGCGAAAAAACGTGTAATGTTTGAAATTTGAGGCGACAGAACGTCAATACACAGATTTGTGAAAATTTAACTAACGAATCTTCCGGAAAATTCCGCTCTCGAGGAGTCGCATGCTCTTCCTTTAACAACCTGTATGTGCAGAGTGTTTCTGGCCAACCGCGCGCTTCCGTTTAACGATAAGCGCGCCGTGCGAGTAGCTAACGCGAGCGGAATTTAAAAACGTATCACGAATCCAGCGATTCTGCGAACAATGTAGTATTTTGCATCGGTGCATCAACCTGTTGATTATTTTCCACCGTGTCGCGAATAAAACTTGTTCCGCAAAGACTTATCTTGTTCGAGAAAACTTTCGTCACTCCATCGCGCATGTCCCTTCTCCCATGCACGATTCCCTTCGACTACTTGACACGCGCGTATCGTATCAACAGAGAGAGTATTGGCTAGGAACACCCTGCACATACATACATGCATACATACGTCAAATATACATACGATGTAAATATATGTGTATGCATGTATGTACATATATTCTCGTTACCTGCATATCACAACATAAATTTTATTTTCTCTTTCATTCTTTCACTCTGTTTTTCTCTTTTGCTCTCTCAGACACTCGCGCGCGCACTCTCTCCCCCCCCCCGTTTTTTTTTCAGCCAGCGCAACACATTCGCACTTACGCAAGCACGCACACACGATCCCATCTACAATAATTATTATAACGCTGCAGTATCGGGATAGTGGTTGAGTTTCTAAGCACATGTAGCGCCGTTTCAGGGTGCATTCCCACTTAGAATCCGGTAGTCCTGTTGTGTTCGACATTCCCGCCGAAATTCCATTCGTCTTACCGTCACCGTCCACGTCGGCTCTGTTACGCCGGACGAGAGAACGACAGCGAAACGAGATCACGAGAACCCGGCGTTCGAAAGCACGACGACGGTTACGCCGTAATCGTTCGCCTTCCCGTGGTCTCTTTCAGACCACCGGTTACGCCGACTAGCGTCGAATAGCGCTGATGGCTGACTGCGGTTAACTAAAGTTACATCGTTCTCTCTGATCAACTAATCTCTAGTCTCGTTTCTCTTAAAAATTATAGGTCATCTAATTTTGCCTTTAAACGAAGTCAAATCAAGTTGAGATGTAACGCGGATTAAATCTCTAGATTCGTCTCCCGTTCCGTTTTCTCTCTCATCGTACTCGGGACGAAGGAACGATCGCTCGCGATCGAAAGTTAATTTGCTAAAAGTAATTGCGATTGATTAGATTTGTTTCCTTCTCGCTCCCTTGAGATATTATGCAATTACATTCTCCGTCCGGAAAGTAAGATATTGTCAAGCACGAAATTCAATTTTGTAGTCAAATTACTGCTATTTTTTCTTTCCTTATCGCGAATTAAGGCGGGGTAAGGAGATACCCAACTAAAGTTACACTCGTGTTTCACTTTTGCATTATTATCGATATTAAATGACACACGAGAGATAGAACCGCGCTACATATAGATATAGATTGGATTGATCAATGATGTTAATTAAATTAAATTCTTTGATAAATCGAGAAGGTGTCAAGTGTAACGATAAACTATTTTCGCGTACGGTCGTACTACTATTACTGCACTCGTATCCGTTCCTGCACTCGCCTCTCCTTCTCGCTCGTTGTTACAAGTAACACATTACAGTATCAACGAGTCGGGCAGACGGAGAGAAACAGTTGCTAATCGAAATTCGGTTGAACTAACCGACTGATCCCTGATCTTTCTCGTCTGTACACGGCTGTACGTCGCCGTTCCCCGACTAAACTAAAACATCGTTAGCCAAAAATCAGTTAGCCATCGCTATCGGCGCAAGTCGCGACCGGTTTGCTTGCCTTTCGGCGCGAGCAGCTCAACTGTCGTTTCGATTGCTCGCGATGGAGAAACACCACCGCATCCCGTCCGACTTCTTTTCCGTTCCGAGTACATTTTCCTCGGGTACTGCGTCGTGTCATCGATCGTGCGCACGCCTTGTTACCGATTGACCGTTGCATCGCACCAAACCGAATCAAATCGAAATCCCTGACCGACGCTGTGACGACGATGCAACATGCGTCTTCCTCGCCGATGATGACCACAACGACCAAGTCTAAGTTGACGTTGACGTTGACGATGACGATGACGATGACGATGACAACGACGACGACGACGACAATGGGATGCAAACGACGTTGTTGTTGTTGTTGTTGTTGTTGTTGTTGTTGTTGTCGTCGTTATCGTTATCGTTGCTATTGCGGCAGCAGCAGCAGCAGCAACAGCAGTCTGCATCGCTCCGTCTGCGAGAGCAGCGGGCCGTCAAAGAGCGTGAAACGAACGCGCAACGACACGATGTAATCCGGCCTCCTGCTACACTGCTCACGAGCTCAGCCACTAACGATTATACATCAGCACGAAACCTTAGAAACCATCGCTCAGCCTGGGTGAGCCCGCGACACGACGCGCTCGCCCACGCTGCACGGCCATCCACCATCACGACGAAATCTTCACGTCGGCGACGCACACTGTCGGCGATTTTAAAGTATGCAGCAGGAAGCCGAGCAGCAACTACTCCCGCCGCCTTTACTTTTTTGCCTCTGATCTGCAACAAAGAATGCAACGTTGGTATACTCGCGGCGGCCATGCTACCTCGCGAAAGCGATGTACCGCGCGTCGCGGGATTCAACGTATCTACGTCGTTAATTCACCGCCTAAGCCGCCTTTAGCGTGCTTTCCGTGCTTTGCGGACTTGAATGTTACTTTCACAGACATACTGAAAGGAAAAGAATCTTTAAAAAAAGAAAAAAAAAAGGAAAAAAAACAGAGAGAGAGAGAGAGAGAGAAAGAGAGAGAGAAAAGAAAAACCATTTATTTATACCAATACGCATGTTCATGCGCGGAGAAAAAATGTTTCAAACGAGTAAAGTCTACAAACTCGCCGGGTTGTATGTGTTGTTGTAATAGCGGCGGGAAAAGCGAGGAGGACTCACGTTGAAAGAACGGTGGGTACGACTCTTAGCTCAAGTCGTAGTTTTCGGGATCGTCGGGCATGATAAACATATGCTCACCGTTAGGTAGGATACCTACGAAAAGGATCATGCGAGGAAAAGATGGGAGTGGATGGCTTAGAATTATCGAGACGCAATTGTACGCGCGTACGTGCGACGCTTACGGATCGGAAAAGGAACGGTGTGAAAAAGAATGTGAAAGAAACGTGCTTTCGGGACCGTTTCAACCGTGCTCGAGCGCTCGCGTTTGATTGCATTTAGTTACACTCAACAGACCAGCGAATAATCAACAACGAGCGCGATGTAAAAATGACAAAGGCAAACGCGAGGAGGTAAGCTGAGTTCTCGAGTGCATTCACACACACGGCGAGAAGTCAGCGCGTTGCAGCACAGCTCGCAGCGCCGCCGATGCGAGAGCACGACTCGTATGGGAAGAAAAAAGAAAAGGAAAAAAAAAAAAAAAAAGGGGGCGATTTAGAAAGGAGGAAAGCTCCTGTTGCGAAGTTGCGCGGTTAAGGTACGCCGGCGTAGCGAAGTTGCACAATGCGTCGTACTCGGACGATTATCTTCTCCGTCGATCAAAGCTGATTACTAACCAACCCACCCGCTCGTTCCATCCGTCGCATCGATTAATAATTATCAGTAAACGAGTGCGCGCGCACGGTAAAGTTCACTTGATCGAGAGATCTTGGGAATGCAAAGGAGGATGGAGGTAAAAATAAAGCGTTGAATTGTCAATCGATTCACGCGCACGCGTCTCTCTCTCTCTCTCTCTCTCGCTCATAGAGTCGCGCGCTGTTCAAGTCGCAAGAAAAGTCACTAAAAGCTCGCGAGGGAGAAAATGCTGGCGCAAACGAGTGGTAGCGACGAGGCGAAATCATACGTCGCGCGTTGCGCAACGGGGAGTTAACTGTTGTTGACGATTACGCGCGACACGAGGAACGAGATCGTGAGCGAGAATCATCATATTCGGCCTTTCACCGCTGTTGCACACGCTGACCTGTTAAATCGATAGCGCGACGCGCGATCGCGGCGCCTAATTTACGGCATTCGCGCGGTACATTCGCGCCGTGAAATGAACATCGCGAATGAACGCCGAGATCGCGAATCCGATATGCGCGCGCGCGCGCGCGATCCACCAATTGGATTTTCTGATTCGACACTTTGCTTTCACGACACACACACGCAATCCCTACGGGACAATTCCACTTGAATGTGTTGTCTTTACTTTTCGCTCGGAAACTTACTCGTCAGCGAACCGATCTCAATGCTTGAAAAACTTTTCTTTTGCAACCGAATGTAATACGGCGTCTTCATTAAAAATGGCAAATCGTTTTCCTCCAAATCCGTCGCGAGGAGTCGTCTCTTGCAATAAATCGTCACGTTTTCGAGCGAGCTGTACACGTTGTCAAATAGCAGGAAAATACGGCTAATCGATATAATTCTGTTATAATGAATGCCGATGGAACGACATTTTCGACGGTAACAAAGTGTAATTAAATCTCCGTCCTAATACGCGGCTTGATATAACGAACTTTCGGTACAACAAATTCAATTCGGAAACCCGGCGTGGCTCGCTGTAACGAGATTTTACCGTAATAATCACGCAAGCGCGTCACGTACCGATGCGATAGATTCAGTTTAGACCGACGATGGGTAAACAAATTTAAGGAACGATAACGCGTGCGAAGCGTGAAAGGGTAGCAGCCGGCCGACCCCGAGTATTGTATGGAACGTGCTTTTTATATGTTTTACATGCTGTAGGCTTGCAGGGAATTAATCCTCATTCAGGCGATCTATTTCCCCGCGGGAGAAAGAAAGAGAGGAGGAAAGAAAGGGATACGCGCTGCATTATGCAAAAGTACGAGCGGATACGGAATATTCAGAGCGAACAAGAATTACGTGTCTCTCTTTTTCTCTGCAGTCCGGATTTTACAGCGCCTTATTAGTAGCAGTCTCATTATCACACGATGGAACGACGGAAGAAGTTATCCAGCCGGGTGGGGGTGGGGGATGGGGAATGGGGGGGGGGGCTAAGGAAAATGTCACACGTGCTTGCGCGTCGTTCGTTGCGGAAAAACGCACGTGAGCGAGGGAGAAACCCTACGCAAAAAGTTGCGCAACCGCCCGCCCCGAAGGAGATGGAGAGGGTTGCCTCCCGCGAATTCACCTTGAGAATTAGGCTCCGGAAGATTCTCCCGCGGCACCAGATGCATCACTGTGGTTTTTCCGAAGGGAAGCCCAAGAGCACCGAGCGTGACATTGCTGTGTAGGAAACGACCCTGGTAGATTAGCCGCAGAATCTCCGCCTTGGCGACCGCCTCTTCTGCCCAGTCTGCAACGCGAAGAAGATAACATTGGGCAGATGCCGAGAGCACTTTCTCTCTCTCTCTCTCTCTCTCTCTCTCTCTCTCTCTCTCTCTCTCTCTCTCTCTCTCTCTCTCTCGCTCTCTCTCTCTCTCTCTCTCCCTCTCTCTCGAGCTACTCGCTAAAAGTTTCCGGGACGAGTATCAAAGTAATCGAATAATTTTAGAGAAGCAACGCGGAATTCTCTCTAAAGGAGGATACACGCGCAGTCTCGGGCGATTTTTGATCGAACAATTTAACGGAGCGTGATTTTATATTTTATCAACAATTGTCGCGACTTTCTCTACTCGTTTTGTGTCTGCGTGAACTTATCATGCTCGTGTGTCACGCACATGCCAATTTTCTCGGTTCTCTATCAGTGACTTAAATTTTGAAGGCGGCGCTAGTGGATCCCAAATCCGGAATGTGTCCTATAAATTGTAATATTTAACATACCGTTGTTGTCGTATTGTTATCGTGTGACACGATGGCATCGGTAATTAATGGCAATAATTGCGAATAGCGCTGTGCAAGAGAGAGAGAGAGAGAGAGAGAGAGAGAGAGAGAGAGAGAGAGAGAGAGAGAGAGAGAGAGAGAGAGAGAGTGGGAGGGGAAGAAGAGGAAGAAGAAAGAGAGAACATACGACGAGGAGGCCGCTATAGCAATGATATTAACGCTAATGGACATCGGTGCGATGCAACCCGAGTTTCGAAACGGCAACGACTGACTCACCTTCCGGCCAATTTTCAAACACATGGTGCGCTATATCTCCCGCGGAATCGCTCGGACTGAATAGGAACTCTTTTGTCTTGCCACTGACGAGGATGAGGCGTAGATTTATCTGTGAAGTACAAAGAGACAATGACGGTTAGCGTAAGGAGCTCATCGACAAGTCACTTTTCAGACTTTATTTATCTTTCGATCAGTCATCCAAAGTATAATCCAAAGTAATTAGGCGTTTATATTATAACGCATCCGTTTCCCCCCGCATTGCGAGAGAAGAGGCACATCAATTTGTGTTGCCATTAAGCGCGATCAGTACTAATAACTGCGCGCAGACACGTGCGCATTGTCAGAACATTATCAGGCACGTGTCGCTACGCAAGCGAGATAGCGTAAAGGAATAAAAGGAGCGTATTAAAAAGGAGCCGATTTTTGCCCCCAAAACGGAGTGCAAAATTTGCGTCATCTCTTATAGTTTTTTTCACCTAGAATCGCCGCTTAGAATCACACGTGGTAATATCCGTTTGCTATCAAAGACAACATCCTCCCTCCCACCCCTCCCTGTTTCCATTTTTGTGAAAAGTCGTGATATATTTGGAGAGAAAAATTGAGGTCATGAATAGGTTATCATCTTTGAGGTTTTCACCATTTTGCCCACACTTTGATAACAATCGGATATCACACCACGTGATTTGACGTGATTAAAAGGCCGGGGGAGAAACCATGCAAATTTTACACGTCGGCTCGGCTCGCCGCGAAGATCGTCCATTTTTCAACATACTCCTTTGCGCTTGCCTTGTTCCAAGGAAGCATGCGAATCGACGAGCGCGAATCGATTACTCGCGCGCGCAGCCGTTGACATTCGAACAATCTTCCTTCCCCTTCGGACGAACGCGAATTCAATTAATGTCGGCGGGGGGGGGGGGGGTGCGCGAAGATCGGACAACATAAATAATTAGTGACGACGAAGCTGGCGCGACGCGGTGGAGCACTCGGAGGATCCGACCGACCGCTCGTGACCCTTCGCGGTCATCGTGGTCGCGACAATCCGCTGCTAAAGCTTTAAATCATCGTCCCCGCGGCGAGCATTATCGCCCAGCTGCACGCGAGACTTCCCCTTGGCATTGCGGGAATTTTCGCGCGCGGCTCGGAGGTTGGCTCGCTGTTGGCTGCCTGTTGTAAAGTGTATAACGGGGGAATAATGCGGGCGGGCGTATAATAAAGGTATAATGAGGAAACTCGTATGCGGTATGCGGGAAGAGCGAGAGCGAGAGACAGAGTGAGTGAGCGAGGAAAGCGAGGCGCGGTGTGGTGTGACGAGGTGATATAAGGGGGGGGGGGGGCGCGCGCGGGAGGAGAGATTCGCGAATTTATTCCGAATTATTCAGTTCGTCCAATTTCATCATTTTTCCGAAGGGACTCTACGAAGAATTTTCGTTCGCTCGTCGCGAGAAAAAACGAGGGTCGCAAATTTCTAGCGAAATAAAATCCCGAGCGCGGCGATAGGCATATCCGCGTACACTGTTGCGCCGCACTTTTGCCCGACTTGCGTATGAAAAAAACCGGGACATTTTTTGGACCTGGTCTTTCCTCTCGCCAAAATTCCATTGAATTCAGATTGTTCGACGTTAAATGTGTGTTAACGGCACAGGGCCCGGTATAAACGGATACAATTCCCAATAGCGCTGTAAAATACTGCGCAAGTGCCATTTACGAGAAACATTTATGAGTTACAGAGCGAATGTGAAAACTATTTTTCCCATATTTTCTCCCTTTCTCTCTATAAAAAAAAAAAAAAAACAAAAAAAAAATAAATAAATAAGAATACATCGGCGTGCACGTTTCCCCAAACAAACGAGATATCGCGAACGAATATCTTGATCCTCGCGCGCTTGGATTTTCATTCTTGGCACACAATCGGTTTTCCCTCGGACAGATTTTCCATTACGACCATCCCCTTCTTTCAGCCTCGATACACCTTTCCAACTCTAATGCGAAAACAAGAGCAGAGATCTCGAAATATTGCGTAACGCACGAGCCGTCGCAATCAAAAGCGACAATACGCGCGCTTTAATGCGCGCACCCTCGCGTACACCTTAATCCCGGCCCTGCCGTCGTCATTTTCTAATATGTCGATAACGAGATATCGGTTTTCCGAGCAGCCAGCGACTAGATGGTCGGTCCTGAGGCTTGATTCAGCCGCAAATTACGCGCCGTGAGTTTATTCGCGCGCAAAACCGCGGCGCGATTCCCATCGATCGAGAGAGCGCGTGGATCGACAATTGCTTCATTAACGTAACGCCCCGAGAGATGAAGAGAGAGAGAGAGAGAAAGAGAGAGAGAGAGAGAGAGAGAGAGAGAGAGAGAGAGAGAGAGAGAGAGAATGAGAGGAGAGGCGTACTTTTAGCTTATACTCTCGTCATTTGGGACGACCAGGATCGTCGGGCCGTGCACAGAGGAAGAGGTCCTCCTGCACCTTCTCTTTCGATACGGACGCTGGAGGCTCTCAAAGTCTCTCTCTCTCTCTCTCTCTCTCTCTCTCTCTCTCTCTCTCTCTCTCTCTCTCTCTCTCTCTCTCTCTCTCTCTCTCTCCCTCTCTCTCTCTCTTCCTCGAAAGCTGCGTGTGTGTGTGTGAATTCATGAGAGTCACGAGAGAAGGGTCTTTGTGGAGTCGAGTCGAGTCGAATCGACTCGCAGGTTCGTACATCACAGTCCCAACTTTAAAGGGACTTGTTATCCATATGTTACCAGTCGATTACTCGAGTCACGTGCTCGAGTCGTCCGCTCCCCCCTTTCTATCTCTCTTTGTCTGGTCGAGATATTTCGCATTCAGAGCTTCGCCTCGTCTTCAGTTGTTCCGACTCGGTGAACGCGCAACCTCGACTTCGTTTCGCGACTTGTCACGTTGTCCGCGATACAACATTTCCGACGTGTCTCGCGGAATCGCGTTTCGTACAGAGTAGACGAAAAGATAAGGATAACGCAAATGGGCTCCAGTTCGCCGAGGGTGCGCACCGAGGGGTGACTCTCGATTCTCTCTCACCGAATGCGAGAGAACCCCTCGATCACAGTCGGTCCATCGACGGACCTATCCATCCGTCTACACCTAAATATACCTAGCGACGTGAATTTCACGATGTCACGCTGCCTAGTACGTGGAATATTTCGTTTCTTTCGTTTCACGCCACAGCGTACTCTGATCGCGTACTTTCGCTGCTTTCACCACGCACCACCACCACCGTGCAATGATGAACGAATCTCATTTGAAAAGAAACAAGTTGAAGAGAGAGAGAGAGATGAAGAGGATTGAGATCCCGTAACATTTGTCATACGTACACACACACACACACAATCGACAGTACAAAACTGTCTGAATATCGTTGCGCTTTAGCGTTAGCAATCGTATCGAGTGTATCTCACCTCGTGGCGGTGCATTATATTTTTATGCGGCTAATGCGCACGACTTGAACTTTACTAAAGACCAAGAGAGTTAAGATGCGGGTTAAATCAAGCGAGGATATTGTAAAAAGGGGTGAATCTTGAAGCTAACATCGGTGACGGATAATCACTCCAAGAAGCCGAGTTCGACACGCAACTTGGAGGAGTTTCGCCAACTTATAATCTTAAAAGTGGGATCGTCTTCAATTAACTCGGGATAATGACCGGCGTTCTATCGGCGGCCAAATTGCATGTGGACTTGGAAAGTATAATGAACGTCTCGCTGCCTTTCTAATGAAACGGATAAGTGGATTAAATTAAGGAGCTAACGCCATTTAAGGTGAATCCGTAGGCTGATGATACACGTCAGGCGTTCGTGTTTTTCACCTTGAGGAGAGAGAGAGAGAGAGAGAGAGAGAGAGAGAGAGAGAGAGAGGGAGAGAGAGAGAGATCGCCTCGGTCTTGGAAATATCTCGCTGGTCCAGTCGTAAATCTACGACTCCCGACAAAGGAACGAATATTTATTTTTTCTGCCCCCCCTCCCCCCTCCTCCCAGCACTCGCCAAAAGAGTCGATAAGCCGCCCGTTATAGTCGGGAACACGAGGTAGCTCGATCTAAGAATGTCGAGTAAAGGTTCACATAAATATTTCACACAAAGATAAATCTATGGCGGAGAGAAAAGCGGAAGTTACTTACCGAGAATTCGATCTCTCGTAATATCACACGGGAAATGACCCACTTTTTAATATTCGATGTTAGATATCCCGATGTGCTCAAGACTCAAATTAAAATTCCGTTGAAGCAACCCCCGATGCGACATCCGGTTGAATTACTATTTTGCCAAAAGTTTCGCGCGAGAATAATAATTTGGAGAAAAGAAAACTCGGGCGATTTGATCAAACGACATCACGCGACGGAGGCACGAGGCGGGGAGGGGGGAGCGACCTACTTTTTGCTGTTTAACGTAAAATATTTTGACACCCAGTTTTGAGTGAAAATTCCGCTCGAGTAGGTAAACCCCGTCGCCCGTAATTAAACGACGAGTAAACTCTCTTTAGTATAATCTCGTTTTGGAAGCTTCGGCGAGAAAAGAAGAAGGGAGAAACCGCGGGAGCTCTCGATCGCTCGCGACACCAAAGACCATTATCGGTGTGAGTGTGTGTGTGTGTGTATGTGTCTGGCGGATATCGCGCCATCCGCGTCGGTGCAGAAGGGCAAGAAAATCGATGGCGGCGGATCGGTCGGAGACGACCGATAAGCTTAAGTAAAACTTGAAGCAACTTATTTAAGGATCATTACGCGTGATACAATTTTCGGCCGAGGAGCGCCGATAACGCGTGTTAATCAACACGGAGATCGGCACGTGCCCCGTTACGTTTACGTACTACGGCAGCGAGACTTTACACATGAGGGGCTTTGTGACGACACAGTAGATATAGATGGAGAGGAGAGGGTGGACGGCAGCAAGAGGGAAGAAACAACGGAGAAAAGAAAGGACAGAGCGGAATTGGGCTAATCGCGAATGTGCGCCGCGGCGCGATGGGTTTACCTTGATTTTGCGAGTGCTCGCGCGCGTCACGAACCGAGGTCACGCCGAGATCGGATAACCAGGTCATTGGGGCATTCGGATACACAGGACCGAGTGCAACTATGCGCATATGCATGTAGAATGACCCACA